TCCCCTGAACAGACGTTAGGCCCACAGGCCTGGGAGCCTAGGTATTTGAAGTTTCAAAAAACATTTGCGGGTGGTGCACTCTCTCCCCCTACGCACTTTGTGTCCACACGCATTGATCAGCTTAGACCATGTGCATGTGTGCGTGTGCTTTTCAGCCAGAGGGGAGCATTCCCTTGAGGGATACTTTCCAGGAGCTACATGCAGGCAGCAAGCAATAGTGGGCAAAGCAATGGGCGGAACTCTTACCTTTCCAACCACACACAAACAATCTCTCTCCCTCCAGGCAAACAAGAAGCATTTCCCCAGTTCAAGGGCACATTCCAGCCAGGCAAAAGTACCCAACCAGGGTGCAGAGTGTAGAAGAAGAGAGTTTTGCCTTGAAAAGGGCTTGGTCTTAGGGCAGTCCTGCTGGCCAGAGGTCTGCACTGAGTTTTCAGGTCTGAAATTTTCCATTTAGACAATGGCACCTGCAGATTATTATTCCCACTCCCTCTCAGCAAGGTCTTTTCCATTACAGTACTACATACCTCTTGTCAGTCTAACTCTGGGGTGGAAAATAGGTGTGCCTTCCCCCATTTCAGTTCTAAAAATTCACCATGCACATACATGTTTTTCCAGCAACTTAGTTTTGTTTGCTACAAAAAAGGGAGTGTGATACATTTCCCACAAGGTGGTGCTGTTGCTTGGCTCCTCTCAGCTGAGAGGCAGTCATAGCCATCCCAGCTGCTCTGCTGGATCAGAGGAAGTAGCAAGGATCCATCTAGTTTACCAAGAAAACCACTTGCTTTCTTAAATCTCCATTGCAAATAATAAACATAAGCCTGCTGCATGTATGAAAACAGCAATCTTATAAATCTAGCATGGTGGAAAGTGAGATTGTAAAACTTTGGAGGGTTTTTATCCATTTGTCTTCCAAGCTGAAACCAGATGCTCCCTTAATTATTGAACCACATGCAGAGATCTGAATTTTCTTTTGGGCAGAAAATGAGTTGTGTTTTTTTTTATGGCTTAAGGAAATATTGTTGCAAAAGACGGTAAGAGAAAATGCTTCCTGCAGTTGCAAAGCTAGGTCATTTGAGAGTAGCTAACTTGGCATTCTCATGGCGTACTCCCCTTTCTGTCATCAGCCACAAGAGGGGAACGTGCTCACGTTGCTCATAGTCCTCCTTCCTCCCCAGGCTATTGGAAAACTCTGGGGCTGGCCACCCTTGGAAGTGGTAGGCTGGCTACAGGCTCGGCAGGAACTCCACCCCACTACTTCCTGCTTGCGAAGGAAGCAGTATTGGACGAAGGCCTGGAGCCCCAAGATAGAAAATCTGCTTTGGAAGCAGATCTGATGGTCAATTCCTGGCATCTTCTGATAGGCATGGGAAGGAACGCTCCTTGAAGCCCTGGAGAGCTGCTACCAGCCAATACTGAGCTACATGAACCAATAATGACTTGGCAGAAGGAAGCTGCCTGCATCTTCGTTTCATAACAGAGCTATGCCTTCCCATCATCTTCCTGCTCTCCCTCTAATCTAGCCTTGCACACAACCTCCTGCAGAATGCTAGAGGATTCAGGTATCGTCGAGGGATCCCTGGCATGTAATCAAATGCTTGCAAAAAGGATTCTGACAAAATGCACACACAGGAGTAGTCAAGACTGTGCCCTCTATAAGTGAGGGGCAGATGGGGCTCGCCAACCTGAGAAGGTAGCCCATCAAAGAGGACAACTCTGATCCAAAACATCTGCTGCCTTGCAGGGTGTCTTCCTAGAGAGGGCTAAGGAGCAAACCACAAAGTCAGAGTGGAGTCCCTAAGGCTGTTGGATGGCACCTTGTACGCCTCCTTCCGGCAACTCCTGCAGCTAAGCTGGTGCCAAATGTATTGCTCTGCTTTCCTTTGGACCACATTAGGGTGGCCGAGAAGGGAGTCTTGTCATCTGGGTAGCCCAGGATCTCCACATGCACTGCCCAGGCTTGCTGTTAGGAAAACATTCTTTAAGAAACAGATAAAAGTTCCTGGAAGCTTTAAAGAGGGTTCCAGAATTTTCTTTAGTGTGTAGGAGTGGCACTCTAGGCTTGATTAGTGTCAGCTGGAGGTGCAAATAAAGGAAGTTGCAGATTGTAATTTCCACACGAGGAAAGCACACGCGCACGCTGTCAGCACGCACGCTGACAAGGTTGGAAGTAAGACAATGTGTGCTGCTGATACTGTGAGTTTTGCTGTGTCAGGATTGATAACTACTGGACTGAGATTATACTGTGCTGGAGAGATAAAGCAGGAATGTAAACAGCTTGTATATAACAGTAACAGAAATGCTTGTGCAACCAATCAAGCAATAAAGAAGCTCTTGACTGTGAATTTGAGTATGACTCCTGTTCTTGTCCTCTGCTTCCGGGGAAAACTCTGCTACAAACATTAAGAAGCGGTTTTACCAAGATGCCACCACACAAGCAGAAAAGCACAGCCGAAGTGTGTGAGCGGTAACCTCCAATACTTGCACCCTGGGAAGGTCGCGTTGGTGCAGTTTGACTTCACCCCCACCCCCAGTTGTATTCCATTCTCTTTTGAGACAGACAGATGCCAACAGTTCCCAAAAGGCCATGGCTGGGACCTTTGGCTTGGAAGAGGACTTTTTCTGTGGCTGCTCCTTCCCTATGGAGCCCTCCCCACATTGACACATTGAGACCTTTTTGTTGTGTGTCTTCTGCTGTATGCTGAAAGTACACCCCTTTATCCGGGCTTTCAATGCTGAAGATATTTTGCTTTGCGGGACCCACCTCTTTCGGCGACCTCCATTATTCATAACGGTCTCGCTTGTTTTTAGAATTGTCACCATTTCATTCTTTTTTTTTTCATTACTACACTGTTATTTCCATTTCTTTTATTTGTAAAAAAATATTTATATGCCGTTATTCATTAAAAAAAACCAGAGCATTTTACAACAATAAAACCAAAAAGTATAAAACACGTGAAAAAGTTAAAATCAGCCAACCATTGTGGAAAGATATGTATTCTTAATTGCCTGCATACAAGCCTAATGGAATAGATGAGTTTTGAGCAGATGTCTGAAAGTTGGAATAGAAAGTGTTTGATGAATCTCTGCTGCCACAGCAGAGTATTCCACAATACTGGGCCAATGATACTAAAAGCTTGGTTTCTTGTTGTCAAATGAGCCTCACCAACTCAGGGAACAGGCAGAAGCACTTCTGCAGATGATCTCACTCATCAACTTGGGATAGAAGGGTTGAGGCAGTCCCTAAGGTACGCTGGAATTAAACTGTTCAGGAGTTTGCAAATTAATACAAATTATATCATTGCAACCCATCCCGGGACCTTATGGTGAAGGGTTAGTAAGAAAGCATACTCCAACAACATATGGAATAGCTACAGCAACAGATTTCAATTTCATTTGGAAAGTTCTCACTCTCAACACACACACTTTACCTATCTTCTGTATTTTAAATATCTCCAAAGATGCCATGTTTAAAAGCAATGACAACCTCCCTCTTCTTGTATGGCAAATTGGAAATTTTAATGTTTTCATTAGAATAGCCTTTATATCTCTCTTCAAAAAAAAGAAGCCAAAAAAAAAGTGGAAAAGAAACCCTACAGAACAGCAAACTTTAATACAGGAACAGTCTCCAGATTAACAACACCCTTTCCTCCCTCTGCAACAAAATTAATGTAAAATATAAATCACATATAATACAGCTGAAGTGTCCAAAAAAGAATTTAAATAATTTTAAATATTTTATTTTTTTCCAAACTTGCTACAAATTCTTTATACAATAGTTTGATGCAGAAGTCCCCATAAAATGGAAAAAAGTAACAACAAAAAAAGGGAATGATAGTGAAAGAGAAAGCGTTAAAGTGGCACAACTTCACCAAACAATATTAAAACTACAAATTTTAAGAGGTAGATTACTTTTGAAGTCAAGAACAAATAAGATATTTTTTTAAAAAAAACAAACAAATGGGGTGCACAAACAAAGCTAACTGCTCCCCTCCCCCCAGTTGTGAAAACAAACAAAAACAAAACAAAACTATATTTCCAGGAAATTAATAATAATAATCTTGATTTACAACTAGGAAAAATTTGTAGCTCTTGTTATTAGATACAGATAAGTCAGCCAATTGTGTATTTAGTTGTGCTATACAGTTTTGTATGGCGAACAAGTCATTCACGATAAAACTGGGTGACTTCCACGTTGGACGAGATTTCAGGTATGGATGCCAGTAGGGCTTGACAGGCAAAACCTTCCTTCCGCCCCTTCTAGAGATACCTCTCCTTTCCTCTTCCCATGTATAAAGAAGACTGGTGAAAGCAACATCAACGTCCAAACCTGTGCCCACCCGTTCAGAAACAAAAGAAAAGTCTTGGGAAGTGAGTGCAGGCGCCAAGAAGGAGGGGAAAGGCATCTCCCTTCTCCCCGCAAAGTTTTTTCATCCTGGCTGATATAAAACAAAGGCTTTGAGATACTCGACGTGCAAGCAAAAAGGATTTCGAGTGCAGTTAACGTTTTGTCATCCCTGAATATATGGGGAGCTTCTGGTGAGGACCTGGCTTTGCATAAGTTTTGGCGGCACCACCTCTTATTATCGACCTTTATTTTTTCATGCTTTTCCATCGGATAAAAAGCGAAGTAGAAGCATGAGCTATGGACTCTGTGGCAGGACTGACTCCAGTTCAGTTCGATCCATGTCCTTTTTGAAATGAAACCGAAGCTGGGGAGACAAGGAAGAACCATGCACCCTACTGCTTTCCTCGCAGCTGATAATTCCTTGAGCCTGGTTGGCGCATACTGATTCTCAACCCCGGTGTGAGCACGCTGGCAAGCCAATCGTCTACCCAGTGGGGGTCAAAGTTGTCTCAGGTTGGACCTTTCAAGCTTGGAGAATTGGGGCCTCCACAGTCGTCCCTCTCTTAAGATGAGCATGCAACCGCTCAAGCTCTTCGGTAAGGAAATTTCATTTACAATTCAGAGATTCTTTGTGGTTGTCTGTTTCGTTGTGTCACAGGAGGTTCCTATGTGTCAAGAAACAGTGGGGAGAAAGGAAGATTAACAAAATGGAACAGGAGAGGAAGGATATATATATATTTTTAACTAGCTAGATCTGAAATGTGACAGAGTTAAGAAAACCCACACAGGTGGTGGTGATGGAAGGAGAGAAATAGGATCACTGGAAACAACTTTAAAAAGTCATGTAGGAAAGCAAATTTGTGTGGTTAGCTTGTTGAAAGTGTATTCTTATTTCTCAATTTGCTAGATAAAGATCTTGGGTAATCTCTTGGCTGAATTCTGTGGGAGGGGCAGAGTTTGGGGTTAGTGTTAGTTAGAACACCACGCTCTAACCAGCTGGTGATGCTGATAACACCAAGGTTACAAGTTTGATCCTTGTTTGGGACAGCAGCATAGTTTGCAGGGGGTGAAACTAGATGATCCTCAGGGTCCCTTTCCAACTCTACAATTCTGTGATTCTATGTCCCATATCAAGCCAGTTTCCCCCAAAGCATTTCAAAACACCAGCTCCATGTGAAGTACGTTGCAGTACTACCAAGCTCATCTGTTGCTAGAGACTACAACTCCCATAATCCCTGGCCCTGCTGGCTGGAGCTGATGGGAACTGGAATCCAACAACAGCCAGAGGGCTAGAGGTCTCCAACACTGTTTTAAAGCCCGAAGGGACTGCTTCATAGTGACAACCATATGTCAGGAGTGCTCTGATGGAGTTTCCTGCTTGGCAGGGGGTTGGACTCGATGGCCCTTGTGGTCTCTTCCAACTCTATGATTCTATGATTTATTAAAGCGCCACTGGATTCAGCAGGGTTTACGCCATCTCAAGTGTGCTTGACAACAGCAAGATCCGCCACAGCAGAGAAACTCACCTGAAATCTTTCAGCTCTTGCCGTGTGCTGGTTTCTTCCCTCTTGCTGCTCTCTGGGGCATCGGAGCTGCTTGCCTGCTGCACACTCCGGGTGACAGGGCCGCCAACCCTCTCTCTCGACTTCGTGCTGAATCTGTCCGCCTTTTTCTTGTTTGCCACAGCTGACTTGCTGGCCAAGGCCACTTTGCTCCTCTGTATCCTGACATGCAACTTGCGGGACGCTTTGGTCGAGAGCCCGGGGGAGCTGCTCTTGGCCACCCCTTTCACTTTCTTGCCCTCTCCTGGAATCATCTTGGACATCCTTACGGGGCTGGCGTTCCTTGCTGCCGACAAAGTGCTCGGCTTTTTGGATTTAACAGGTGGCACAAATTTGATGTTTTGTTTCAGTTTGAAGGACGCAGAGGGCAGCTGCAGCGGCAGGGGTCCAGAGCTCCGGGCTCGGGTCTTGCCTAGGTGAGCCTGAGTGCTTTGCATTTTGATCTCGGCGTCTGCTGTCCGCCGCCGATTGCTAGCTTTATCACCACTGGAAGAGGATGCCCCACTTTTCTTTTTAGAGTTCTTCTTAGAGGAAGGGGAAATAGGCTTTTTGGGACAGCTGTAGGAAGCATGCTTGTTCAGACTCCCAATGTAGGTGAATTCCCGGTTGCAGTAAGGGCAGATGTGAGTGCTGGGCTCTGCTGTGCTGTTCCTCAACTCTGCCTTCTGCTGAGATTTCTTCTTTTGCAAAATGGCTTTCTGGACAAGCTGGTTTTTCTTCTTTAATGCACTGATTTTGAGCTTGTTAGAGGACATCCGGCCCACCTCGACGCTAAAGTTCAGCCTCTTAGGCTGGCCCACGCGCCTGAACGCGTTGCTCGTGGGGCTGGGGAGGATGACACCATTTTTAGGGCGAACGGTCTGTTTTAACGGCACGGGGTTCTTCTTCGGTGTATACCGTTTTTTGTCACTGGCGGAAGCGCAAGCCAAGATGTGCTTGTGCAATTCAGGCATGTTGTCTACGCTCTTCCCACACTTTGTGCAGCGAATGGCAGTGGTGAAGGTCTGTGGGATATTGTGGGTTGTGAAATTTGTGGCAGTGGCTCCAATCCCGTTAGGATTGCGGTGGTGATACTGGAATGGAGGGGGCTTAAAACTTGGGTAGTGCTGATTGAGGCCCATGCGGACATCTGGATCTTTTGACTTGACTCCAGAAGCCATTATTTTGATAGTTGTATAAAGCTCTTCAGAGGAGTCATTCAGCTCTTCCTCTTCTTCCTCCTCCTTAGAAGGTTCGGAGGAGTCTTCAGGCAGGAGCTGCATGTGTTCAGTCTTAGCCTTATTGGGATCTGTGAAGTTCTGCGGCCGGAGAGTCCCGCTTTCAAACTCGTGGTGTGTGCACTCTTTGTCCGGGTGGAGGTCCCGCTGGTGCTGCTGCAAATTGCATAGAAAAGCAAATTCTTTCTTGCAGACGGAGCACACAAAGATGTTCTCAACGCCATGGAGCAAGAAGCGGTGTTCTGACAAATCCGTTTTCTCTCGGAAGAGTTGGACACAGAACTCACATTTGAAGGGCCATTCTTCAGCATGAACAGATGAATGTTTGGTGAGATCTTTAATGGAAAGAAAAGGGGACTCACAAACATTGCACACAAAGCTCTTATTAAATGTCTCCTGGATGGTATTAGCTTTGTTGGAACTGTGTGGGTCTTCCCTTGGCTTTTGACACTCACTCTCCACCTCTTCTTGCTTAAAAGAGATAATAGGGACTGAGTTTTCTAGGTTATCGCCAGGGGAAAGGACAGAAGAGACCACTGAGAGTGGAGGTGGAGAAGGAGATGAGGATGACAGTGGCGAAGAAGAGGAGGAAGAAAAGGACGACGAGGAGGAAGAGAGGTTGGGAGGTCCAGGGGAAGGACAACTAAGAGGTCCTACTGAAGGAACAGGAGACGTTGAGACCGTAGGGGAAAGGATTGGAAGAGGGGACTGAGCAGTAGTATTTGATAAGGGAGAAGGACATGAACTTGGAGTGATGCTTGTGGGCTCCTCTGGGAACGGAGAGGGAACAGTAGGCAGGAGAGGTGGTGGTGGAGTGGGAACCTTTAACATAGGAGGGCAAGGTGGAGGGGAAGGAGAGTTTGTTGGAGTCAGGAGAGGCGGCACCTGACTTGAAGATGCAGAAGATGATGGCAGTAAAGGTGTCTCAGGAGAAGGGCACAGGGAACCTGACTCGACCACTGGAACAGGGAGGCTAGCCCTGGACTCTGGCTCTGGATGCTCTTCTGTTTTGCAGGCACCCAGGCTTGGGTTCGTTTCAGCTGCAGGGTTTTCAGACGACGAATCAGTCCCGTTATATTCATTCATAAGCACTTTCTGCAGCATGGATGTGGTTGGCTTCTTCTTGACACCACTACATGCTGGTGGCGCCGAGTTACTCTCCTTGGCTTCAGTGTCACTGCATGCCTTTTTATGGACACTGAGATCTAACACCGATTCCCAGGGAGCCTGAGTCCTGTTCTTGCAGTTGGACCTTTGCTTCATGCTACTGGATAAGTCCAAAGGCTGCTGGTTGCACACATTGCCAAATGGAGGACTTGGCGTCCAGTCCTTTGATACTTTATACTCTTCCAAGCAAAGAGGGCTCATTGTCTCTTTTTCTTCTCTCCCAGACAAACTCCATACGGGAGAATTGCTATGGCTCTCTAGCTTGGCAATCTTTGAGCCCAGAGTTGCGTCATTCCAAACAGGTTTCGCCTCACCTGCTTTGCCAAAGTCTCGTAGAGCTGGGCTGTGTTGCGGTGAACTGGGAGGGGAACTGGTCCTTCGTTTGAACCTGCTGGAGGCGGCAGGCAGAAGAGGCGAAGATGTAGCTGTGAGTCCCAGTTTGGGGATTTCAGTTGAGGACGATGATGATGAGGGGGGAGACGGTGCTACCTTACTCCCATCCTGTGTCTGGAGAAGCTGTTTCAGCTTTGATGATAAATAAATATTTTTCTCTTTGGGGAAAGGCAAGTTATCGGCTGCTGATATAGTAAGAGGAATAGTCAAGGAACACAATGATGTGATTGGTTCTGGATCCATTTCGGTTTTTATCTTAGGCAGAAGAGGAGGACTTGCAGTCCTCCTCTTTTTGGGTTCGGTGCTTCCACTGACTGGTGACTCTTTCGGTACGTCAGTTAGGTGCACTGATGTAGCCTTTACACTTGGGGATATTTCCACCGTCACTGGACTAAGTAAACAGTTTATTCCATACAGTTCTGTCGAGCTGGATTCCACCTCTATCACTTCACAATTGCTTGTGCTACTGTTGGACTGAATCTTCCCATCAATGTAATAATTGAGATTTTCAGATATATTGCTGGAAACATCCATAATGTACACATCATCTGCTTCTCCCTCCTCTTCGAGGTCTGTGCTTGCTACGTACACATTTGAGGACTGCTGGGTTTTCTCTGCTGGAAACTGGGGCTCCTCAGGTTTTCTCCTGACACCTTTGGGGATGAGATGGCGCTCATGGACCCTTCGCTGGTGCCTTCGCATATTGGTGTGGGTGCCAAAAACCTTCCTGCAATATTTGCACGGGTGCAGTTCTTTGGGTCCCTTGCTCTCTTCAAAGAGAACAGGATTTGGCATTTCGAGAGAAACTTTCTCAGTCTCCACAGCTACTGAGTCCTGCCTGCTGTTCGTTTCGTCTTTAATACCATCTTCAGGAATTGTTTGGTTCTTGGCGCTGCCTTCCGACAGCTGGGCTGAAGCCAGCACTGGGAAGGGCTTCCTTTTCGGTCCGGCCTCATGGCGCCGCTCGTGCCTCCGCCGGTTAATCTGGGTGCCAAAAGCTTTGCCGCAATAGCGGCATTTGAAAGCATGACTGATTGCAGAGATGTGGATATGCATATGGCGTTCAAGACCCTGCTTTGTGGTAAATTTCCTTTCACAATGCTGACATGGAAACATGAACGTACCGTGGATATTCCCATTAGATTCATCTCTCACTTTGGGGAATTTTGCCACAGCCTTTTTCTTGGGGGAGCTTTCTGGCGAGTCTTCAGATATGCTGCTCTGCTCTTCCACAGATTCCAGCTTGTCTTCACATATGGGCATGGGTTCCATGTCAGGACTTCCTTTAGGGAAGCTGACATCTTCCTCTTCCTCCTCAGGTTCATCCTCTTCGTCCTCCTCCTCCTCCTCCTCCTCCTCTTCTTCCTCCCCTGTATCCTCCTCAGGGTCCTCCCCATCCTCTTCTGGCTCCTCCTCTAAAACATTCGAGCCACATGTTACTGCTTCCTGTTTGTCTTCAGGCACTGGATGGGGCCCACTGACCGGACAGGGGATAACCAAGTTTGGAAGTGTGTCTTGATTTACCATCTCCTGGATCACAGCTGTCTGCTCCAGGGACAGCACTGCTGAAACAGAGGGAGTTTCATCCTCCTGTTTATGGCCTATAAAAGAAAAAAAAAATGGGGAGGAGGAATTAAAATGTATAGAACCTTTCCAAATGCATTTTCAATTTATTTTCTCCTTTGACTTTCAAGTCTGGCTTTAAAATAGGTCCCATCCTATAAAACGGGCAGGGAATTTTTTTTCAGCCCAAGTGCCACACTCACTTCTATTATTATCTATTACTATTATTTATCAAATTTCTAACATGTCCCCTTCTCCCAACGGAGCCGAGTGTGGCAAACATCAAACTTTAAAACAACACTAAATAATAACAATAATATATTTTTAAAAAGAATTATGAACCCAATGTGTTTTCAGATTTCCCCTGAAAGTCAGTAACAAGGGAGAGAGACACACCTCAACAGGGAGGGCATTCCACCAATGGGGAACCCCAATGAGAACGCCCTGCCATGGACAGCAGCCAGAGGTGGGACAATCAAAAGGGCCTCCCCTGCTGATTGTAGGGCCAAAGATGGTTGATACTGGGGGAGTTGCTCCTTAAATTCTTTCTGTTGAATGTGTCCTTCGGGGAGGGGCTTACCACCATCTCTTTCAAGGAAACAGGCATCACTCTCTCCTGTAATAAGGCACTAATGACTCCCTGGATCAATACAGCCAATCTGCTACTGCTAGATTTTATCAGCCATGATGTGTTTACAGAGTAGGCTCAGTCCTTATTGAGCTGTTTTGTTCCTGCCCCTTTAGTATTTCAGAGATTTTTGTTTTCTGTGGCGCTTGGGCTTGCTGATCAGAAGGTTGGCAGTTCGAATCTGTGCGATGGGGTGAGCTCCTGTTGCTCTGTTCTAGCTCCTGCCAACCTAGCAGTTTGAAAGCACACCAGTGCAAGTAAATATAGTAAAAAAACCCGCTGTGGCGGGGAGGTATATGGCGTTTCCATGCGCTCTGGTTTCCATCACAGTGTTCCGTTGAACCAGAAACGGTTTAGTCATGCTGACCACAAGAGCCGGAAAGCTGTCTGTGGACGAACGCTGGCTCCCTTGGCCTGAAAGCGAGATGAGCGCCACAACCCCATAGTCGCCTTTGACTGGACTTAACTGTCCAGGGGTCCTTTACCTTTACTGATTCTAAATGGCCCCACTTGGCTACAATCTTAGCGGCAATCACAAGAGGATTGCTATTAGAAGGAGGGACTGAAATTAACTCTGGGCGCTTCTAGGCTTTTGGTATTTTTCAGTGTGATTCAATACCAGCAAATTCAGGCTGCATCATTAAAGTTGCTTTGGAACTCTTATGCAACAAACCCCACTTCCCCTAAAGGTTGGACTTTTTGAGGGAAAATGACCTGGAAAGTGTGGAATAATACGTGGCTTTGATGCAACAGTTATCTAACCTCCCTACAAGCAAATGGAATGAATGCTCAATAAACAGATAATCTGGAAGGACCTTCTCTCATTTTTATGTGCACACATACAGACGCACTCTTACCTTCCTTAGGCTCCTTCATGTCGGCAGAAGTTAAATCCAGAACCGTTTTCTGCTTTTTATCAGTTGCTTTCTTTCCTTTGTTTTTAGCCTCCTGGGATTTTTTCTTCCCTTTAAAAAAAACAAAAAGGGTGGAGAAGAAAAGAAAAAAGACGTGACAATTTGTTTGCATTGCTTTGACTTCTTTTAAAGGCAACATCTCCAAAAACAATTGAGAGGCAGTGTTTATCTCTATCTCTCTTCACTGCAAATTTCATAAAGAAAAACAAAAGCATAGGAGAAGGAGGAGGGGGGACCAAAACCACCACAGCACAAAACCAAAACCATCAGCTCAAATTCACAGTACAATAAATACATCCTTCCAGAGCTGAATGGTTACTCAAACTGACAGAATACGTGGAATTAGCCTCTCTTTAAAAAAAAAAAATCAGAGACAAGCCCGGATAAGAGTTCATTTTTGAATGGAATAATTTCAAAATTTATTTGAAAAGTAGTTGTAATCTAAGCACAGTAGTTGCCTTTGAATGATTTCTGTAAATAATGTATATGAAAGAAAATGAAATCGAAATAGAAAAGAGAATTTTTACAAAATAATAATAAAAAATTAAAGTAAGATGCTTATTATAAAAGAAATATGGAGAGGATGGGAAGTCATAGGTTTGTGCAGAAAACACATAATTGAACTTGTATGCATTTTTTGTGAACATACGACATTCTTATTGGACTGACTGAAATGAAGAAAATTATGTGTTGTACATATATGGAAAATGAACAATACTGTAAAGCATTTAAAACTTAAAATACAATAAATACATCCATCTTGGTTATGTATGCCATCCAAACAGGTATCCCAATGAAGTTGGTGTTTACAGAAAATACATTCAAATGTAGCAAAAGCATTACGGTCTTCAGACCACTGCATGTTCCTCTCTTTTTAAACATTCTTTTAATTTCAATATTGGTTACTTTTAATTCTGAAACTAATATCAAGTACGTTAGAAATATTGTATCCATGCATACAGAAATGAACAAGAAAGTAATTCTACCAGAATCACAAGAGGGAGTCTTAAAGACTATTATGGCATAAGCTTTCGTGTCATACATGTCAGCAGATCCTTGATCATGCACCTGATGAAGTGGCCTGCTGTCCACAAAATTTATTAAGCCGCATTCAGCTTGGGGTTCTTCTTTTTTTTTGGTAAAAATGTGGTGCTGATACTCATCTCAATAAAAGCACTGACTGTGCCAGCACAAAATGGCTGCTAATGGGGATAAGAAAGAGGTGTTGTTACTCTGTACCAATGAGTACCATCACAAAATGCTCTGTTTTTAATAGATTTGTTATTATTTAAGGTGCCAAAAGATTATTTGTTGTTTCTGCTGCAGCAAGTGAAATTGTTCCACTAGTACCACATTTAAGAATATTATCTTATTCCAATAACACACTTCTTCTCAGCACAGAAACCTTCCCAAATCTCTCTAGATTAAATCTTTCCTTCACTAATATAAAAGAAAGCCAGTGAGTTTATATAATTTAACTAATTGTTATCTAGTCACCTTCTCTTAAACACATATACAGTGGTACCTTGGGTTAAGTACTTAATTTGTTCCGGAGGTCCGTTCTTAACCTGAAACTGTTCTTAACCTGAAGCACCACTTTAGCTAATGGGGCCTCCTGCTGCTGCTACGCTGCCAGAGCACGATTTCTGTTCTTATCTTGAAGCAAATTTCTTAACCTGAGGTAATATTTCTGGGTTAGCAGAGTCTGTAACCTGAAGCGTATGTAACCTGAAACGTATGTAACCCGAGGTACCACTGTACCTCCTTGACTTTTTTGCCAGTTTCCAAATTTTTGCCACCTCTTACTGTATTTTAGTTGGAGCTCTGAAGACCCACACATTCTTCACACCCAATTGCAATTACAGTACAGTTAATGAGCTGCACACTGCTTTGCTGCCACTTGGGTTATCTTTCTCTATTATTATCACTTAACAAAATAACTAGGGCACAGCATGACACTGAATTAAGGATCAGTAGGTTAACTTAACAAATGTCCCCCAAAATCTTTGGTCTGTGGGCACCCTCAATCCTTGTTTAAAAAGTCAGCCATGATGGTTGCACGTCCATCACCTAGCACTATTACTACTATAAATTTTGTTTAAGGAGATATGGTGCTAAGTACCTCATATAAATGATATGTTTAGGGTGACCAAATTGGTTTCCAAATTTCTGGAGATATTGCTTAACACACACAAACACATAACAATAAAACACTGTGTAAAAGAAAAAACACACTGCAAAAGCATAGTGTAAGTGGAGCACAACAGCAGGCTATTCATGGATCCCAGCATGCACAGACATTTGTAGTGTCTAACATGGGAAAAACAGGGGAAAATAACTGTCATAAACGTAGGGGTTGCTCGTGCGCAAGTTGGTGCCACTCCTGGCTAGGTTGCCTTGTTAAACCTTTTCTGTCTGGACAGCCCTACACTTCGTGGCTGTTCAGTCGCTAGCAGAATCCGTCAGTGGGCGTGTCTTACATCTTTTCCAGCATAAAAGTTGTTTGACTCCAAGTCTCCTCCTACTCTCCCTGCGCGGAAGTCTTCTGCGCAGCGAGGGCGTGGGTAGCGGAGGACCCGTGCTCTCCTCGCTGATCTCCGGCGAGGAGTCCTGGAGCCCCCTCGCTGATTCCCCCATCGGCCCCCTTTATCCCTGGTGTTACGCTGATTTCCTTCCCCAGCTGGTGAGCCGCCTCTCCCCCTGCTGGGCCCTTCTCCAGCATCGCTTGAGAGCCTAGCCTCCGCCTCTGGCTCCGATGTCAGTTCCCTGACAATAACCATCACCCACCTTACAGAACTATTGTAAGGATTTACAATTTTGTGTACAGGTGAAATGCAAAATATTGGGGTTTTCCCCTTACAATTTCAGCTCCTTCCTATTATAGATCTTTTCACGTTCAACTGAAACAAGATCAGCAACAGACAAAAGCCCGTTTATAATTCTGACCTATCTTTTTTTTTTTTTTTTTTAAAAAGACTGCATATTTTTCAAGACTAATTTAGGATGCAACACAACTAATGGCATGAACTCCATGTGAATTTCACACACACACACACACACACACACACACACACACTTTTTGTTTACAAGGGACAGTCACTTATTTTTGGTCTCTTTCTTTGATAAATCATCTCCCCAGTTTTTGCTTTTATGGAATACTTTGTTGTTTATATATATATATGCGCCCAGTGTCACATGCAGGTGAGCCTCTGCCCTTCTTCAGGGCCTGAAGAAAGGAGGCTGTGTCTAGATGCTGTGGTGAGTTTTGGTGGCATGTGGAAGCACAAGCCCGGTGAAAAACGAGGAACTTAGCTTACCTTTTCCCCATGTCTGGAAAGAGCAGGGTTGGTGGTCCACTGCACAATTTTATTTCGCTACCCATGACCAACAAAAAACAAATTGGAGACTCGGCCACCAAAAGCAGGTTTGATAATCTCTATCCTTTCTGACTGTCTACTTTTCATAGGTCAAATGTGGGCTAATACTGGGCATGCAACTAACTCCACGTAATTGCTACTCCGATCCCTGTTTACTGATGGGAAGTCTCATTCTCTTCTCAGTGACTCTCACAAACCCATCTTGAACGTCCTCCAAGATGCTCTCTCATAGGCTTAAGTTGCCTTATAGTACTGATCACTGAGCTGCTTCCTTTCCTTCGTCACCATTCATTCTGCACTCCGTACTTTACTGCTGGTCTGCATTCCCAACTTTCTGTATTTGATTTGCCTGTAATAGCCTCACGAACCAATCACTGCAGTGAAATCTAATGTGAAGACCAGGAGTGGAGCTGAGTTCATGTTATTGGACCCATCAACACTGCCCACTGGCCATGTTGGCTGAGGCTGATGGGAGCTGGAGTCCAACAACGTCTGGTTCTCCACATCCCCTGGGCTAGACCTACCTCGCAGAACAGTTGTAAGGCTATAATAGGGTGCAAAGGGAAATGGCACATGCAACTTGGGAGTTCCTTTGAGGAGCAGTTGGGTAAAAATTCTACTAATAGGCTTGGAAATGAAACAATGCCAGAGATAAGTAGCTCACCTAAAAGTCTCCTAATGAGACTCCTAGCTGCAAACACTCGCTCTGGAATTAGACCTGAATGACCTTAACACGGAATTACCCTGGAAGAGGCGATTCAGCGTGCAGCTGCTCCCGCTTACTAAAAACAGCCAGGATGACAACTTGAGAGCAAATGTAATTTTAGATCCACTGGATCAGAGTCCTAGGAGCAAACGGAAACGTCCAAAGCTTTTCAGTGTCCACTGCTTCAGCAACTTCCATCACTTTTCAAACTGGTTTGCACAGGCTTTTTCTGTGTTTCGCAGAGAAGTAACGTGAGACCTGCCAAATCTTTTTCTCCCAGCCAAAAATATCCCCTGATTTCTCTAGGATTATGCCCCTTTGGACCCTGATAGCCTGAAATACTGCACCCAAAAGGTTCTCCAAAGTATCTGATCTGAAAGCAACAATAGTGTAAAAACGTTGAAACTGCACAAGTCAGACTGATGGAATTTGCCGAAATGGCAAGTTTAACTAGCAAAATTACGAGATCAAGCCGAGGGAAATTTTTAAGGAGGATTGGAAATTGTTTGCAGATTGTTTAAAAAAATGTAAACATGTGAAAAGGCAGGTAGCTTTAGAATAAGAACAGCAGTAAAATTTATATCTGAAAACAGTGTGGAGAAAATAAGGCATAGAATTACAACATGCAGCATTAATTGGAAAATTGAGGAAACCACCAGGGAGAGAGTCCAAAGTTATTTGGTTGTAATTTGGAAAGTGTTGTAATTTTTTTGAAATATATAAATATTTAAGAAAATATTTAAGGGGGAAAAAATAAGCTGCACAAGTCAGAACATTCTGGACTCCGCTTTGGCAACTTACACTTAACAGAATTTGGATTATTTCTACTTCAACCTTTAGAGAGTCTGGAGGAAGGCCGCTGTAGTTTACAAACTTCTGGAAAAGTGTGACAGGGCCAAGAACTGTGGAAAATGGACCGTGAGCTATGCTGAGAGTCTCCTAACTGCAGGCTTCCAGCAGCTGCATTTAGACCTCTCCTAATAATTAATAAAATCACAGCATGCAGAAGAGCTGCTTCATTGGATGACCTCAGGTTCCTAGGATTATGAGGAAGAAACCCTTTCTCCAAACCATGCAGTATTTTCTACACGTTTATCACCCTCCTTTTTGGCAAAAACTGTGTTATCTTTATTCTCCCAGACCTTTTAGTTCATACTAGTTATATTATATTGGTTCTTTGTAAAATTCTTGCACTCTCCCAGCTCACTTGTTGGTTTGACATTGGTTTTGTATTGATTTTAATGCAGCTTGCATTTATGCTGGCCTAGCTTGGTTTGTGTGTGTGTGTGTGTGTGTGTGTGTGTGTGTGTGTGTGCTGGTTTATGAAGTTGGGTTACTGAGTTCACACTACTTATTGTATTTTCTATTTGTAATGAGTCTGTAAACCACCCAGAGGAATTCGTCGACAGGTGGTATAAATACTGATGAATAAATCAGTAAAACTCTAAAGGACTATCTCATCCTGGGCAATATTACCTGGTTTCCTGGTTTTATTTCCTACCCATTATAGCTACAGCTGAGTAAAACAACAAGAAGAAAAAGACTGTCTTCTCAACCAGGCGATCTCCCTTTATATTGGAAGTTTGTCTGCTCCCTCTCTGCTGGCATTCAGAACACCAGGTAAAAACTGCTATTCCAGCATGTTTTAGGAGCAGGTAGTATTCATCTCTATGTGGCCACCATTTTTACTTGCTGTGCAGCATTTATTTTAATTACTTATTGGCATTCCATTTTAACTCTTGACTATCAGCAAACTTCCAAGTGCCGTTTTCATTTATTACTACTTTTATATCCCACTTTTCCTCCAAGGAGCGCGAGGTGGCAGGCGTGGCTTCCCCCACTCCCAATTTTATCCTCACAACTGCCCTGCAAAGTAGATTAGGCTGAAAGTGTGACTGGCCCAAGCTCGCCCAGTGAGCTTCAGGGTTGAGTGAGGATTTATTTGTACCTTGGTCTATCCAGTTTAGTTCAGACATTCTGACAACCACACCAAATTGTCTGTCACACGTCACAGGTGAGGACAGAAAAGGTGGGGAATGAAGATTTTAATGACACAACAGGCAGACAAATCAACATCCTTAGATGGGCAATCTTGACACCAGATAGGAAAGTTGGGGAGGAGAACCCCCTTTGCGTATTTGACAGAGGAGCTAGAAAGAGGCATTATTTTTTTCAGCTTAACATGGAGAGTCACAAGCAAGTTATGACAAAACAAGTCACTCAAGTTTTTCAGTTTCCCTCCCTCTTTGAAGAGGGAACTCATGACTAATGAAACTTTGGGTCCTTGGCATTCTATACCAGTTACTATGATACGGCTGAAAACTTCTGTGTTGTAGCTGCAGAAGGCAATGCTGTTGCCTCCTGTGCACGGAATAGCAATTCCCACCTGCCAGATGTTTTGTGGCTGCTACGCCCCAAAGCCTGTTAGGAGCCTGATAGAAGCACACGAGTGAGTGCACTTACCATCAGGTTTACCGAAGGGTCCTACATGCCCGCGCTACCGCTGGCTGGATCCTCCAGTTGGTCTAAACAAGAAAGATATAGGAATGAAACCACAGGGGAAGTGGAATGAGAACAGTGAAAGAAAGAAAAAAAATGAAAACAGAAAAAAGTAGAACCAAACAGGTTTATGCTCTGTCGAAACAGAGAAGAACAAGACCACATGAAAGGAACAGAAAATAGCCAAGAGGTTAAAAGGATGAGACAAGGAAAGGTGGAGGGTTTTCTCTAAAGCTGCGCAGATCCGTTTTGGGGCCCATGCTTCAGAGTAGCCCCTAAATAAAAATCCTAATTAAACAGCAAAGCGGGGGGAGATGGAGATGCAGACAGGCATCCCACCTTGCTGCCAGACCACCCCCTCTTTTAACAGCCCCAGATCCCTCTGGGTGGACCTGAGCCAACCCACGGCTGCCTCCACCCAATCCGGTCGAATCCCAGGTCATCCCAAAGCTGTCTGTGATCTGTGATTTGGCCGGACCTGGTGCACAGCTCTCGCTCTTTCTCTCTTTTTAAATATAGCCTGTGGATACAAGGATGGGGGAATGACGTAGCTTTCCATGTAGAGCAGGCTTCCTCAACCTTGGCCCTCCAGATGTTTTGAGACTACAATTCCCATCATCCCTGACCACTGGTCCTGCTAGCTAGGGATCATGGGAGTTGTAGGCCAAAAACATCTGGAGGGCCAAGGCTGAGGAAGCCTGATGTAGAGCATACCAGGTTCAATCTCCAGGTAAGGCAGGGAGGGGGTGGAGGTGGGGAAAACCCTGCTAGAAAGAGAGTTTGGAGAGTTGCCACCATACAGTGTCAACAAGGCTAAGTTAGATGGACCAGTGTTGTGACCACGTATAAGGCGACTTCCTATGTGGTCTGGAGTTGGTGCAGCCCACTGGACCTAGGGTGCAATAGAAACTTAGCCAGATCTCTCTGGGTGGAATCTGGAGCAAGGCATACTCCCATGGTTTCAACTGCCTCCTCTGTAAAATGGGATTAATAGTGGTCTACTTCTGCTGAAAGGCTTAATGATGTAGAAACAGCAGTATGCACACAATGAGTGGTCTCTAATACTATCCCACCCCCAGTTATTCTCCAGGTGACCCTGTGTCAAAATATTAGATGGGTGGCAAAGAGCATCTTCAATGGCATTTAACTTAACTTTACCCTCATTGATTTGTTTGTTTTACTGATTGCTGTTTATCCATTTGTTTTATCAACTGTGTGTGCTACTTGTTGCCATTTTTTAAAATAAAAAAGTAGTGTTAGCTTTATCTTGCTTTAGTTTATGGGCTGTTTATGCGAGAAACTTTTGGGAGTGCACCTTATTTTTGTTAAAGTGGGAAAGCAGCAGACGGGTATTTCAAAGTAAGTGAAGAGGTGGAGCATACTTCATTTGGTCCTACTTGCAGCATCCTACAACCACGATGACTGCATGTGACTGGGATGTAAGCAGCTGACACAACTCAGCCAGAGCAGGGATGTCAGAATGAGGTTACAGTCAAATGCACCTATGTGGAATTTTGGAAGTTGCAGATTGGGTTTTGATGCACAGTCTGAAGCCTCGTTCACAATAACCACCCAGGAGGTGGACAACCGCTCCTGGGCCCTTAGACAATAGACGGCAAGTGGGAACTGCATGAAATATTTTTTAAAATGCTCTTACAAGAGGGGAAACAAGATGTCAAGGAGAAGGGGCTCTTTCCTAGCCTTCCTCCAGAAGTTGTTTTCTACGGCTGCCTTCAGATGCAACAGGTTAAGCAAAGGAGCCAAAGCACTCAAGCTGAGCACTCCCTGCATTTCCCACAACCTCCCTGCAAGTACTTTCTGCACAGTTTAAGAGGCTTTGTTTCAAGTTACACTGCATTCAGAGGCCAGGCTGGCTTTTGAGAAGCAGGAACCTGCTCCGTTGCTGCTCAGAGAGCTGTGACACATCCTCCAACAGGCTGCCTGTTCAGTTCTGTCCCTGCTGGCATTTCTAGAAGCAGGATAGGACAGTTTTGTTTGGGCATGCTTCAGGTTCTTAGGTTTCACTGCAAGGAGGGGGGCAGGGGGAGTTGGGTTGCTTTTAAAGGATAGCTTTGTTTTGTTCTTATTTGGCTGCAAGCTGCTTTGAACCCCACTCCATTTGTTTAAAGAGGTGAAAAGGTGTATGCAAATTTAGCAAAGTAAGCAAATTAAGTATTACAGCAGTGGGAATCCAAGGCACAGGGGCATCTACAAGAGATCACTGCATTTGGGTTTGGGAGCGCTATGACACCCACAGTGTAAGCTATATAGTCCATCCCTGACTCAGGGACATAACTAATGCAAACCCACCCGGACCACCATATTAATTTGTGGACACTGCAAGTGGAAAAAAAAGATGCTGACAAATGAAGGAACCGTCAGAAGATAAAAAAAAAGGCATGACTGAAATTAATCCTTTTTGTTTTGTTTTTTAACGGACAATAAAATAAGAGAGATGTTATTGCTACTTTTCCCAAAAGGGGGGAAAAATGAAGTTGCTACACTATAATTCCTATTCTTGGAGCTGAATTGTTGCCACACATTTTGATGGCCAATCAGATTGGGGTATTTGGTGGGAAAGTATTAAGGCAAGATGAATGATTGGGGGGTGGGGTGGGGGAGAATAGGAAGAAAAACGAGGACAAATGGATTGTGGGGGGACGGGACCTCTTATGAAACACTCAACCATACTGCTACAGTCAATTCACACTTCAGCAAATCTTGTACAGCCAAAATGCAAAGGTGGTAATGAGAGCATTGCTGGTGTGTTTGACTGGATTACTCAATGATCAACACCATTGGGGCTGCAGAATACAGAATATCCTCAGGCATCTGGTGCAGTCTCGGGGCCTGTTGGGCACACTGCTCCCACAATATGCTGCTGAGGGCACCTGAACAGCACAACCTCAGGCTCCTTTTGCTTCTCACGTGCCTTAGAGTCCTTCTTCATCCACATCAATTGAAATAGAGAATGTTTCGAAATGCACAAACACACATTTTCCTACGTAAAGGAACCAAGGTGGCAGAAGCGGAGAAGCTGGTTTTAAGGCATGCAAGTCTAGTGGTGTTTGTAAAATTCATGTGGTTCATTTCTCTTTTTAAAGGTTTTTCAAAATTATTAATATGATATTTTATTCATTTTGTGTGATTGTTTTCAATTTGTGGTTTACCTTGGAAATTGGCAGCTGTCTTGGCAGTTCCTTTAGCACACACATTGACTCAAATCTTAATACAGTGGTACCTCTGGTTAAGAACTTAATTCGTTCCGGAGGTCCATTCTTAACCTGAAACTGTTCTTAACCTGAGGTACCACTTTAGCTAATGGGGCCTCCTGCTGCCGCTGCACGATTTCTGTTCTCATCCTGAAGTAAAGTTCTTAACCCGAGGTACTACTTCTGGGTTAGTGGAGTCTGTAACCTGAAGCGTCTGTAACCTGAGGTACCACTGTAATAAACTTTCTTGACTAGCCACACTTTAATGATCTTGCATTTTACTGAATATCTTCCACACCACCTCAATATTTTACATGACTTGTCAGTACATGCATACTTTTATAAATAAAAATTAAAGTAAACTCATTTCATAGTGCTAAAAATTTATTATGCATTCAACTAAATGTATGACACTAGTAGATCGTATTAGGTTACAGAATCCTCTAAAACCAGTTAACTTTCAGGAACAAATTCAGTTCTGGAAGATATTGAATTCAATATAGGCTGCAGATCCATGGCAGAGCAGCTGTTTCGCATGTAGGAGGACTCAGATTCAATCCTGCCAACATCTCCAGCTATGACTGGGAAAGAGCACTTGTCTGAAACCCTGGAGAGTCACTGTAGAATCTACTGAGTATAAAATATTGTGCTAGACCGACTCATACACTGCCTTGGAATAAGACCGTCTCATTTGTTCCTAGCTAGAGAGCAATTTTAGACAGATTGCATGCACTGCTGGGATTCCAGACCCTTCCCCACATCACAAACTACTTTTAAATCTCCTTTAAGTTGGAGAGGAAAAAAACACATTTTTTTAAACAGACTTGAAACAAGTCCACAACCCACTTTGGCACAGGAAACTAACCAGCTTTTCAGATCCTGGTCACACTTTGTAAAGTGAAATGTGGAAGCTGGTATGAATAGCCGTAGAAGTTTTCAAGGCCCTGGAGGGAAGTTTATGGAACTATTCCAGGAGGATTACATAAGCCCTTCAACATCTTTTGAGCCCAGCTACAGTATATTCAGAGCCTGACACATTTACCTCAGCACCTGTTAGTATGCCTGTTAGCAAAAAAGCAGAATAATTGTCATTTTCCAGGCTCTACTCGAAGTCATGCCCCCCTCCTCAAAAACCCCAGAATACAATGGAGCAGTTGTTCCAGCTGGGAAGAGCAGTATGCTTGGACAGCTTGTTATCAAACTACCCCCAGACTTGTAGATCACTTCGTTAACTGTCTTGAGCCATGAAAATACCCCATGCAGAACCATGGCAAGCTGTTCTGGGAGAATCTAAGCAGAAACTGGAAGATTTATGTTAGGATTCTGGTGGAAATGCCTCAAGAGAAATTGCATGTTCTTTATCATTCAAGTTATGGTCCCGATATTGATCTCCCCACACCACAACAGGTCAGAAGAGAGGTAAGCTCTCTTACCCAGGTTTCATTCTTGACTAGGAATGTAAGACAAACATAAGACTAAGAACATAAAAAGAATGCTGCTGGATCATGCAAAGGTCTATTTGCCCCAGCTTCCTGTTTTCACAGTGGCCAGCCAGATAGATGCCCATGGGAAACCCAGAAGCAGGAGATCATGCAACAGCCTCTCCCCATCTGTGCTGCATGCAAACTGGTGCTCAGAGGCAGCATGCTGCCTTCTTGTCTTACTATGTCTGGGCTACAGAAAAACCAAAGGCCCATCTAGTCCAGCATCCTGTTTGCAGCATTAGCCAACCAGATGCTTCCTGGATTCCCAGCAGCCAAGCCTGAAGGCAAAAGCCCTCCCACTTGTGATTCAATGGTACACTGCCCAGGAATGTGGAGGATCTACAACAGCCATCATGAACCAACAGCTTGTTGATAGACCTCTTCACATCGCTGAACTAGTCTAATCCCATTTTAAAGCTAGCTGAACTAGAGGCTGTCATCACAAATTCTGCATATCAACTGCGTGTTGTGTGAAGTGGTGAAATGGTAGGAACCTAATTCATTTCTGAAAACTTTTCTTTTTAACCTCCAGCCAGGCATGCCTGCTCTATGTAAACTTGGGAAAGTGTGTATGGCCAAAAGGTTTCTAACATTAACACACAAGGCTATTGCATACAGTTGCAGAGGGCCTTCTTGGTAGTGGCGCCCTCCCATCAGATGTCAAGGATATAAACAACTATCTGACTTTTAGAAGACATCTGAAGGCAGCCCTGCTTAGGCAAGATTTTATCGTTTGATGTTTTATTGTGTTTTTAATATTCTGTTGGGAGCAGCCCAGAGTGGCTTTTCAGCAGTGGGCCAGTCCACTGTCCCACAGACCATGTAGTGGGCCGGACTATATTTTTTGGGGGGAAATGAACGAATTGCTATGCCCCACAAATAACCCAGAGATGCATTTTCAATAAAAGCACATATTCTACTAATGTAGAGACACAAGGCAGGCCCCACAAATAACCCAGAGATGCATTTTAAATAAAAGGACACATTCTACTCAAAAACTGGATGATTCCCAGACTGTCTGCGGGCTGGATTTAGAAGGCGATTGGGCCACATTTGGCCCGTGGACCTTAGGTTGCCTACCCCTGAGCTAGGGAAACACAGCCAGATGGGCGGGGTATAAATAATACATCATCATCACCATTATATAATAAACAGAGATGCTCACTGTATGTGTGTATTAGATGTCTGAGATAACACTTGCACCATGCTTCACAAATGGGGCTACTACTTGGGGTTTTTATGCACATGTATTATTATTTTTGGTAGTAATGGGCAGACGTTTATTGCTATGTAAACATTCAAGGGCATGGAAATTTTCATCAGAAGGTGCCCCTGTGCTCTGTATTACCTTCAGTGTGAGGCAGTATGCCTCTCAATACTAAGAATGTAAGACAGGCCTGCTGGATCAGGCCACTGGCCCATCCAAGCTGGCATCCTATTCTCACAGTGGCCAACCAGAGGTCTATGGGAAGCCTGCGAGCACAACTCACAAGAGCAACCCTCCCACTCCTGGCGTTTCAATAGCTGGTATTCAGAAGCGATACATCCTCCAACTGGGAAGGTAGAGCACAGCCATCATGACTAGTAGCCACTGATAACTCCTCCACAAATTCATCCAATCCTCTTTTAAAGCCATCCCAGTTGGTGGCCATCACTGCCTCTGTAGAAGTAGAATGACTACTAGGCAATATTTTATTTATTTAACAAAATTTGTAGTTGTAAATAGAACTTTTAATGTTTACAAATGTGTGTGTGTATAATCTCACTATACAAGTTAAAAACAAGTTTAAAAAATTAATAAATGAATAAAACCAACAATTACAAATATACATTATAAACTAAAATTACAATTTAAAATACATGTCAACTTTATCTGTCTCATTAGGCTATGACTATTTTCTCCCTCCTCTGTTGGAAGTGCTATGTCTCTAAATACCAGTTGCTGGGAATCACAAATGGAGGGACCACTGCTGCATTTAGGACCTACTTACAGGCTTCCCATAGCCAACTGGTTAGAAAGTGTGATAACAGGATGCCTGATCCAGCAGGGCTCTTCTCATGGGGCTTTTATTTTTTTTCATATCCTGCCCTTCCTCCCAAAGGAGCCCAGGTATGCTTAAGTGTCGACCTTGAATTTAAAAAGAGAAACAGCTTGCAAATTTGGGAAAGGACCATTCCTCTTGCTTTGCATGCTGAAGCTCCCAGGTTACATGCCCTGCTTGGAACCCTGCAGAGCTGCTGCCAGCCAGTGTAGACAATACCAGCCTTGCTTTGCTTTTAGGAGAAGAACCATAGCTGTGTGGTAGAGCATCTAATTTCCAATCAGGAGGTCCCAGGTCAAATCCCAGGCATCTCTAGATAGAGCTGGGAAAGAAATCCCAAAGAGCCGCTGCAAGTCAGTGTAGATAATGCTGAACCACAAAGACTAATGGTCTGACTCTGCACAAGGCAGCTTCCCAACTTCCTAATAGCTGCATCAGCAACAGAAATTACACACAGGACAGAGAGACACAGAGCAGCTTCTGAGGGAGTTGCTTCTAATTTAGTTACTCTGGGGAAGAACAGGGAAACAAATTGCAGATGTATTTTCCAAGGTTAAGTGGATTCACTCAGATATGGTCATTCCTTTGCTCCCAACTCCAGTTGAATTCCAGTTGGAGACTCAGGCTTCAAAACTGCAACCAAACTGATTCTGCACATGCAGCCATTCCTAGTTTTCAAAAGCATTCTTTTTTTAAAAAAATCACAACAACAAAAGACAAAACGCGGCAGTTTTGTAAAGACAAAATAAAAGTAGAGAGGGAAGTCACCCAACTCTTCCCCAGTATGTATTGTCCTATAAGCCCAATATTGGTTGATGTGTCTGCAAGGGTTGGGGGTGGCAAAAGGGACCCCCCCCCCATAATGAATAATTATTCCCAGATTCTTCCCCGAACACACATTTCTAAGAAAGTTTGCAGTGTTCGGGACTTTTTAATTTAGAGAAAATGAGAGTAAGAGGTTTCATAACAGATGATTATAAAATTATGCATAGCATAACAAAGTGGATAGCAAAACGTTTTGCTCCTGCTCTCATAACCCATGGACATCCATTGAAGCCGAACACTGGAAGATTTGCGGAAGAAAAGAAGCAATTCTTCATGCATAGCAAACTATGGAACTTGTGATGGCTATCAACTTATGATGGCTTTGAAAGATTAGACTAATTCATGGAGAGGAAGGCTATGCTCTGCCTCCATAGTTGGAGGCAGTAAGTCACATCTAGTTATTTCAATGGGTCTACTCTGAGTAGGACTAGTACTGGAAGCGGTGCAGTGGCAGGGGACTCAGTGGGGACTGTTTTGAGCTTTTGATCCCAAGCATTGCAGCCCTCAAGTTTTTGACATTCAAGCTGGCTGAATCAACTCAGCTGGGACTAATTGCCATTTGGCACCTCCTTCTCCCCAAAAATGACCCCTTCCACTGGGTTGCATGGGCAGAGGGCAAAGTGCAAACAGCAAGGCCCTCCTTTATCAGTTGAGAGAACCTGACCATTTGGCACTTCCCATCTCCTGGAACAGTCTTATGAAGTAGCTATGTAAGCTTTGGAGGACGAGGTGATCAATGGCTAGTAGCCACGATGACTATATTCTGCCTTCCCTGTTGAAGGTGTTATGTCTCTCAATACCGGCTGTTGTGACTATCAAGTGTAAAGCAGGCTGTTGCACTCAGGACCTGCTTGTGGGTTTCCCATTTAGGCACCTCATTGGCCACTGGGAAAACAGGATGCTGGACCTCTTGCCTGATCTAAGCAGGGCTTTTCTTATGTTGTTTCATTTGGATTAGCTCAAGCAACTTCACAACTAATAAGGGCGGTGCCATTCCCAGCATGCGATTTGCTCACCTGACCAATGGGATTGTTTCAAAGTTAGTGAACATAAGATGACATCCTCCATTTTTGTTCTTAGACTGAGGATATTGTAGACTCCAACTCCTATCAGACCTGGACAACATGGCTAATGACAAGGGACGATGGGAGCTGGAGTCCAGAACATCTGGAGGGGACCATATGGACTGTCTGTCCTTGATCCTTCAATGATTCAATGGCCAAGTGGGCTGGCTTCACCCTGCCCTTCCCCACAAACTAGTGTGAAGTAAATAAAGGCACCAACTCACTCTGTAACATTATCGCTCCTGGAATGTGGATCCACTACTAATACAGTGGTACCTCGGGTTAAGTACTTAATTCGTTCCGGAGGTCCATTCTTAACCTGAAACTGTTCTTAACCTGAAGCACCACTTTAGCTAATGGGGCCTCCTGCTGCCGCCGCACCACAGGAGCCCAATTTCTGTTCTCATCCTGAAGCAAAGTTCTTAACCCAAGGTACTATTTCTGGGTTAGCGGAATCTGTAACCTGAAGCGCATGTAATCTGAAACGTATGTAACCCGAGGTACCACTGTACTACTAATACTAATTACTACTAATATTAAAAGGAGCAGCAGTTTTCTTGTTAGGACTGGATACATATATAAAGCCTAGAAGCACATTTTCTGGAGTAAAACAAAACAAAACATTATGTTAGTCCTCCTCAGAGTCATACCCTCTTAAGCTAATGGACATGACTATCTTAGGTTCATTAATTTCAATAGGTCTACTCTAAGTTAAACTTAATTTAATACAACCCCAATTACTCTGGACAGTAGATTAAGAAATATTCTGTTTCTTCCATCATTGTCAGAAATGTGCAGAAGTTATAACTCAAAGGCACCTACATCTTATCACAGAAGTTCAGCAGTACAATAGGAAAACCTATATTTTAGCCACTATCTAAAACCACATTTAATTTTTTTTTATTTTAAAAAACAACAATGTATTTTTCATTCACAATGATGCTGAAATATTTTATTTGCTTACAAACCCACAAACAAATGAGTTTCTTCCTTCTCACCTGTCTTGTTATTATTTCTATCATAATAACTTGTTTGATTCATTACAAATTGAAACATGTCCTTAATATGTACACATGGAGGCCTTGTTTTTCGTTAACCTCTCTGAATATATACTGATCTTTTCCTTCCCATTAATTTCAAAAGCAGCCCCACCCGCAATAAGAAATTTAAAATTAAAAAACACAAACTACAGGCCTAGTTTTCTTTAGTGCAGTGCTGCAAACAGTAAAGGCATAATGAAGGAATAAATGCAAATGCCGTGTCTTGATGAGTCATCACCCAAATTTCAACACCACTCTGAAATAAAACCCTAAATGCAACCTGTCTGAATTCAATACCTGGCATTCTCCATGCACCAAAAAGTCATTTGCTACCTAAACTCATGCCAGTTAACACTATCGGGAGGCAATATAAAATGTTTGCATACTTAAAAAATAAAATAAAAATGCAGTGCTTTTTAAATCTTTTGAAATCATTTTCAGAATCCATCTGCTGGCACAAAGTGCAATAAACAACAAAGGCAACTAAAAATACTTCCACGGTGTTAAAAAAAGAGAACCACATCGTTCTCCCAACACGTCTGATAAAGCAAAAACATGAAAACCTTAAAAACTCAACTTGCCAGCAGGTTATTTTTCTCCTTCAAGTTTTAACTAACTTCTGGTTTGAAAAGGACCGACACAGCGGAGAAAGAACTGTCAAATCCCCCCCCCAAAAGGAAATTGATGTGACCGTTCTACTCTTTGATCGAATGAAAGGGGGGTAGACGGCAGATATATATATATATATATATATATATATATATATATATATATATATACATACATACACACACACACACACACACACACACACAACACACACACACACACACACACACACACAACTTTAACTGGAAGCTGTTTAAATTGAGGAGGCAAGCACCAGAGCTTGGGGAGAAAAAAGGTCACACAGACATACTTGCTGGTATGACACTCCCTTCAGTGAGAAAGTATTAGGAGTGTTTCTTAATCCTACAAGCAGGAACTGGGGGAGGGGGGGTAAGGAAGGAAGAGAAGAAGAAAAAAAGTTTGCCTTTTTTCATGCCACTCCATGCCACGCACCCCCCCTTGGATTTTTCCTTCACACAGAGAACGGGAGAGATGGGAGAGAGAGGGAGGCGAAACTTCTTACCTTTCTTGGTTTTCGGAGAGTTCCTCTTGCTGCGATTGCTGGCTCTCTCCTCTTCGATAGCAGCTGCTATCTCTGGGTTGTCTTCCCCATTGTACCACACCAGGAGCTCCTCGCCTGGCTCAATTGGCTGGAGGAATAAGAAGAGACAAGCAGGACACCAATCAAGAGGAAGGTTGTTAATAAAAAAAAAAAAAGAAGGGGGGGGAGAGAGAGAGACAGAGAGAGAAGCAGGCTCAGGGCCAGAGGGCGTGGAGCTTGCTGTGCGGATCACAAACAGCTGTACTCTGCACTAAGAACAGATTTCCTAACTGCCTGCCTGGCCAAACAGGAAGGACTCTTTAACCCTTGGTGGCTTGTGCAAGCGCAGCGTCACAAGGGAAGGAACAGAAGAGAGGAGAGAGAGAGGGAGAGAAAGAGCGAGCCAGTTGCACCACACCCCTCTGCTGGAAGGAGGATTGCATTTATCCAGCGCATTAGCATGACTTGCACATTGCACTGAAACTCCAGCTTGCTTTATGGCAGATTGGGAGAGAAGCAAGCAAGCAAAAAAAAAGAAAAAAGGACAAGAAAACCCACACCTCTCCAAATGGCATCGCTCATTTCAACAGGTTCTTCTCAAAAAGGCAAGGAGGAAAAATGAACAATGCATTTGAAAGGAAACAGAATCTTTCACATTTTACTTTAAACATCTCTAGGATGTTCGCGTCTGACCTCCCATATTTTCTGCTGTTACAAGCAAGCAGCTCAAGCGTAATGATCAACACACATAGAAGGGATTTAAAACAAATATGATGATGATTCTGAAAACTTCAGCAACAGAATGGTCTTCTCTTAAGAAACAGAAAAAGCCCCCTCATCTATTGGGGAAAGGATGTTCCTCTAATGGGACACCACCACTAAAATGTCCCTCTCCCCAGTTCATCCCTCCCTCTGACTTTGATCTTAAATTTCAGGTGGATTCATAAACAAGAGTCCCAACAATTATCTATGACCTTGGCATCTCTTTACACATCAAGTCCACCCCCCCAACATCTTAAGACTTCATTCATGTATTAGAGATATTTATTTCCCTTCTACAACAGCACCCTCCCTGCCACAGCAATATCATAAGATCAAAATATACAGTGCAGGAAAAAGCCCAGCAGATAAAAGTATCCAGGGTCAGCTCAGTAAAATTGATCAACCCAGCAGGCCAAACGCCAAAGAATGCAAAGTAACGAGGCTCTCTCTCTCTCATGCTACTGGCAGGGCAGAAAATAGACACACACACACATCGCAAAGACCAGCTTTTACAGAGAGGTATAAAAACTGTTTTGCAAGGCCTTTATTTGGATTTTCCCCCCTGCTTGGATTAGCCTCACAACAATTATTTGCAGTAAATTAGGCTGAGAGATAGTAACAGGTCCAAGGTCACCAAGCAAGTAGGCCTTGAAGCCCAAGGTTCCCCCCCCCCCCCCGCCTGCAATTGGAGGTAGCTGTCAGAACATTTGTGTATCTAGCTTACCAGACCTAAATCAGCCTTTAACAACTTGGTGCCCTCCAGAACTTTGAGACTACAGTTCCTTGCACTAAAGCAAATGAAGACTGCCGTATCAGTTTTACTGCCCACCTTGTCTGTCTTCGCTTTTGAGACCTGTTAACTGACTGTACTGACAATATCATTATACACTGATAATAACAAGCATTTTTATTTATATCCGCCAGCCTTTTAATAAACATTCAGGTGGGGATATAAAAGTAGATTTCAGAATCAAAGAATGCAAGGGACTACAAAAGATCACTCAGCCCAACCTCATGAGAGTGTAGAAAAGCTCTTACTAAAGTGCCTCTTAACATATAAGTGAACACATTGTAATTTCCCTCCTACAGATACATGAACCTTTTCCAGCCAGTCATGATGTGATGTAATACCGAAGTACATTTACCTCTGATTCCTTACCCTGTACAGTGGTACCTCCAGAACGAATTAAGTTCTTAACCTGAAACTGTTCTTAACCTGAGGTACCACTTTAGCTAATGGGGCCTCCCGCTGCCGCCGCACGATTTCTGTTCTCATCCTGAAGCAAAGTTCTTAACCCGGTACTATTTCTGGATTAGCGGAGTCTGTAACCTGAAGCATCTGTAACCTGACGTGTCTGTAACCCGAGGTTGTATATATTGGGTTGTAGTGGATGCTAGTACTACTCAGAGTAGATTCAATGAAATGAATGGTAGTGGCCACTGATTTCAATGCATCTACTCTGAGGGACGCAGGTGGCGCTGTGGGTAAAACCTCAGCGCCTAGGACTTGCCGATCGCATGGTCAGCGGTTCGAATCCCCGCGGCGGGGTGCGCTCCCGTCGTTCGGTCCCAGCGCCTGCCAACCTAGCAGTTCGAAAGCACCCCCGGGTGCAAGTAGATAAATAGGGACCGCTTACCAGCGGGAAGGTAAACGGCATTCCGTGTGCTGCGCTGGCTCGCCAGATGCAGCTTGTCACGCTGGCCACGTGACCCGGAAGTGTCTGCGGACAGCGCTGGCTCCCGGCCTATAGAGTGAGATGAGCGCACAACCCTAGAGTCTGTCAAGACTGGCCCGTACGGGCAGGGGTACCTTTACCCTTTTTTACTCTGAGGAAAACCTAGTTGGCACAACCCATCATATATAAAAGCTGAAAGCTCTGTGACTTTTTAAATATATATTAAAAACTTGAGCACTGATTTCAGCAGCCCCCACTCTGAAACCTTGTGCAGGAGACTATGCAACAGGGAATACATACTTTTACAAACATAGTAAGAGTCCTGCTGGTTCAGACTGAAGGGTGCCCATTTACTCCAGCTTCCTGTTCTCAGTGACCAACAAGATGCCCATCAGAAAACCGCAAGCAGGGCAAGAATGAAACGATACTCTCCCCACCAGTTTTAGCTTATGTAAGAGAACTGCAGGACAGAAAACACTCTGACCTGATAAGAGTATCAACTGTTTTACATTCACTATCATACAGTTCTTTATTGAAAGTTAACAACATCGCCCAAAGTCTCCTGAGTAAGTTCATGACCAGGCATGTACACAAACATTCTGGGTTATGCTGACATATTCTGATGCTCCCCATCCTCCATAGATACTGTAATAGAAGTCAAGGCTGCTTTTAACCAATAGCATGAACAGCTAGTCCAGAGGAGCTTCTCATATGAATTTGCACACAGTTGTTCTGATGCAATTATTTTTCCCACTATACCTTTGTCTGTATGTCTTTTTGCAACAATATAGCTGTAAAAAGGTAGCGAAAATACTTTAAACAGTGCAATGCTAAGCATGTTTACTAAGATGTAAATCACATTGTCTTCAATGGGTCTTAATTCTGAGAACGCACACATAGGATTGCAGCCTAAGTGCAAGATGAATCACTGGGCCCAAGGCAGCATCCACCAGAGAGTTTTCAAAACACTCAAATGTAAAGTTGCTGAACTTCTGGAAAAAATATGCAACTTGTCCCTTAGATCAATATCCATACCTGTAGCCAATCTACTAGAATGTAGCCAATCTAACACCGGTTTTGTAAAAGCGATCCAGGGGGAATTCATGCATATGCAGGGAGAAAAAGAATCATAGAATCATAGAGTTGGAAGAGACCACAAGGGCCATTGAGTCCAACCCCCTGCCAAGCAGGAAACACCATCAGAGCACTCCTGACATATGGTTGTTAAGCCTCTGCTTAAAGACCTCCAAAGAAGGAGACTCCACCACACTCCTTGGCAGCAAATTCCACTGTCGAACAGCTCTTACTGTCAGGAAGTTCTTCCTAATGTTTAGGTGGAATCTTCTTTCTTGTAGTTTGGATCCATTGCTCCGTGTCTGCTTCTCTGGAGCAGCAGAAAACAACCTTTCTCCCTCCTCTATGTGACATCCTTTTATATATTTGAACATGGCTATCATATCACCCCTTAACCTCTTCTTCTCCAGGCTAAACATGCCCAGCTCCCTTAGCCGTTCCTCATAAGGCATCGTTTCCAGGCCTTTGACCATTTTGGTTGCCCTCCTCTGGAGGGAGAAGGATACCAGTTGCTGGAAATCACAGGAAGGGAGAAAACTCTTGTGCTTGTGTCCTGCTTGTGGGTTTCCCACAGGCATCTGGTGGGCCACTGTGAGAACAGGAGGCTGGACTACACGGATCTTTGGTCTAATCCAGCAGGGCTCATCTTATATTGGATCAAAACTAATCCTTTTATTGGATCAAAACACAATTCTAAAAAAACAACAACAATTTTACCATATTTTCAGAACACTTTTCAACCGTTATGATTCTCAAAGAGGTTCACCCAATTTTTTTTTTAAAAATCAGATTTTTAGCACAATTAACAGAGCCATGCTACCAGGTGCTCTCAATGGTATTCAGCAGGTGGTATCATGTTGTTCCTGGCACTGCTTCCTTGGAAAGTTAGCGGTGGCTTTCCACCTATATAAAGAATCTCAAATCACATGTCTGTTGAAAAAACTGACAGCTGACACTCAAAAGGCTGATTGCCATAAGTCTCCTCCCCTCCAAGAATAAACAGGTAGTAGAAATAATTTAATTTTGTTACAGCTTCCTAATAATTCCTGGATCTAGGTGCTCTGAAATTGTGATGAGGTGACATATTCAAGGATTATAAAAACCTCATTCTAATTACATAGGCAAGATAGCAAAACATAAAAGGCTGAAGAAGTACAACTCTACTGGGGAAAACATATTAGCATTAAAATGGGTTTGGCTAATTATCATTGATTAACAATTTGATTAAATCACAGAAGTCTACAATTTTACACACATAGGTAAGTTTTGTTCAGATTTTGACTATAGCAGAAGGTTAGTATAAATTTAGAACTGACCAAGAAAGGAAAACGCACTCTACAAGTAATGCTATTATCTACACAAGTGTGCAGTGACATAGAATTAAAAATATCCAAGGTACCTTATAATATTTAAAAGTCAACTATGATAAACAGCAACATTAAACACCACCATCACAAAATATCAACAGCAAAATGAGCCAAATAAAACAACACAGAAGAAGAAACAGTATCAGGTAATTCTGTAGTCACTAATGCAACATTTGTAACCTTCTTCTCATAATATCTGGTGTTTTAGCTAATATTATTAACATTAAACTGTTTGTTTCTGAACGAGATTACAAAAATAACCAAGAAGGATGTCACTGGTAGTTTTCTTGTTTTCTTGTAACAATGTTTTCTTGTTAATGCACCTTAAAAAGCTATGATCGATGTAACAGTTTTGCAACCTCAAGAATTTATCTGTAACTTGGATAAGTGTTGTCTCGAAAAGCATGCATCAATTCCACCCCCACCCCGCATCAACAGCAATATGCATAAAGAGCAAATGTTTCATGGCCAAGTGTCAAACGTACAGTAATGTTTATTGGAAACAATGGAGAAAAGGTTTTCTGGCAAATGACCTGTGACCAACGGAACATAACCAAGGCACTTGTCAGGGTGTCCCGTTGAGCCAGAAGAGGTTTAGTCATGCTGGCCGCATGACCCGGAAAGCTGTCTGTGGACAAATGCCAGATCCCTTGGCCTGAAGTGAGATAAGCGCCGCACCCCATAGTCAAGTTTGACTGGATTTAACCGTGCAGGGGTCCTTTACTTTTTTGCTAGGAACTATACCATTATTATTTTTTTAAAGAGACAATTCTTGGCTTATGACTTACAAACCAGAAGAAAATATAGGGCACCTAAGGGAAAGAGGAGTGGAAGAGGAAACAAGAATACACAGCTATTTTATTGGAGCAACACTTCATTAAAGGGGGAAAAGCATGCCTTCAAGATGGCTAGCATGTCAGAGAAGTGTCAGAAAAGGCCACAGGGTCTCTCCCCCCCCCCTTACTTACAGGAGAGTGGAGATGCTGGCAGTAGAAAGAAGGACTATTTGACATCAATATTAGGGATCCCTCCAGAAGGCTCAAGGACTGCATGTCACGAAGCAAAACGATGGGTCAAGCAGCCAACTAGGGATTTATGGGCTGTATCCCACTAAGAACAGACCCACTGAAACCAATAGATCTAAGTTACTCGTGCCCATTAATTTTAATGCGTTTAATCTGAGTAGGACTAACCACTGGATACAGCCCTATGTCATAAAATATCAGACGCAATGTACTGCAATTGCACATATCCCTCAAATGGAGCATTTAACTGTGGTCACCAATCTATTTCTAACGTGGCCCTTATTCAGTTTATTTGGAAAACCTATACCCCACCCTTTCAAATGCATTTGAAACAATAAGGATGGACCACAACTTTAAAAAAACATCTATGCAAAACAAGCAATCTTACCACTGAACTACAGTCTCTTGCAAAGAGATGTATGGGAGACTCCCAAAGTCCCTGAGAAAGAGCTGAACAGCTTTTTAAAAAGTCATACTTTTCTGGCCCATCTAGCCTAGCACAGCTCCACCCCAAAGAGCTAAGGCTATGCTTTTTACCAGAGAACTTTTAAAGTGGAAGATGCCACGAAATGAACTTGAGGGCTTCTGGCTGCCACTCGGGTACTCTGCCACGAAGCTATGTTGCATCTCCTGTAGTAGCAGGTTGCACTTTTGCACAGCAGCAATGGGAAGACAGGGTATTGAAATTTGTACAAAGGCAACTGATATAAGCAGAGGCACTGCTACCTTTAAAGTTTTGTAGTAGATGGTTCTGTTGATCTCCAAAGGGAATAGGTTCTGCTCCTTTCCTGAGCGAGCCCAGTTCACATAGCGCAGCCAGTTCCCCTTCTCTGGATCTGTGGCATCAACACACATCCATCCCAAGTTTGGGTAATAGACCTTGTGAGGTTGAACATATGTGTGCATGGAGACAGAGAGGAGGAAAGAAACAAAAGTACTCATTAATCATGAGAGCATGCACCCATTGTCTCAGTTTTAAAATGTGGGTGTTTTATATGACTTGGTCCATATGGAGCACCTTGGAAGACTGAAGACTACCTACTCACATGGCAGTGCTGACAGGAAGTTGCTCTCTGAAGTGGGAAGTCTGGGCTTTAGGCCTATTTTTGCTACTCACTGGTGGTGGAGGAGAAAGGGATGTGCAGCAACAAGATCATTGACTTTGGAATCTATCTTAACTACTGCATCTGCATTAGATTACGGCTGGATGCACAGTGAAGCAGAATAAGCAAGAAGGACAACTTTTGCAGACACCGTTCTGCACAATATTTATTGAAAATTTACAAGAGAATCTTTGCCTTCCTTGCCTGCAAACAAGAGGCATTATTACAGCTCAAGGGCACATTTCAGCAGGACCAGCAAGGAATGGCCTGAGGAGTCTTCCGGGGGCAAACAGGGAAGCCCAAGGGTTACACTTGGCCCCCAGGCAGGATTGAGATATCTCACACTTGCTCTATACATCAGTCATGATTTTATATGCATTTATTGCATCCCTCTTAGTAGTCTCTTACCCCTACTTCTCAGAAACTAAAAAGCAAACAAACCATGGCTTGGTCTAACAATGCCAGCTACCATAGCAAGAGAGTTAAGCTACATTTTAATTTTAATTACATTTCTGATTTGCCTTTGGTGATCCTTAAAACCAAGAGAAAAACTATTTACGGTTTATATGCTTATTGTTTGATATCTTATTTTATATGCTTTATTGTTTGATAGTGATGCCATTAGCCACCATGAGCTACTTTTTAAAAAGGATTATAGAACTTTCAAATCATTATATATAAAAAAGGAATTGCTCATCAGTCACTGCTTACCTCCCACATGTACACATTGCTTTTAACCTGAGATCGTTTCTTCTTGTCACCAGCAAACGGGCCAAACTTTCTGCCTCTGAAAATTGGCTTTGTTGCCCAGACACCTGAAGATCAAATGAGGAACCACAATCAGACTCTTTGGTAGTATTGCATACTTCAAAACCTTGCAACACTGCGTAGCGACAACAAAGCGATTCCATAAATACACTGTAACTTTGCCGGGCTAAATAAAGGGGGGAACAGCAGAGAAGCCAAAAAGAGGGGAGGGGAAACAAGCATATCACAAAATGACATGCAACTAACAGCAAAACACATGAAACAGAAAAAGCAGTAAAATGCCAGGATGCTGATGGCTACATAATCTGGGATTGGGAACTGGGAGGGGGGCAGTAAAAATGGATACAATCTGCTGGGAGAAGGGACCTGGATCAAGGTTCTGAAGGGGTCATCTCCAGCATTCACTTTTAAATGAAAAGTTGGTAGAACCTGACATATAAGGCAAAATGGACAGGCACGCTTCTTCTTTTTGGGGGCGGGGGAAAGAAACCAGCCTGTCCCACCTTTTGGTGTACTACTTTACATCTCCTCCATCCCTGGGAAACATTCCTGAATACACCCACGTTTCCTGGATGACCTTAAGAGACAAAACCTGCTCTCACGGGACCCAGATGTATCTCTTTGTGGGCAGCTTGATAATGTATCCATGGGGGCAATTTCAATGATAGCAATATGTGTAAAGTCTACTCATTTACGGATGCCTCTTCTACATTTCAACTTGCCACCCCAAGGACTGCAAACTGTTTGGTTGCCAAGGATAAGTATCAGGGTTTTAGAGGTGTGAGTAATGTCCGTATACCAACTGGGGTTAATAACTTGGAAAGTCTTTGTCCAAACCTCAAAACAAAACATTCAGTTTTGGGCTGCCATTTGCCAGTAGTGCTGCTGATCTAAGTTCACCTCAAACCAGGTAGTGCTGTTGACTTTAGAGTGCAGGAGACAATTGGATACCACATTTCAAACCATGGGCTGAGGGTGCATCATGTAGTCACCCTGTTGTAGCAAATCGTGAGGAGGATTCCACCCCACACTCCCCAGGTTAAACATTCTTCAGTGCAAGCAGCCTCTCTGCCTGCAGCTTGTTTCTAGATTCACTTACCAAGCCGTGTCTTGTCAACAGCAGATGGGAGAAGTCTCACTTCCTCAGGAAGTCCTTTAAGCACGTGCTCAGGTACATCGGCCAAAGTCTCAACTGATACTGAAGGCTCCGTTGAGTTCTATGAAGAAAACAAAACGAAACAAAAATAGGAAGGGGACAGCCCAACTGTAAACACATGGCAGAATCTGACAACCCACCTGCGTTACAATTGGCAGCACAACACAAGAATCCATAAACAAAACTGTGTTGCAATAGCTGGCATTTCAACTTCACATAAACACTAGTTTACCAAGCACATTTGAAAATGATGACATCAAGAGAAACACTGCAAATCCTTCATCCAATGCATAATCTACTCAGTGATCCACCAGATGCTGTGATGGCCAGCAGGATACGTGACTTTTTAAACTTAGAGAGGGTAGGGCTATCGCTAGCTACTAGACATACTAAACAGAAATGCAGCTTTCATTTTCAGACACACAATATGCAAGAACAAGGAGGGTGGGATGTCTCCAATATGGGCTGCTTGTTGTATAGCTCTTGTTGCCATTCCTTACAAGGAGTCTGCAAAGTAGGTTACGATGCTCTACATCTGGGCTTTATTCACAACTTTTCCTCAAAACCATGCTCCTCACCTACTACAGACACCTGGCCTAAGCATCTCTACCTGTATTTGAATATATTCTTCCCCCATTGCCCCCAAGTATTGTGGGATGGCTCTTGACTTTGGAAGCCAATTGTGTACTGATATGCCCCAACCAAATTAAGCAGATATTATCTGTGCACCCAGCATGTATATCTAAAGATCAGCATCACTGCCAATGAATAATTCTTTTTCTTATTCCTCTGAAGTACTGCTATTCAAAAGGGATTACAAGGCTAGGCACAGGTATGTGAAGGAAATTACTTTTGGAGCACTTATTTTAATAGCAAATATAGCTACCTTCCTTTCAGTCAAAGATATATGCTTCACTCCGCTTCTACTCTAGTTATTACAGAAGCAACAGACCAAGGCATAGTAAAATAAAGCAAAGATATAGGCTGTGTGTGAATATCACAGTATGCGCATCCATAAAATATCTCAGAAAATATCTATTTTATGTTAAGACATGTCCCCATGGCAGCTACTTTGTGATAGGCCATGCCCCCTTGACGGTCATTTTGGGACTGGTGCTCACAACATTCTCAATATTCCTGATGAGCCCACTGACCCCAAAAGCCTGGTGAACCCTGCAATAAACAATAGTTTGGTGTGATGAAAGCTAGCTTCAATAAGCCTGAGGATTATGTACTCTCCTCAAAGTCTTCCAATACGGTTGTGAGAAACGAGAATTCATTCCATTTAAACACAGAAGAGCGTAACATCTGAACCCTAAACTGCACTTAATACTAACTATGGTTTGATTAAATAAAACTGTTTGAAGCAGGCTTGTTTCAGACAAACCACAAATAAGATTAAGCAGTTTCTTGGGCTTTCACATAAGCAGCTGTGGCTCATCTAGTCCAGAAGTGAAATTATCTAACTCAGAGAAGTGATGGAGAAGGAGGGGTGGAATGCATGAACCCGGGGCTTCATAGTTTAAGTAAAACAAGCTTCACTGTGGTTAATAAAATCATATTAATACTTATAAATAGCAGATCAAGCTTTACTGTGGAAGACTGTATATGTAAAACCCATTTGCTTCAGTGTTGCTTGGCCAGGATTAAGCTGTAAATATCAGTTTGTCTCTTAATATCACTTCCAAGCATGGTGTATATCAGAGCTAGTGGTGAAATTCACTTCAGTAAGCAAGAAATAGCTATAAAATACAGAGATGAAAGAAAGAAAGAAAGAAAGAAAGAAAGAAAGAAAGAAAGAAAGACCAAGTATGCCATAAGTTTAACAACTAATACTTCAGATACTAAACAGCTTCCCCCTGTGGGCAACAGAACGTGGAAGCCTGCCTTATACCCAGTGCAGTGCTTTCTACTGTGACTGGCTGTATCTCCCCAGGGCCTCAGGTAGAAAGTCTTCCCCATCACCTGCTACCTGATCCTTTAGACTGAAGATGACAGACATTGAACCCGGGACCTTCTGCATGCAAAACACATGCTCTGCCATGAAGGTATTCTCCCTCTCCAAGAGGAGAATGACAGCTCTTGGCATTGTGGCAACACTACTACAAGAGGCCCTGATGACTCTTCTGTGGCAGTACCTAATACAGTGGATGCTTGGGTTTCAAACATGATCCGTGCAGGAGGCACGTTCGCAACCTGCAGTGCTGCGTCTGCGCATGCACGGGTTGCGATTCAGCGTTTCTGCGCATGCCGAAAACACAATTTAGTGCTTCTGCGCATGTGCCGAAACCCAGAAGTAACCAATTCTGGTACTTCCGGGTTTCGGCGCATCTGTAACCCGAAAACGCGCAACCTGAAGCGTCTGTAACCCAAGGTATGACTGTATAGAACAGAACGATGAGGATGTTATTGGAAGGGGTCATCGGGAGTCGTACCAGGGCTCCAGCAATTCTATCAGTCCCAATGCCTTCAACTCATCAACATTCTTCATTCTGGAACTTTGCTTATGAAGCAAAGTAAAGCAAAATAATTGTTCCTCACCCCATCCTCTACCCTACAAAGAGTCCCATGTGTTCTGAGCAGTGGTAGAGGCAGATCTAAATTACCACTGGTGTTTAATTTTCAAGGCAAGGACATCCATCTTTCTCTGTCCTAGTAACCTATAGTACTGCTTGAAACATGCTTGCTCTTAGCTCAGTCTAACATAACTGGATTTCAATCCTTTGTACGTTCATCAAGGTATAAGCCCTTCTGGTACACAGAGGAACCCATCTGAGTAAATATGCAATGATTGCACTATAAGTGTGCATTGGACCCTCCTGCTCTCCATCTTAAGACTGTTCTAAGCAGCAAAGTTTGGATCTTTTTCATCACACCTTGAAATGTTTCCTCCACAAAGCACAAAGATAGGCTGGTTGTAATCCAGTATTTGTGGAACCCTGCTCATTTGGATAAGCATGAAGATTTTTTTTAAAAAAAAATCTGCCAGAATCATTCTCAGCAGCAGCCTACATTCAGTTTACAAAATGTGGGTTCAGTGGAGCCAAAGAGCAGAGGTAGGCAACCTGGGGCTCTCCAGATGTGCTTGGACTAAAACTTTCATCATCCCTGGCCATCAGTTATGCTAGCTAAGGCTCATGGGCAGTGTTAGAAACTGGGGTAGAAAAGCTAGGAGCCAAATGGCTTCTGGGACCTGGGTTGTGGGCACCAAAACAGAATGTCTAGTTGCCACTTGGGCTGGGGGGGGGGGGTCGACAACACTTTTTATTATTTGATAAGCATGAATAAATATGCAATCCACATAAGTGGCACATTGTTAATAGCACATTTTTAGCAGAAATTGTTGATGTATGTTTAATTTGGTGTTTACAATCAAAATATTGGTACCAAACGTCAGTTTTCAAAACACTCTACTCTTAATTGTTGAACTCCTTGATGTATTGTCTATCCTTAACATATACTTTGAGGCTTCAAAGCACGTACATTTCAGTAATCTTTGAGTGTCAGGCAGGTGCAAAAAATGGCACCCAGACTTGTTGAGGTGCTCGGAAATGGAGAATCTTTAGGCGCAAAATGCACCTGGCACTCTAGTAATTTTGAACCCTGCTCATGGAGGTCAGAGTCTAAGAACATCTGGCTGGCAAACACATTCCTTATCCTTCACACAGAGATGTACTCAAAAGCAGGTAATTTTAATGGCGTTCACAAGTCACAAATCCTAAACCTGCACAAAACGTAACTATTTTAAAATGCTGATTCCTTCTTAGAAGAGAACTAAAGGGTTTACTGGCAAAAAGAACAGCTAAGTGGAAATGCATGTTATACCTGTGGCTTTTGCTCAAGAGTTCAGAGAAGCTGAATTACGACTCCAAGTGATCACTCACCCAAGCAGTGCTCAAGACCCAACCTACTTAATTTCAACAGTTCTTTCTAATTATTTATCTCACCTGGAAAAGATCTGTGTAATACTGGCTTGCGGGAGAGAGGAGCATATGAAACACACAACTATCCTCTGAATACTAGGGGTATGAAACAAGATGCCCTTCACTACAAGTCAGTATATCTACATAAATCTGTGCATAAAGACCCGCTATTCAACTTTGCAGCAAGCAGATATTTATTTACTTAGAGCACAGAACGGTAACCATTGGCTCTCCAGGTATCAATGAGCTGCAACCCCCATCACCCCTGACCATCAACTACACTGAGCCAGCTAAGAATGGCACACCAACAGTGACACCTCCTGGACAAAGATAGCCTGGCCATGGTAAACCTCCAGATTGTGAGGCTGAAACATGTAGTAGGTGGGCCTGCCTTTGAAGACTGCTCAGGAAAACTAGTTATCAGCCTAGCAGCTGTGTCCTATACTAGCAGAGTTCAGCTATCTTGGCATTTCTTCAAAAAGTATGTGGGCTGCTGGTCCTGAGCACAATTTTAAGTGCTAGTTCTAACCTTTGAAATCCTAATGCTGCCGTATGAGCCTGCCCTATTGGTACATGTGTTATCCAAAGACCTTTGTTCAGTACACCCCGTCCCTTCACCATCTTCTGAATTCAAGAACAATCTTCTCAGTTGTTGATGCAAGTGGAACACCCTCCCCAGGAAAGTTTGCCTGGCATCAAATCTGATGTCATTTTGACAGCCAGACAACAACCTTGGGGGACTTCAGCACAATCACTGAGCTCAGCAGTCTTCTTTTTCAGACTCAGCACCCACCTTTAACCCAAACAAACATTCCAGGACCCATTTATCAATTGTTAAACATATGTTTCTATGATGTAGCATTGCTCTTGTGACCCACCTTAGGTAGGGCCATGACCTGGTTTTTATTTTGAGAAATTTGTGAGTGCTTTTATTGTTTGGTATTTTGCAACTTTTAAAACTCTCCCCTTGATTTTTGCTTGCTGACAGAAGGGTTGTTGTATGTATGTATTATACACAAATACAACAGTTGCATGGGTGAGGAGCTGCATGCTTATTTGAAATAACCAGACTAGGACCTTTCAGGTGAGATTTATGGCCAGTCATTCGAGAGGCATTGCACCCTTCCAACTGCTTTACAACATGTTAACTTCAAATTCAAACTACAGTGGTGCCTCGCAAGACGAAATTAATCCGTTCCGCGAGAGTCTTCGTCTAGCGGTTTTTTCGTCTTGCGAAGCAACCCTATTAGCGGCTTAACGGATTAGCGCTATTAGCGGTTTAGCGGCTATTAAAGGCTTAAAGGCTTAGCGGATTAGCTGCTAAAAGGCTATTAAAGGCTATTAAAGGCTTAGCGGATTAGATATAGGGGGGGGGAAGCGAAAAAAAAATCTCAAGACTCGCAAGACATTTTCGTCTTGCGAAGCAAGCCCATAGGGAAATTCGTCCTGCGAAGCAACTCAAAAACGGAAAACCCTTTCGTCTAGCGGGTTTTCCGTCTTGCGAGGCATTCGTCTTGCGGGGCACCACTGTATTAGCTTTCAATATAGCAACTAGTGACCACGAAGGAGACTTTTTCAACTAAAAAGAACCACCCTACATGGGGAATCAACTTTAACATGGTGAGGTCATTAGATGTCATCTTAACATGCTTTCCCCAGTAATCAGCTGACATTTTACCTTCAAGCAGAGATGTCAACTTATGCATCATGTTGATAATTTTTTAAAAAGGTAAAGGACCCCTGACAGTTAAGTCCAGTCGCAAACGACTCTGGGGTTGTGGCGCTCATCTTGCTGTACTGGCCAAGGGAGCTGACGTTTGTCCACAGACAGTTTTTCTGGGTCATGTGGCCAGCATGACTAAGCCGCTTCTGGCGAAACCAGAGCAGCACACAGAAACGCCGTTTACCTTCCCACCAGAGTGGTACCTATTTATCTACTTGCACTTTGACATGCTTTCAAACTGCTAGGTGGGCAGGAGCTGGGACCGAGCAACGGGAGCTCACACTGTCACAGGGATTCGAACCGCTGACCTTCCGATCGGCAAGCCCTAGGCTCAGTGGTTTAGACCAAAGTGCCACCCGTGTCTCTTCACGTTGGTAATTATGGCCCCAAAATTCTATTAATTGTTCTCCTCTACAGCTTGTGCTCCTACTGGCGGATGTAACCTCCCTTTTTCTTAAAAAAAAGTTTCATTGGAAGTCTCACCATTGGTCAGTTTAGCTCATTATTGTCTTCAAAAACTCAGGGAACCCCAGATGATGGTGATGATTTCATTTATGAAAGCATCTCAAAGCAATTTCAAAATACAGTAACAACTTACATTATAAAAACAGTTAAAACAATTGCACATATAAAAACAATTTCAAATCCAATAGAGCCTTTGCCATGACTACTGTTGGATATCATTGTTTTGGACCAGATCAGCAGCCATGCTGGCTGGAACTTATTGTAGTCCAAAACATCAGGAGGGCACCAGGTTGACAAAATCAGCAGTTCCCTTTATCACTACACTGACTGACAGCAGCTCCCCATCTCAGGCAGAGGTTCTTTTCATGCCTACTTAGGAGATGCTGGGAATTGAACCAGGGACCTTTCACCTGCAAAGCTATGGCCTTCCCTGTAAATCAGTTCTGCCTTGTGGGAGCTGCCAGTACTGGCTCCAAAGCAGAGTTGCTATGAAGATAAAATGTGCAGGGGATTGCTGTTTTCTCCTTGGAGGAAGGGCAGGAGAGAAAGGTTAAAAACATACACCAGTAATATCCACATAAATAAATAGATCCACATCATCTGTCCACTATCATAGTCAACCTCCCCATTTCAATTCAAAGGGGGAGAAGGAAACATGTTTAATCAAGGTCACACAGGTATAAAAAGACTGCTCCGACTGTAGGCCAATGTCAATATCCACGTGTGAAGTCTGCCAATGTCCTTCTGCCAACTTTTGTTGCACCAGTACCACCACTAGTGGAGTACATAGCTGGCATGGGGTGGGGACAACTTATGAGAAGAAAGAGTCCAAATCACAGCAGAATGGCTACTAGGAGGATTCCTGTGTGGCAATCCTACCACACTGATTATCCTGCGACAACATTTTAGCTGTGCCCTATCACCCAGGCTTGTTCCTTTTCAACAACAATACAGTAGCAGCATCTGTCTGCAACGGAACGGGAGAGGAAGTGGGAAAGTAATAGCTTTTCAGATCCCACGTCACCCGGGCTTTGCTTTTAAAGTAGATGCATGCTCTGGCACAGGAGGAAAAGGGTGCAACATATAGCCTCCAATGATTTTATTTAATAATGATGCTGATGCTAACGATGCTCTTATTAATTTAAGTTCACAAAATGCCATTGGCAGAGTGAGAAGGATAGGAACATCACAAAGATTCAACATGACAAATACAACGCAAATAGAAACAGCGACAAAAACTCTCTCTAAGGGAAAGTGCCACCAAATTCTCTATAGGTATTAAGATTGTAGTTTGGGTGCAGACACAACTGGAATTTTCCCTTTCTCCAAAGTGCAACCTGGAGGGGAGATGGGCCAGACTATGACCTGGGGGCTGGGTAAAAGGGACTGGTTGTGATACGAGGACACCCTCTCTTTTTACTAATAAGCTCATCTCAAAAGAAAGTGGGCATTTTAGATATTTAGGTGTGGGTCTTCCTGTGAATCCAACAACACAAGAGAGCACCAGGCTGAAGAAGGCTAGCATAAAAGACCACACTCTCAAACATGCAAAAATACGTAGCTAGAGGACCATTTAATCAGTTCCAGGGTTTCATGTTGAAGGCATGCAAAGATCTTTGCTTAATCTCTCTCTCTTTTGGGGGGTAAATTATATTAATTATGGAGCTAAGATTGAAGGGAGGAGGGAGAAAGAGTGAACTCAAGTTTCTGATTTTTTAAAAATGGCCTAAATATAAGTATTACTCATGCAAAATAACTAAAGCTTTCTTAGAGAAGAGTGCTCTTGAAGAAGGGACCAGTGAAATTATTCTACAATCTAGTTAACTGAACACAAATCAATTTTCACATAATAGAACTTCCCAACTTCCCAACCAGAAAGAGGGAGAGAGAAGGAGAGAACAGGACATTTGGCATTGCAATAATGAAGACTTACATTTTGGATTTCAGTTGGGATTACTATTTTTACCAGAAGAAAGTAAGTGTAGATATGTATGCTAACATCTGAGCAATTATATTTTTGAGAAAGTCTTGCATTTAAACTCACCTGATTCATTCTGAAATCCTGTTGCGTTCTGAAAAGATACATACAACAAAGTAACTCCTGTGATTACATGAACCCTAAAAAGAAAAACAGACAGTTGTCATATGTGCCTACCTTCAGGTTTATAACTGATTTGAAGCTGATCCTCTTCAAGTTAGGAGGATAGCAGCAAACTAGAAAACTACAATTTTTCACCCAACAATTTTTTAAAAAGAAAATAAATAACTGTAAAGGCACCTAAGCTGCATAACTTCCTAGCTATGTTTCAAAATGTTATAGTAATAATTAGCATTTATGTCGCACTTTCAAGTGCTCTAAGCACTGAACTTGCATCCTTGCATCACAACAACCTGATAAAGTTGGTCTGCAGACTGGGGAGGGCATGGGGAACTGAAGCTGAGATTTGGTGGATTCACTACTTCACCTAAGGAGAACCTAATAGAGATGGAAGCCTGTGGCTCTCCAAATGTTATTGGGCTCCCATCATCCCCAGCCAGCAAGGTCAGGGATGATGGGAATTGTAGTCTAGGAACATCCGGAGGGCCAGAAATTCTTCAGCCCTGCTCTATAAGAAATAAGAAAATCAAGCTGATATTTTAAAGGAATTTTCATATTATTATTTTTAAATATTCACGTATGTAAAAGCTACATTGCAAGTCCCCTCAAGGAGTCTTGCCTTCTCATATTTAAAGGCAATGAATTCAAAGTAAGCACATTAGAGACAACTCACCATCTTTAACATGGGGTGTCCACCCTATTTAAATGACATTACAGTATTCGAAAATGATAATAAGTCAGCTACTCCTATTCAGCTTATGGGGAAGTGTGGATACCATCCCTGAACCTGCAGAACATGGTGCACCTCTACTCTAGAAAGCGTGTTTCATTATTGCTGCAAAGGGGTAAAAGGGTAAAGGGGACCCCTGACCATTAGGTCCAGTCGTGACCGACTCTGGGGTTGCGGCGCTCATCTCGCTTTATTGGCCGAGGGAGCAGGCGTACAGCTTCCGGGTCATGTGGCCAGCATGACTAAGCCACTTCTGGTGAACCAGAGCAGCGCACGGAAACACCGTTTACCTTTGTCTACTTGCACTTTGACGTGCTTTCGAACTTCTAGGTTGGCAGGAGCAGGGACCGAACAACGGGAGCTCACCCCGTCGCGGGGATTCGAACCGCCGACCTTCTGATCAGCAAATCCTAGGCTCTGTGGTTTAACCCACAGCGCCACCCGTGTCCCATTGCTATATTGCTGCAAAATAGTCACAGCAATTATTGCTCCTAGAGCACAGGTATTCTACTCAAACTCATGCATCCTGAACAGTTCATAGTTGAAAGCAGACTCACATTCTGAGAAATTAAGGCAGAATGAATACAGATAAGAATTTAACAAGTGGTGCCTTACCATACTGTGCATTTAACAAAAAAGAAAGAGAAGGTCAGGTTCAACCTCCAGCATCTCTATAGCTAAAAGAATCGGGGAGCAAGTGGCCTGAAAGCCTCTCCTCTATCTGAGACTAAAGAGCTGCTGCCAGTCGACCCTAGTAAGTAGCCTAGATGGACAAATATTCTGACCTTGACACACAGTGTACATTACAGTTTGGTACATTAAGGACCCATTCACTCTTGATTTTGTAGCTCCATAAAATACTCCACAAATCAAGCCATTAAAAATTGAAATAAGATGCTAGTTTCTCCCGAATGCTGTCAAGAATTTGAAGGCGTTGCTTAACTTTTAATCACTCACATTTGAACAAGATGTTCTAACTCTTATAGATGCACAAAGAGTACAAGTGGTCTCGCTGACATTGAAGTAATAGTTTTTAAATGTGCACAGAAAGAAATAAGCCGCATTAAGCCAACATTTCAGTGCTAACATCCCCAATCACCTCCCTGCTGTAATCAGATATAGCTGAATTTTGCATACGCCCTGCAGAGAAAGTAATATGTGGGAACAAACAGAAACTAACTGAACATACAAATCACCTCAACAATGTGATGAACTGTTGTAAAACAACCAAGGATGCTTCATTACACTTGAAATACACTTTCAAATGCAAGGCAGCAATGCTATCCAACACCAAGCACAATACTGCCCATGGTTTAATTCATCCTTCCCCAACCTAGTGTTCTCCAGATATTTTGGACTACAACTCCCATCATTCCCAGCCAGTACAGCTATATGGTGGATGTAGTACGAAACACCTGGACAATGCAAAATTAGCATTGTCTGATTTACATTAATTGCAATACCACAAGATAAGAGATTGGGAAACTGCAGCCCTCTGGATATTGTTGGACCACAATTACAATCATCCCTAATCATTTGCCTCACTGTCTGGGGCTGATAAAGTCCCACAATGTATGGACAGATATAGGTTCCCCATCCCTACTCTAGATTGCTCTGTTTTGAATGTCAGGGTTGAGCATTTCACACATTTCTCTGTGTACTTTCGAGTGAAAGAAGCCCACATCTGAAAGCATTCCAATCTGCTAGCTATACTGAACAGGCAGGGAAGAAAAGATCGACATTCATAGGGAAAAGAAAAATGGAACACTACACAAACACTACCATGTATCTCAGTTTCCTGTCTTAACACACAAATCCCAATAATAAAGTATGCAGCCGCCCTACAACTTCTACCAGACGTATAACAAGACTTCTTTCTGTAGGTGCCAACCACCTGCATGGTATAGAATCATAGAATGGTACAGTTGGAAGGGACCCCAATGATTATCTAGTCCAACCCCCTACAGTGCAGGAATCTCAACTAAAGCACTAAAGCATCCTCTGTTAAAAACCTCTAAGGAAGGAGAGTCCACAACCTCCCAAGGGAGTCCATTCCACTGCCAAACAGCTTTCAGAGTCAGAAAGGTCTTCATGATGTTTAGCTGGAATCTTCTTTCTGGTCAGCATGTAACAGCCCTTGGGATAACTGAAGATAGCTATCATATCTCCTCTCAGTTTCCTCTTTTCCAGGCTAAACACACACAACTCCCTCAACCATTCCTACTAAGGCTTGGGTTCCAGACCCTTGATCATCTTGGTCGCCCTCCTCTGCACACGTTCCAGCTTGTCAATATCCTTCTTAAATTGTGGTGCCCAGAACTAGACACAGTACTAAGGGTGTGGTCTGACCTAGGCAGAATAGAGCGGGACTATGACTTCCCTTGACCTGGATACTATAGTTCTGCTGATGCAGCCTAGAATAGCAATGGCTTTTCCCCAACCACTGCAGCATTACACTGTTGACTCATGTTAAGCTTGTTGTCTACTAAGACCCCATGTTCCTTTTCATATGTACTACTGGCAATGGAAGTGTACTCCATCTTATAGCTGTGCATCTGGTTCTTCCTGTCTAAGTGCAAAACCTGACATTTGTCCCTACTGAAATTCATTTTATTAGTTTTGACCCAGTTATCAAATCTGATAACGCTACACTGAATCCTGATTCTGTCTTCTGCATGTTTAGTCCTTTATCTGCAGGTACCATCTTTAGGGGTGACATCTCAAGAATGCCACATTCTTTCCCATCAACCACTATGGTTGTCCAGTACTGCAATGTGCTATTGAAGGGAGGTGGTTTCCCCACAAGAGACTAATGCCCCACAGGAGGCTAGTGCATAGTATGGCCTAGCATTTGCAGTATACAATACAATAAAACAAGATCTTACTCCTATATTCTGTGTTAAGTAATAATTACCACCCCTGTGTTAAGTAATAATTACCACCCCACTTCACAAACTCAAGGAGTATCAGAGATGCACCAAACAGGTTGGATGAATTTTTATGCATCTTGATTCTGGATACCAGAGAGTGGTTGAAAGGACTATCTCACATTAGCTAACTTTGGGTGTGTACACAAAGCAGATAAGGTGATAACAGCAGACCAACTTCTGCTTTGTTTCAGAGGATAGGAGCGCTGAAATGAAAAGGCTATTACACACACATATCCCTGAATGAACTTCTCGTGTGTTCAGCCAGTGGAGTTGTGTTATCAGGCACTGCTATTCATTTTTTTTAAGCTTTTTTATCTTGTATTTTTATTCTCCTTGCCTTTATGACTGTTTTTACTATCTATTTTAGTCTGTTGCTTTGTTTAGTGTATTTGCAAATCTCATTTGAAAGGGGGGAAAATAATGTATCAGTTTCAATGCTCTCATTGGCTAAAATGCACATTTGATTCACTGATGCACTAAAATTAAGTGAAAGAGCACTTTACAAGCACCATCAGCATCATGTGTAAAAAAATGCAAATATTATGGCTAAACATGCCCTATACTCCAGCTACCCCATCACTCACCACAGACCCTCCTCTTCTAACATAAAACCACAACAACTTCCCCAGTTAGTCCTTTCCCTTAGTTCCAATTAAGGGGCATTGGCTTCAAATTTCGGAAGCCAACAGCATTCATACACATTTCCCTTTAGATCTATGGGGGTAGCATGTTGTGTGAGCGGGAGCAGCCAGCTTTGGGGGTGGAAGCAGGGTGGAGTTAAGGAAGAATGAGGAAACTCTGCCTGAAGGCAAACATATGCCTCAAAGATATTCATTTTCATCCTTTTTCATTGTATGCTTTTCTTCATTACTGTTACAATTACATCTCCTGGCTCTTCTCCTTCTACGGACACTATACAAGTGACTCAAAATTCAGAGTACAACAGCAGGACCTCTAGATTCCTTGTGGCTTTATTTCCAGGCACTCACTCTGACTTTGGGATGCAATGGGAAGGATTGATACATCTTTTCATCCTAGCTTTCAGCACAACTCCCATTCATGCTAAAGTCTCACCCCCAATCCAGAACCTAACTTCTGTGAGGACGGGGGATCCCTCCTTCAGTCAAACTCCTGTCTAAGGGGCAATTAGACGCACACACTTTTATGCAACCTCCTACAACCAAGCTTTGGGTGTGTGTGTTGGGGGGTCCTTTTCAGAACCACTCAACTCCATACTTCAAACTTAGTTGTGAGCATGGGACAGAGTCCCACTTCCAGAACCCTGCTCCTTCCCATTAGAACTTTACTATCCATTTTTGCACCTCCACTTTTAGCAGGGGGCAGGAATCCTTTACGGAGGTGTCCTCCCACCTATCCTCTAACTAGGAGAAAAATATTCACCAACACACTCATTCATGTACGTATCCCATCATTCCACCACGATTCGGACATGGAGGCAGGGAGGGAGAAGACCCCTTTCCAGGCCCACGCCTATCTCCTATGTGAAACACAACACAACACATGCACATAAACATGGAACTCTACTTATACACTACAACACGTGTGGGGTGGGGTCTGGGGTCCCCCATACAGACCTACTTCCTCAACTGAGATAAAATACAACACACACACACACAAACACTTTAGCCCTATTTCACCAACCCATCAAAGCACGCCTAACACTATTCAAGAAAAAGCCCCATCCCTTTGGGGGCTTGGGGGGGGAGTCCCCCCACAAAAACCCTGCAATATGAAAAAACAACGCCCCTGAATCAGCACCTCATCCTTACTCTACTCCCACCCCAAATCCCTTGCACCCCTCCACTTTTGCTAAAGCAGGGTGGGGGTGGGAGGTTTCCCGGAAGCGGTGTGTTTGTGTGGCCCCCTCCCACTTTTACTCCCAATGGGGCAACCCCTGCAACGAGACTCCCCACCCCCACTCCACCACACCCCTCCCCACCAATACACGCCTCACCTCCAGCCCCCCCCAATCCACGTCTCCCTCCCCCCAGTCCACTCTGGGTCATGCGCGGGGGTGCCTCCCCCAATTAGGATAACCTCACCCCAATTCACACCTCTCACCCCTACACCGCATCCCATCCCCATCCTATGTCTACTCCGCTTCCTTTGGGGGAAGAGGGTGCGGCTGGCGAGAAGTGGAGGGTGTGTATGTGTTGTCCCCCCCCCCCAAAAAAAAGACCAACAACCCTTGGGGCGAAATCCCCTTCCCCACCCCGCCGAGCCCCCTTCGCTGAGAAGGGAAGAAGCGGCGGGCAAGTGGCTGCCGCCTTCACCCTGCCCTCGCCCCGAGCCGGCCCTTACCTGCGCTGCCCGCCGCCGTGGCCGCGGCCTCCTCCTCCTCCTCCTTCCTCGAGAGCCGACCCCCGGCTCAGCCCGAAAGGCCCCACAGGGCCCCTCGGCCCCCTCCGGACGCCATTTTGTCTCCGGCCTCGGAAGTGACGGCGGCGGCGGAGAGGCCGGGAGGGGAGGGGGAGAGGGAGGGGAGGGGAGGGGAGGGGGCCTCGTGCGAGGGAGGGAGGGAGGGAGGGAGGAGGGCGCGCGAGGCGACCACTCAACGGCCGGCGGCGCCCGAGGGAATAAGAGCTCGCGCGGGGAACGGCCTTCTTGGCTCTCGGGTGAGAAGCTCGTCCTCACTGAGGTCTAGAGGGATGGTGATTGGAGGGGGGTGGCTTCTAGGGTGGGAGCGCAGCAGGCAGCCCGGCGGCTAGAGCGATGTGTGGGGCTCAGGCGCTCTCGCTCCGAGGGGGCTCCGGCAAGCAGCCCGTCCTCACTGAGGACTAGCGGCCCCGTGGGGTTGTAGCGCATGCTGAACAGGCAAGAAGGCTGCCCTCGCTGAGGACTAGAGGGGTGTGTGGGAGGCAAGAAGGTTGCCGTCATGGAGGACTACGGGTCCTGTGGGGCTATAGGGACCAAACACAGCAGAATCCGCTCTATGCGGGGCGCTTAGTCTTCAGTGAGTCACGCAGTGGCGGATTTACGTATAAGCTAAACAAGCTATAGCTCTCTTGGGACCCCCTCCAAAATTTCACTAGTAATATACTTCTTAATTGTATTTCAGTTCAACAATTATTTTGATAAAATACATATTTCGTTATGTGCAAATGGCTTTAGATACCTGTTAGGTCCATAAATTACCAAATAGCATATATTCAACACAAAAAACAGTGACAATTTGTGGTTGACAAAGGACAGCTGGACCTATAAAGGGGCCCCATTACCTTCAGTAGCTTAGGGCTCATCAAACCTAAATCCGGCCCTAAGTGAGTGGGTAGGCAGATCTCCCCCTTATTGACAACTTGGTGGGGATGTGGGGATCAAGCAGCCCGTCCTCAATGAGGACTAGAGGCAACGTAGAGCACCCGCTATGCGACTTGCAGTCCTCAGTGAGCGGACCTGAAGCTTGCCCTCACTGAGGATTAGAGGCATGTGGGAGACAGGCAGTTTGTCGTCATTGAGAACTAGGGGGCTGTGGGGTTATAGGGACAAAGCACAGCACTCGCTATGTGGGGCTTGTGGTCTTCAGTGAGTGGATAGGCATCTCCCCCTTATTGACAACTTGGCGGGGATGTGGGGAGCAAGCAGCCCGTTCTCAATGAGGACTAGAGACTATGTGGAGCACAGCACCCACTATGCGACTTCCAGGGATGTGGGGAGCAAGCAGCCAGTCCTCAATGAAGACTAGAGGCTACGTGGGGTTCTGGTGACTGCGGAAGAAGCTCACCCTCACTGAGGATGAGTGAAGTCCTCAGGTTGTTGCTGTGGTGCTTACAATACTGGTTACACTGGGAGGCCAGGGTTCAAATCCTCCACTCATCCATGAAGCTTGCTGGGTGACCTTTGGCCAGCCACTGCCTCTCAACCTAACCTACCTCACAGGGTTGTTGTGAGGCTAAATGGGATGGGGAAAGAACCATGGACAGCACTTTAAGCTCTTCAGAAGAAAGGCAAGATAGCAATGTAACTTTGAAAAAGGAAACGCTCCTGTTAGTGCCAGCCGGTGTGGCCAATCATCAGGGATGATGGGATCTGGCGTCCAGGAACATATGCAGAGCCACTGGTTGACTGCTCCTGCCCTAGGCAATGCACCCTAAGCTGCAGCCATTCCTCCATTGGCAGTGGCACCAAACTGACCCTGCACCCAAGGGCTTTGCAGTGTGGATCACATCACAGGGAGAAGAGAAGACTGAGAAGGTGATATGAGAGCCAAAATCAAGTTTCCAAAGGGCTGCCACATGGAAGACGGAACAAACTTGTTTTCTGCTGCTCTAGAGGGTAGGACCCAAACCAGTGGGTTCAAACTAGGAAAGGAGATAACAACTAAACCTTAGGAAGAAGTCATAGAATCATAGAGTTGGAAGAGACCACAAGGGCCATCGAGTCCAACCCCCTGCCAAGCAGGAAAGTCATTCTTCAGGTCATTCGTTATTCAGATCTAGAAATCCCCCACATTACTTTCTCATGCATGCACTCTTGGGTTGGGGCAACTGGCTAAAATGTTTTAAATGGTTCTAATTTTGGTTCCTCTGTTTTGCTTTTGTTGGGTAGAAGCTGCAACCTGAGTTTGAGTTCTTCGTTGAGTGGGAGCCAGGATGCTGCTGCTGCTGCTTCATTAATATTATCATTATTTTACTGGTCTTCACTTAATGTTGCCACTAGCTGGTGCTAGAAAGCCATTTATAAAGCATCCTGCTCTATAAAGAAAATCTTATCATTAGACATCAGTTAATACAGTGGATGGGGTGCAGGTAGCGATAGTGAGGCCCTGCCAAGGAATTCCTGTTGCTCACTTCTGTGATGTCTCATGGAGCAGGGAGTTTTCCAAATATGCCTGCGGTAGGGGAACCTCAGGCACAGGAACTGAATGCAGCCCTCCAGGAGTCATAGAATCGTAGAGTTGGAGGGGATCCCAAGGCTTATCTGATCCAACCCCCTGCAATGCAGGAATCTCAACAATCCTCTATCCAATTTGAAACCATACCAGACCCTGCTTATCTTTGCAAATGTGCTAGCTAGGAGTCTCTCTGGTCCTGAAGACTCAACAATTTTGCACCCTCCTTGAGTGCTTTTGCCTGGCTGGAATGTGTCCATGAACTTTGAACATGCCTTGCTTGTCTGTATGGAGGGCAGACAGGGAGCAGGATGAGCATGTGTGGAAACTAGCCTACTGAACAAAGTTACCATATTTTTCCATCTATAAGATGCCCCATGTATAAGATGCCCCCTATTTTGGGGTCTTAGATTTAAGAAAATGGGGGGAGATGTATCTGTGTATAAGACACCCCTTAATTTTTGACATTATCTTTTAGGGGAAAATCCTAGTCTTATACACGGGAAAATGCTGTACATTGGTCCACCCATTTCTGCATCTGGCCCTGCCCACCACTGTCATGTGGCCCCCCAGACATTTGCCCAGATTTGAATGCAGCCCTCAGGTCCTCACTCCTGGAATATGTCATCCATTGTTATTAGCTGCCCTCTGTCCTGCCACCCTGAAAAACGTTAGTTAGAAACACCCCCATTCCCCATTTCTAGGGGTGCCTAGGATAATTGCCTAGGATTATATTGTTGATATTTCTTTTATTTATTTGTTCAAATTTGGGACTCCCCCTGTCCTTTTTTCATATTGATTAAGCAACATTGGGGTGAAGCTTCACACATATTGTATCAAGTTTTTCAGGGGCAGATATTTTTCAGCCAACACACAGGACCATATTTGTGGACCAGTAACACACACACACAAATAATGTTGCGGTCATCATACAATCGCAGCAAGATTTTTCAATAAAACACTGTTTTATCAGTTCTCATGTGTTTACTGATGTGCACATGTACACAGAAAAATCAGGAAGGTTGCAATGGTGCTGTCTTAGCTCTCCCTGGAGGATAAGGAATTCAAACTCATTTTCTTCCAAAATCTTTAATGCTCAAATCAGTACTGTGCATGGCTAAGCAAGCTAAGACATTGATCCAGCAAGTGACATGCCCCCTTGTGTCCCATTATATAGGAGTGGACTGGGCAAGCAAACTAGAATTGGAGGGTTGGACCTGAGCACTTGCAACTCCCAACCAGCCCCTCCAGTTTGTCTGCTCTGGACTCAAGACAGATGCAGATGAAAGGGAATGATGAAACTGCAGCAAAGGGGGCATGCTTGAATTTGAGAATCCATTTTAGAAACTGCTCTAGTCAAACTGGAATCCAGGAAGAGCGGGGCATCAGATGGGGAGCAAACAAAAGGAGCGATACAGGAACGGAACTGGATAAATTCTCTCACCACAATCGCTGACAGCTCCATCCCATGGGTGGAACCTGATGCGACTGCAGCCTTCCCTCTTTCCAACATTGCCGAAGAATGCTTTGTTGGTTGGAATGTGAAGAACATGCCAAGCATTTCAAATGCCCCAGTGCTGCTGAAGGAACGTGCTGGAAGATAACAGGAAACAGTCCTGTTTTCCTAATCTGAGTGAAGCATGAAGCCCTTCAGGGACAAGACAGAAGAGGCTGTTTTGTGTTCTCATATTTGCAATTGTTTCAGCTACTCCTGCTTTCTGACACCTGTTCAAAGTACTGAGTTGTATCCAACGTTGGTCTTACTCCAAGTAAACCTACTGAAATTAATGGGCATGACTCACTGGCCCATCTCTCTCAGTATTGTCTGCACTGCCCCTACTCTTAGAGTTTTAGACAAGGGTCTGTTCTAGTCCTAGGATATTCTGTGGATCGAAGCAGGTACCTTCTGGATGCAAAGCAGATGCTCTGCCACCAAGCTACAGCCTGCCCCTTAACTTATGTCTGTTGATTTCAATTTCATTTCAGTGGGTCTACTCTGAGTAGTTGGATGCTACCCATTGCCACTGTTTATTTGCCTTTCCTGGAGGTGCCTTTAGAAACATTCTGCTAGAGTGTGCACATGCACACTGTGAACCTTTTCAGCCTGAGATCTTCAAAAGTTTGGTCTGGTGCAAACTGAGCCTTATGTACATGCTTGCAGGTACACCCACAAGACACCAGCGCCCTGCTCTCACCCTTCCATGGCCATTTCCCCAGATAGCAAATAATTGAGTTTGGTTGATTGAGTTTACTTCTACACTAAGCTCTGCCCCAGGCAGCTTACAGCAAACATTCAAAACATCAAAACGCAGGGCATTGGAAATACAAATATACAAAATACAGAGCGTGCCAGTAAATTCAAAAATGACAAAAAACAGCAGTTTAGAAAACACAGAATCAATTCAATATCGCAAAACAAAAATCTATTCTAGACTGAAGTACATAAATTCAAAGCCAAACCAGAGTTAACCAACAATAAAGTTTCGGATACTGGTCTTGCTCGCTGCACTCCAAGGAGCCTGGCTTAAATACAGTGGTACCTCGGGTTAAGTACTTAATTCGTTCCAGAGGTCCGTTCTTAACCTGAAACAGTTCTTAACCTGAAGCACCACTTTAGCTAATGGGGCTTCTTGCTGCTGCCGCGCTGCCGCCGCATGATTTCTGTTCTCATCCTGAAGCAAAGTTCTTAACCCGAGGTACTATTTCTGGGTTAGTGGCGTCTGTAACCTGAAGCTTATGTAACCTGGAGTACCACTGTACAGTTTGGAGAGGAGGGGCGGGTGTTATGCAGCTGGCTTCCACATCTTTTCTCCAGAGGAGGCTGACAGCACCAAAAGTTTAATGACAGGAAGGGCAATTGTGATAAGTCTCTTCCGCAGCCTCCTTTGTACAGGTCTGTATGTCAGGGCTGAGCTTTAAGTAAGTGGCAGTGACTGCACCGAAGGCAAGAAGACCTCTCCTCTTCACGTTAAGTGAAACAGGAAGCCTGTGATAGCCTTTCATGTCCTGGAAAGCCCAAATGTCATTCTGGAGGGAACGGCAGCCCAGAATCTGAGAAAGCTTTATTTGCCTGCTTGATGTCCTAAGTTGTAGTTCTACTAGCTCACCACATGAGGGTAGCTGCCCAGACAGCTAAAGGTTTTCAATTCTAGTGTTTCCTCAATCACAATGCAAAGTTCAGAGAAGCATGATGCTAATATTCATTGCCTCTGCTACTTGGAAAGCATGACTCTTCCCTGTTAGTGGTCGAGAAAGGGGATGATGTCACTATTCCAAAAGAGGCAAGGAGGCTTTTCAGTCCTTGGAGCCCTAATCCAGAACAGGATCGGTGTTGCTGAGCTCTGGTGCGGTCCTTGCTCCCCTCCTGTTGAAATGTTTCCATTGACAGCTGTCTAATCCATCTGTGCTTATTTTTGGGTTTTGCATGTTAGCGAGTGGCACATCTTATCCCCGGACCCCTATCCTGCCCTGCAGCCAAGCTGCGGAACCCAAGCCGCAGGTGTAAAAGAACAGGTGCATTGCAAAAGGGTTGCTTACGGAGCAGATTGCTTGAGCATGCCCCCTGCCCCCAAGCCCTTTCTCCACTGCTGAGGAACACAAACTGCAGACACACCAAGTTACAGATAAATCACATGTTGGAGGAAATGGCTTCCTGTAATCAAATATGGGAAATGTGGGGATGCTTTGGCATATGGTATTCTGCAGGGCTCTGGCGTTTAAATCAGGGAAGGTTCCGTTGCTTCTGACATCACCAGTTTGTTTCACCAGCATAGGTTTCAGTGACTTAACCTGGTTAGTTCCATGTGCTTCAAGGACAACCTTGTGCAACCTGATGCTCTCCGGATATTGTTCAACCACAACTCCTTACCACACAAGGCAGAGATGGCCACCAATTTAGATGGCTTAGGATTAGACAGATTCATGGAGGAGATGGCTTTGCACTGCCTTGACAGTTAGAGGCAGCAATGCTTCTGAATACAGTGGTGCCTCTTGTTGTGGACCTAATCCGTTTTGGGGTGCCGTTTGCGCCCTGAAAAGTCCGCAACTAAAGCGCTTCTTCTGCGCATGTGCGTGGCATGATCGAGCGCTTCTGCGTGGGCGTGAAGCATGCAGATTGCTTCTGTGCATGCGCAGGTGGCAAACCCGGAAGTAAACACTTCCGGGTTTGCCGCGTTCGTAAGCTGAAAGTCCGTAACGAGCAGAACGCAACATGAGGTATGACTGTACCAATTGCTGGAAACCACTGGAAGGGAGAGTGTTCCTTTGCTCAGGTCCTGCTTGGAGGTTTCCCACAGGCCTCTGGTTGGCCACTGTGAGAGCAGGATGATGGACTTAATGTGCCTTTATAATAATTTAATAATAACAATTATTATTATTTGTATGCCACTCATCTGACTGGGTTGCCCCAGACACTCTGGGTGACTCCCAACAGAATACTAAAAACACGATAAAACATCAAACATTAAAAACTTCCCTAAACAGGGCTGCCTTCAGATGTCTTCTAAAAGTCAAATATTTATTTCATAGACATCTGATGGGAGGGCATTCCAGAGGATGGGTGCGACTACTGAGAAGGTCCTCTGCCTGGTTCCCCGTAACCTCACTTCTCATAGTGAGGAAACGTTCAGAAGGCTCTTGGTGCTCTTTAGCCTGATCCAACAGGCTCATATGTTTTTATGTTCTTAACACCTGTCACCACCCAGCCAGCATGGCCAGTGGTCTGGGATGGTAGGTGTTATACTCCAGGAACAGATGGGCCTTTGACCTGTTCCATTGGACTCTTAGGTTCTTACCTTCAAGGGTAGCCCAATGTAGAGTGCATTGCAGTAGTCCAGTCTATCAGGCCATGGAATACCATGTGCACACGCACAGTTCTCATGCTGCTTTTACTATATATGCTTACAAGTAGTTCTGTTGCGCTCAGGTCCTGCTCACTAGCTTCCCAAGGACATCTGACTGGCCACTGCGAGAACAGAGTGCGGGACTCGATGGGCTTTTGGCTTGATCCAGCAGGCACTTCTTATGCTCTTATGCTAACTTCTTGTCTCGCTGGAAGGGACGTTGCCTGGCTGAGCAACTGAGTGCTTGCTCCTTGCCCCTCCTTGGCCGCCTCTACTTGACCTTCTTGAATGTCAGCTGCTACTTTGGGAACTTACCTCCTGCTTGCCTTCGATTACACCCTGCCTTCCTCCATCACTTTGGATAATTGGCGGCTGCTTATGCAACTTGACCTTTCACTGCACTGCTGCTCTCTTCTGGCCCGCATCAGACAACATCCAGCTGGCCTCTCTTGGCTGCTGTGACACTGGTGTGGGTTTCCTGCGGGCTTAGGGATCCTGTAGCTCTCCACACTTTGTGGAACTCCATCTCCCATCATCATCCCTGACCATTTGGCCCTGGTGCTTGGGGCTGATGAGCTTTGGAGGCCAACATCTGGAGAACCACAAGTTCCCCATCACTGGTTTGCTGTAATGCTAGGGCAGGTAATTTTTCAGCCTAGTGGCTTCATCTCCCTCTGCTCCTCAAGAAGACCATTTCAACGTCCTGGATTTGTCATCTCCACAGATCTCCTGCTCTGCAGTAGTCCTGAGGCCCGATTATTGTTGCCAATAATCAGGAATTCTGGAGGAATAGATACCTCCCCACTTCAGGGACAACTCCAACTGTGTTAGCGATGGCTATGTCCTCCCTCCACTGTACGCCTCTGAATATCAGTTGCTGGTAAGTCATAGGTGGATAGAGAGCTGTTGCATTCAAGTTCTGCTTGCAATCCATATAGGTTCTCCCACGGACAGGTTTGTGAGGCTGGGTGGAGAGGTTTACTTTCTTCTTCCCTTACGCATGAAAAGTAGGGAGAACCAATATGGGCAGGTGGTTAAAAAAAACCTTTTATTTTCTCAGGTTTTAATCAACTCATTGTGGCTGGCTTTTTGAGCTGCCTTGGAACTGCTGTTGTTATACTGTGTATTGCTTTGTGCTGTATTCTCTGTTTTATTGAATTTGTATGTAGCCATTTTACAGCATTTTTTATTCAACGGGGGGAAAAGTCCAGCTTTCAGGCTTCCCACTGGGGCATCTGGTTGGCCACTGCAAGAGCAGGATGCTGGATTAGATGGGCCTTATCCAGAAGGACTCATCATGTTCTTATAATGTCCAAACAAGAAGTTGGGACATGTCACACCACTGTATCCTGATGAGTGATGAACCGTTAGGGCAAGCCATCCATATGATGTTAGACTACAATTCCCAACATCCCTGAACCTGCTACCTGGCATTGATGGTGCCTTGCTTACCCAGCTTTGGGAAGGCAGCAAGAGCACGCTGGGGTGGGGTGTCAAAAAAGGCATTGAGGGCCACACATGGCCTTTGGGCCACACTTTGGACACCACACCACTGTAATAGCACCATGTTGGACTACATGGACTTTTGATTCAGAGCGGCTCTCCTTAAATGCCATCATTTCCCCTCCTTTCCTTCAGGATTCTCCCTGGGCAAACAGATCCTAAATATTCAGACAGTTGTATTTACTCTTTTAAAAAACAAGCAAACACAGTTTAAGTTGTTGGCTGAACCAGTGCTATTTTGGGCTGTTTGGGCCCAATCAAATATTTATTCTGGTTCACACCGCTGTGCCTGCAGGTCGAAGAGAAGCTTAGTTTTGTCCTAAAATTACCTCAGAAGCAGGGCTGTAGTTCCAAGGTAGCCTGCCACAGCATCAACACAGGGCATCAATTTCCACCCATGGAGTTGCCCTCATTTGATCCATGCTACCTGCCAAAATATGTGAGCACAATCTGATCTTGTGCTTCTTCAGGGCTGTGTGTGTGTGTGTGTGTGTGTGCGCAGGACAACTTCCCAACACAATCGTGCATATGCAGGAATCCCAAAATTTCAGGTTGCCTTGACAGCACGCCATTATCTGTTATATTAATACAAACAAATTCACCACATGCCACTGCTAGAACATATCCAAGGAAGCTGGATGTTGGACGATTCAGGATAGATGAAAGAAAGCACAGCTTCACAAAGTGCAGATTTAAACTAGGGAACTTACTCCAACAGAAGGTGTGATGGCCACCAATTTGGATGGTTTTAAAAGAAGATTTTGCTCGGTGGCCTGGTGGGCTGAATTTGGGCCCCAGGACTGGGGATTCCACATCCCCATTTAACCCTAACCCAAAGAACAAACAGCCCTTCAGCTTGGGAATCAGAAGAAAGCAGACTATTATGGGCTGGAACTGTCAGTGAATATGATGTACAGCAGGAATAAAAAGAGCCTTCACCAAGGTGTAAGGTGTGGGAAAGGGCAGTGATGCTCTGTATAAAAATAGGAGTGTCCCAAGCAAAATGTTGGAAAGGATGAGTTATCTTTGGCTTGCATGTTTGGAGAACAAACTTTGGAAACTTCCTTGAGCTTTTCTTAGTGCTGGATTTACATATGAGCTAAACAAGCTATAGCTTAGGGGCCCCAAAAAAATTAAAGGAAAAAAAACTAGATGTACATTTCCAAAATATAAGATAAAAAAACAAATAAAATAAAACCTACATACAGCAACAGTGTTTTGTGTTGTGTAGGCTCCTATGATTTAAGTAATGGGCCCCGCCTGCTAGCCTGCTCCCTAAAATATCACTGATTTGCTCATTTCTATATATAGGGTGCCTACATTCTGCATGGACTGGGTGCATGACATATATTCAACACAAAAAACAGTGACAACTTGTTGTTGACAAAGGACAGCTGGACATATAAAGGGCCCCATTACCTTCAGTAGCTTAGGGCCTCATCAAACCTAAATCCGGCCCTGGCTTTGCTGAACATGCTGGTCAAAGCCCATGTGAGTCAAATTGGTGCAGTTTGAGGTTGGCTCATAAACTCCAGCTGTGCATGGCTGAAGAGGCGTGCGATGCCTCAGGGGACAATCTGAGATAAAGGCAATCATTTTGAGGTCCAAATGAGACACCATCTGTGCCAGGGGCAGGAAAACTCTGGCTCAGGCAGAGGCACCAGGGGCCTGATGCACAGTGTGTGCATGTAACAACACGCACACGACATATGTGGCATGCATTGCTGGGAGGAGGCAGAGAGCGCAGCCCAGCATGGCTGCAATGGCCGGCGGCTCCTCTTCTGGCCACTGAAGTTGCGCTGTGCTGGGCTCCATGCTCGTCCGCCTCTGCCCCCTCAACATTGAGGGGCCCCAGCCCATTCCCAATAAATATGCGGGGGGGGGAGAGGACAGCTTGGTCCCATAGAGCCAGTGCCCCTGGGCTTGGGGGGCTCTAGGTCTCACTATGGGACTCTCAGGGCTCTTCCAGGCCACACGCCTCTCTCCAAACCACACCTCTTATTGGTCCTGCTGTGGAGGCTTTTGCCTGGGTGGAGTGCGCCCTTGAAATGTGATAATGTCAAAATGGAGTGCTTGTGTGTAGCTGGAATTGTGTGGCTGGAACTGTAGGCTACTGAGCAAAGGTAAGAGTTGCATCCATTGCATACATCCCCTGGAAGGCTTTTCTGAAAGGAATGTCGCCCCCGGGCTGGGAAAAGTCACCTTCTACTGATTCATGCACTTAAAAGTAAATAAGCAGGTGTGTGTGTGTGTGTGTGTGTGTAGGGTCCCAACTGGGACCCTTGTGTGTGCTTGTGTGTGTAGCAAGGATTTGACCTTTTCCCTCCCACTGTGAGTCGGGTCTCTGTGATTGCTCTTTGCTTTGGAAAATAAAATATTCCCTTGGAGCAAACTTGGCAACTCCGTGGCTAATTTTGTGTCATGTCTGGCTTAGCCCATGACAAACGGGATAGCGGGCACTTGGCCTCTGTTGTTGAAATTCCACAGAGGCTACCACCCCCACTTCCCCTTCCTCTTTGAAGTTGCTCAGGAGAGGAAGAGGAAACAAGCCATGCGCTTGACATATTGTAGGCTGTGGCAAATGTCAGAGCTGGATGGCACCCAGAAGATCAGCTCATCCCACCCGCTGCCATGATGCAAGGCAACGACTTTGCAAAGAGCTACTCATCCAGAAATGAAAGAGGCTTCCCCCATATCATTTCTCGATTGGCTTTGCACTGCCCTCTCTTCTACTCCTGCTCAAAGCCTAAAATTAGCTCTGAAATTAGTGGCACTCACAGTCTGGCATGGGGAAATCTGTCACTTTGCATCTCTCATTTTTCTAGTCTTCAATTTTGTTCTCCACATTTCCACATCAGTTTGTGTGTGTTTTTTTAAAAAAGTCTTTTGCTGTTAATTTTAAATGTTCTTAATTGTTTTTAACCGTTTTTTAATTTCTAATATTTCTTGAAACTGCTTAGAGGTCTTACTACAATCAAGTGGTAAATAAGTTTGATTCAGTAAAAATAAAATAAATTCACCTGGGTCAGAAGGGGCAGGTGCAGACTTCAGCAGTATTTTGTAATATGGTGCACCCTGTGCATGGCCTATGTTTTGTGCCCCCAAATGGATCTTCTCCATTGTGGATCTTCTCAATTTGCGCCCCCTCAGCTTGGTGCCTTCTGCAGGGGAACTGTCCACATGGCCCTAAATCCAGCACTGGAAGAAGGCAGTCACTGAAGCCAATCGAGACCCCTTCAATTTATCTGAAGGCAGTTTGGGAGACTTTAAACTCGAAAACAGGATAAAACAAGCATTTTCTGGCACAATTTATTCTGATTGTAAACATTCAGAATCTCCCAGTGCAGTTTGCAAAATCCGAGTTTCCAAAATTCAAAATTTCCCAGTGCAGAATCTATCACAACCCTATTTTACTCTCCCTCCCCAAAGAGAGCAGAATAATAATAATAAATTATTATTATTTAAAAATGACTTTGAAAACTGTCTCTTGGAAAACAAAAACAGCAAACAGTGCAGCCCAAAAAATCACTGCTCAGAAGTATGACTCACTTAATTTAATGAGGTTTACTCCTCGGGTTTAGGGTTGCAGCCCAAAGTCAACCCTATAGCAGGATTGGCAAGCCTCTGGCCCGCCAGACATTGCTAGACTACAACTCCCAATCGTCATTGGCCATGTTTGCTGGGTCTGATGGGATTTGGAGTCCAACACATCTGGAGGGCCCTCAGGTCACCATTTTTAGGGCTGATGTTTTTTTTTTCTAAAAATACAATTTTGGGGTTTTTTATTAAAAAAGCTCAACAACTTTTGAGGTGTCTTGGTTTTTACTTTTTGAAATATGGCAACCCTACCATTTTGCCAGCCCTATAGGAAACAAAGTGCAGAAACCATCTTTTTTCAGGAATTCCTACTAGCAACATACTTTTTTAATATATTGCCTGTAAACAGCACTGTTAGGAGACAGCTTTGTGCATTGTTCTTTTCAAAATCTTCCTGACAAAATCCTTCCCACCTCACCCCTCTTTTAGGTGAAGAAATACTCAATTTTTAAGGCATATTTGTATTTTAAAAAACTTGCTCCAGGAAATTGCGTGAGATCTCCTCCGGGGGCTTATAAGTCCTCAAATTGCTTTTTGCCCGTGATCATCTTCCATGGTTAGCATGGGAGGAGACTCACTCAAAAAAGGAAGAAATCTTCTGATGTATTTCCTCTTTCTCTCTTCAGTGAGTTTCAGGGACTGTTAAAAAGAAGAAGAAAAGCAAGGATGGAGAGGGCAGTTATTTTGCCAGAATATAGTTTCTATGTTTGCCTTAGAAGCCCGATGGATTAGGCAAAATGTCATTGTACAATGTGGGCTCTGGGAAGTGTGAATTAGGTAGGTTTATATTAGAAGTCTAAGTGAACTGAGTCTCTCCTCATCTCTGCACCATAGTACAGAGCTTTCGAAACTGGGTCGTGACACATTAGTGTGTCGGCTGCATTGTGTAGGTTTTTTCATGGGAACATTCCCTGCGCTCCTCCAGGGGCCGGAAAGGGGTTAGTTTAACCCCCGGTTTGCTAGTAAAACTGACTTAGGTAAAGGTAAAGGGACCCCTGACCATTAGGTCCAGTCGTGGCCGACTCTGGGGTTGCGGCGCTCATCTCGCTTTATTGGCCGAGGGAGACGGCATACAGCTTCCGGGTCATGTGGCCAGCATGACTAAGCCACTTCTGGCGAACCAGAGCAGTGCACAGAAACACCGTTTACCTTCCCACCGGAGCGGTACCTATTTATCTATTTGCACTTTGACATGCTTTCGAACTTCTAGGTTGGCAGGAGCTGGGACTGAGCAATAGGAGCTCACCCCGTCGCAGGGATTTGAACCACCAGCCTTCTGATCGGCAAGTCCTAGGCTCTGTGGTTTAACCCACGGCACCACCGACATCCCAAAGCTGAATTACTGTGTCACAAAATGATGCATGTCTAAAAAGTGTGTCACCAACGTGAAAAGTTTGGAAAGCCCTGCCACAGTGTCTGCTTTGTGCGATACTTACGAGTACCTCCCCATTTTCTTCACAATCAAAAGGATAATCCCTGTGGCGACTGCGATAGCAGCAATGATTCCAAAGATGATGCCAACCAGTGTAGCTGTTTCCAGGCCATCTGCAGGGAGGGGAATTCAAATGGCCAAGTTAGTTCAACATCAAATCAGCATCGACGCCTTGAAAGTTACAGTCATGCCACAAACTCCAAAGAGGAAAATTGCTACATCCTTGGGGTCAGTTCCTGGTGGATTTTGCTTGGCAACCCTGAGAGTGGTAAATGCATGTTGATCTGTGAGAAGTAGAAAGGCATAAAATGTGTCTGATCATCCTGGCAGATTTGGTGAGAGGGGTTTGATGAAGATTCTGTTCAGATCTTGGTAACAGGCGCAAAACAGGAGGATATGGGTCACTAAATCAGCCTCTCCAGTGTTGCATTTTGTCAAGGATGGCAACCTATGGATTATTCTCCAGCTTGGGTTTTACTCTAAGGTTCTCTCATCTCACACTCACCCTGGGGACAGGTCTCAGAAGCCTGTTTGTATTTGGGGAGTAGCTTACATACAACTCAACCTTGATTTCAGCCTCAGGGTGCACATTTATAGAGTCGTTTCTCAGATTTTTATTTTTTTATTTTGTAGGAGAAGTGAGGGAACGATTCACAGTTACAAAAAGCAAAATGAAACCGCTAGGTTGGAAATGTAATTCTATAGGTATGTGCCCGGCATGTGATCAGTCCTTTCCTGGTTGATGCGTTGTTACCTTATCGAGGTCAGGTCATTCCTGAGGAATGTGGGAGGAATGTGGCTGGTGGAAGCATGTGCCACACGGAGAATTAAGAACATGCAGTTCTGTATCCAGCTGATAAACAAACCCAGACCTCCGAAAGAAAACGCAGGAGTCGCTCCAAATTTTGTACAAAACCCACAGGAGGACATCTCCACGCGTCATCACAGACGCAGCCGTCAGCTTTTCGGGGGCTGACTTTGAAATAAAGTGTCACCGTGAGCTGCGCAGCCTTCTGAAGTCAGACCTTGTGATGGAATGTGAAACCAGGGCACAGCATCTAATTTGGAAATTTGATGCGAACATTTCACACTACATTTGTTATTAGTGCTTGCCTGTGGCAGAGGTGGGGAAGGAGAGCCTTCTGAGCTAAACTAGGCTGGTGAGATCCATGGTCAGATTGCCTGATGTCTGTTTTTAGCTACCAGGGAGTGGGGGGGTCTGGACCAGGGGCAGAGGGCAGAGGGCAGAGGGCAGTGTGAAGCTGTTTGCCCCCTACAGTATTTCCTTCTGAAATCTCTTTTCACATATAAAGCTGGTAGGAGATGCAAAGGCGCTTGGTTAGAGCCAGGTACAATATACTGTATTTTGTGCTCTATAAGACTCACTTTTTCCCTCCTAAAAAGTAAGGGGAAATGTGTGTGCCTCTTATGGAGCGAATGCAGGCTGCACAGCTATCCCAGAAGCCAGAACAGCAAGAGGGATTGCTGCTTTCACTGCGCAGCAATTCCTCTTGCTGTTCTGGCTTCTGAGATTCAGAATTTTTTTTCTTGTTTTCTTCCTCCAAAAACTAGGTGCGTCTTGTGGTCTGGTGCGTCTTATAGAGCGAAAAATATGGTATACTGTGAGCAGCATATACGGTAAATTAAAACAAGAACAAAAAATAATTGGATGATTAATAGTGATTAAAGAAAAGTTCCTCTCCTAGGGTTGCAGGAATTTCCTGGACATATACAGAATACTTCATTCGGCAGCAGTGTCCGGGTGGAAATGGGTAGTGCCATTTTTACAATTTTGCCAAAAGAACTCAACTTTGGGCAAAACTAAATAAAAGCTCAACATTTTTGGCCAAAAAGAAAAAATCTGTCTGGATTTTTCGCTGTTTTAAATATGGCAACCCTGCTCTCCCTCTCTCATAGCACATGGAATTCGTGGACACACAGCACATGGTTCAACTATGGAATCATAAAGCTGTGGAAATGGAAGGGATTACCAAGGGTCCTCTAGTCCAGCCCCCTGCAGTAGAATTCACTTAGAATCATAGACTCATCGGATTCCCTTTAGAAAAAAGGAACTGACATTTTTGCAGTGATGGGAAATGCATTGAAAAGTGCATGCTGGTTAGGGTGAATGCCGATTGTGATATAATCTCCCATCAAACAAATCAGAATGAATAACCAATACAATTGAACCTCTACGTAAGCTTTGTGCAAGCAGATTGGCAAATCTTTATGCTCATGTTTTAATGTCCTCGAGGCTTCCTTCCTGTGCTGCAGTCCACAGTGCACAAGGGATTGAGGTGTCACAGTGGTGCTAAGTAGCCAGCAATGATTTCTCTGGAATAATCAGAATCTGGCTGCCTTCCAGTGAACATGAAAAGGGTTTCTACTTCATCAGGAAAGAGGGCCTGTTGCCGGATTCATTACATGAGAGGGCTGAGGCTCATTAGCATGCCTGTAGGTTCAAAGACGGATTAAGGTAATTTAAGAAAGGAACCTAATCACTCAGTGCTGTTCTTTGGATTAAGTTTGGCTTCAGTCATCCGCCTGGACTGGAACCAGGCATGGGCCAAGGAGATGACAGTACACTTTTGGACCAGATAGCTAATTTGGGATGCTACCCAATACCATTGTTATGTAACTATTAATTCACCTTTGGCTTGAAACCGAAATCTCACCCTGTGGAGCACTCTTCCAATGGCTGGCTAGACTAACTAGCTGGTTTCGTGGAAAGTGGCAGGGATGTATTTATTTTTTAAAATTATTTTAAACCGCTTTGTAATTTGTTAAAAAAGAAGAAGCCAAAATGATAGTGTCTGTATAGAGAATAGGGAGTCCTGGCCATCGCACCCACATACGACAACTCCCAACATCCCTGTCTATTCACCATGCTGCAGGGCACGCTCCGCCAATGTGCATGGGGAGGGAACCCCCATGCAAACTGGGTGTCACCCGCAGAACCTCTGTCTCTATGATGCATTGCAGGGCTAGATGAAGCCTTTGGGCCATTCCAACTGTGCAATTCTATGAGTTTGGTGCTGATTTTTGCTGCCTATGGATGGTATGTTTTGCTAGAACAAGCAACGCCCTTTCATTAAGACTCATTACATTGAGAAGAAAAAGACACTCAAGTGTTTAATGTATCCAAGCGCAGAAAACTATGTGGGTTGTGAGTATAGCTTCTCTGTAGTGAGTATAGTGACATATTTCACTGCAGCGAGTATTGGGAAAACCTTTCCTGTTCACTTTTGTTGTAACCAGTAATGGTTGATGGCTCTAAGGATCCAGTTTGCATTTGATAGCCTTGCCTGTCTTCCATCTAGCCAAATAAAAAACTATTCTGCAACATGTTTTCCTTGCGTTTTGCTGGTATTGAATAGCTATTGCTGTAGCACACTGTTCTTTTTCTGATCTTACGTTATGCTTTATTGCTTTTAAAATTTGCAAGCAGCATGTGTCTTATTAATTGAATAAATAATAAGAATCATAATCTTTCACATATATGTGTGTGTGAGAAAGACGTGGACATTTTTAAATTTTTCAGACTTCCCCCCAGTACTTTGTTTACATGGAAAAAAATCCATTTCCTAAGTGCATTAGCAAACAAGTTAACAAAAAGAGAGGACTAGATACCATTTGCAAATGCAATCTTAGGCAGGCTTGAGAGTTTCAAAGTTTTTGGTTTTGTTTATTAAGCACTAAATTTAGGTAGCTCTCCAGGGCATTAGAAAATCTTCCATTGCAAATGACCCTACATTGCATAGGAAACATTTTAGAAACATGCACACCACATACCATCAGATTCTGGTAAGCTTGGGTCAGTTGAGTTTTCAGCATCATCACTGGTTGAGAGGGGACTGTCTGTGGTCACCAGATCATCCAAGGAAGAGCTTTCTGTTGTCACCGGGAACTATGTTCGTTAGTTTTAGGGATATATGTGTTTTAAAGAGAGGAAAACAAAGGCAAGCATAATTCATTTCTATGTCTCTCTTCTCAAAACATGCATAATGCTGATCCACCTTGATACAACTCTGCTACAAATGCCAGTATTTATTTGTTTATTTTGAAACAGTAACAAAATAATCCTATGGAAGTCTTTGCAAAAGGAAGTTCTGCTGATTTCAAGGGGACTTGCTCCCAGGTATGCATGTGTAGGATTACAGCCTAAGAGAGAATAGGACATTTGAGAGCCAGCATGGAGTAATGGCTAGAGTGTTGGACTAGGACCTGGGAGAGCAGAGTTCGAATCCCCACTCAGCCATGAAGCTTACTGGGTAACCTTAGGCCACTCACCATGTCTTAGCCTAGCCTACCTCACAGGGTTGTTGTGAGGATGAAATGGGGGGGGGCATAACTGTCAACTTTTCCCTTTTCTTGTGAGGAATCCAATTCGGAATAAGGGAATTTCCCTTAAAAAAAGGGAAACGTTGACAGCTATGGGGGGGGGGGGGAGAGAACCACGTGCATCACCTTGAAATCCTTGGAAAATAAAAGCAGTATATAAATGTAATAAATAAATAAAGCAAGCTGGGATCAGGGAAAATGAAGCTTAGTAGCCGACTGGGTTGTGAAGAGGAAGCCCTAAACTGACCTGGAACCTGCAGCCATCATATGAAACCCTTCTTTGTGTGCCTCCTCCGCGAGAAGTCCAGAGGGTGGCAACACAAGAATGGGCCTTTTCGGTGGTGGCTCCCTATTTGTGGAATGTGCTCCCCAGGGAGGCTTGCCTTGCACCTTCATAACATATCTTCGGGCACTCTTTTACCAAGCCTTTGGCTAATTAAACAACCTATGGCTTTTTAAACTCTCTCTGTGTGTGTGTGTGTGTGTTGGGGAGGGGCACTGCTTTTGTTTGCTACCATGTTGTGTATTTTTGTGTTTTTGTATTCTAAAATGCCCCGTTATCCTCGGGCGAAGAGCAGTCTAGAAATTTAATCAATAACAATAACGATCATGTGAGAGGAATGGCAGTTGGTTTAATAGAATAAACAAACCATAGAGCTGGAAGGGACCCCAAGGGTCATCTAGTCCAGCCCCCTGCAAAGCAGGAATATGCAGCTGTCCCTTATGGGGATAAAACCTGCAACCATGGCGTTATCAGAACCACCGTTCCAACCAGCTGAGCCACGTTGGTGAGCAGAGTCCTTGAGAAGGCACAGCTCCTAGTCCAATCATATTTTAGCGTCACATATTTTAGTGCATTTTGTATGTACTTTGCTGCTGTTTTACCTTCTGAGTAAGCAAATGGCCAAAATGTCTGGCACACTGGATGGGGCTCTCACCTTTGCACAGTCAGTTACATTCCGGCAATTGCAAAAGCCGGAGATTTCTGCATACTCACACTTGGTCCTTCATCCAGCAGGCAAATGGGTGGCATTATCACAATTCAAAAGGATACATTTCAGACAGGCTAAAGAACTCAAGCAGGGTGTGGGAAGAAGGTGTGGCCTGGGGAATAATTAAGGCCCATTCAGCCCCCATCCCTGAAGTCTTCCCTCCTCATCCCCAGCAAAAAAAATCCTTAGCCAAACCCAGCTTTGTCTGATGAAGTGGACTCTAACACAAAGTTGTTAGAATCATAGAATTGTAGAGTTGGAAGGGACCTAATGGGGCAATTTGTCCAACCCCACTGTAATGCAGGAATCACAGGTAGAGAATCCATGGGAAATGGCCATCCAACCTCTGCTTAAAAGCCTCCAATGAAGGAGAGTCCAGCATCTTTCAAGGGAGTCTGTTCCACTGTTGAACAGCTCTTACCACCAGAAAGTTCTTCCTGATGTTTAGATGGAGTCTCTCTTCACTTGAAACTGCTGGTTCAGCTCTTACCCTCCGGAGCAGCAGCAGAAAACGAGCTTGCTCCATCTTCCACGTGACAGCCCTTCAGCTATTTGAAGATGCATGTCACCTCTCAGTCTTCTATTCTTCAAGCTAAATGCACCCATCAACCTCAACCGTTCCTCATAAGGCTTGGTTCCCAGACCCTTGGTCACCTTGGTTTCCCACCTCTGCGCATGTTTCAGCTTGTCAATATGAGGCCATGGGACTCCTCACTGAAATGAACCTAGATACTTTTTGGTCTGGTCTTCATGGTCTGCCATAATAAATGAAGGCCTTTAGAGCTGGGTGGACAGCCTGAGATCATCATAATAAATATTTGTGGAGGGGGGTTATTCATTTGTTTTTGTTTTATTACGTATTTATGTTCTCATTTTGTATTTTTATGTTGTAAACTGTTATGTGATCTTTGCATGAAGGGCGATATGCAATTTTCATACATACATTTTCATACATACATACATACATACATACATACAATAACCAGGAATGAAACAGACTATATCCCCCTATAAAAGATACTCACCGTTGGAAATTCAGAAACGTCACTGTCTCTGCTGTCAGTAGTTGGTGCTTCATCTTCCAGTGAGACTGTACTTGCTAAATGAAACAGATGAGAAGCGGCTGAGATTTGAGATTACTGGCTACATATTGCCACTGAGCTACGATCAAGATTCTGTTGGCTAACTTAGTTGGGTTGTATCCAACCGGGAGCTGACCTAGTGAAATTCAAGGACCTAAATTACAAACAGTGCAAAATGATCAAACTTTCTGAGAAGACAAGAGGATTGCCTTCTCCACTCCAACTCATTGTGGTCCACCATGCATACCTCAGGAACATAGCATCCGCATGTAATAAATTAGTGAGGTTTTGTCAACCCATTAAAAAACAAGGTTTAACTTGGGCAGATTTGCTGTTTAATATTAAAACCATCCTCCTCTTAAGTCGTTTCTTCCCTTTAAATAATGCAATGCAATGGGCTGTTGGGATGTGCTTGCTCTGTCGTAAATGGTGAGCGATGAACGGTTGGGTTTCCTGGCTTAAAGAGTGTACCCTGCAGCACTATTCATGCATCACTCATCACCCTGTGCATCCCATCAGGACAGGAAAGGTGTGCAATGGGACACTTCTGTCTGTTAACCTTTGGTTCAAAAATACAAGAGAAAAGCCGAGGAGGAAATGAGGCTAAGCTTCTATTATATGTCAACAGATAACTGGCTGCAAATAGAATTCCCAGACTATTAGAAGTTCTCCCACTTAAAAGAGGGTGCGATGAGAGAGGAGAGTCATACCTCAGATTTAAGGCCCATGTGGTGTGCAGCTAGGCGTGTAAGTATGCATTGCACTCATCACAGAGCTGCAGTCAAAAATAGCACTCTTCTAAGAACGTAGGAAGAGCCCTGATGGATGAGGTTAATGACTCATCTGGTCCAGCATCCTGTTCTCAGTGGCCAACCAGATGCCCTGATGGGAAGCCTCCAAGCAGGACCTGAGTGCAACTGCACCCTCCCCAGTTGTGGTACCCCGCAACCCATCTAAGTTCAAAGGGGCCTGTTATCGGCATCAATCAACTGATCAGTACTTGTGTGAAGCCCCTTCCATTGTCCACTTGCAATGGTGGTTTGGACTCAAATGGAACCTGCAAAGAGCCCTCATAAAAGGTCATCCATCCACATTTTAGTGTGAATTTCCCCTAGAACATACAGATTCTTCACACCATTTTCCCTGATAATATTCTTGCAAGCGATTCTCCTTACCATTCACGTAAACCACTCAATATGAGCAAGCAAGGGATCAACTGATAAAAACCTTAATGGCAAATTTGCCAGGAAAATCCAAAGCCTCCCATATTAAATATCTTTTGGAAGACAGGTCAAATGATGTTACACTGGCCGTGGCAAAGTTTCTTTTGGAGGTTATAAGAAACAAAGATCATTATGCCCTAGATAAAACAAAATGACTGCCTTGGTTTCTTCCATCTGTCTGTCTGGTCTAGTTTTGAAATTGTTTTGTGAGTCTTTGGACTGCAATAAAGTTTTGAATATTGCCTACAATGACTGGCAACAGCTCTCCAGAGTTCTGGATAAGGGACATTCCTAGGCCTACATAGTGGTGCCAAGGACTGAACCTGAGACCTTCTACATGCAGAGCAGAGGCTCTACCACTGAGCTGCCACCCTTCCCCATATATTTTGTTGTTGTTTAGTCATTTAGTCGTGTCCGACTCTTCATGACCCCATGGACCAGAGCACACCAGGTACTCCTGTCTTCCACTGCCTCCCACAGTTTGGTCAAACTCATGCTGGTAGCTTCAAGTACACTGTCCAACCATCTCTTCCTCTGTCATTCCCTTCTCCTTGTGCCCTCCATCTTTCCCAACATGAGGGTCTTTTCCAGGGAGTTTTCTCTTCTCATGAGGTGGCCAAAGTATTGGAGCCTCAGCTTCAGGATCTGTCCTTCCAGTGAGCACTCAGGGCTGATTTCCTTCAGAATGGAGAGGTTTGATCTTCTTGCAGTCCATGGGACTCTCAAGAGTCTCCTCCAGCACAATAATTCAAAAGCATCAATTTTTCAGCGATCAGCCTTCTTTATGGTCCAGCTCTCACTTTCTCCCCACATATTTAAATACGTGTTTAAACATGCATCTAAATGCACTTTTGAATATGCACTTAAATATTTAAAATACAAATTTCTAAGTGTGTTTTTAAAAATCAAAATAGAAGTGCCAAAGCTCAGTGGTTAGAGCATCTGCCTTGCATGCAGAAGGGCTCAGCTTCAATCCCTGGCATCTCCAGGTAGGTGGGAAAGACTCCCTTTCTGCAACTCTGGAGAACCGCTGCCAGTCAGTGCAGGCAGTATTGAGCTAGATGGACGAATGATCTGACTTAGTATGACAGTTTCTTACGCACTATGCAAAATACACAATTTTAAACACATTTTGCTGTCTTTTCGAGCAGAGAAATGGGCTGGAACATTTTGGAAGCACTCAACCACCAGCTAACTAGCTGCCATTCTGTGCGTGTTTACTCAAAAGTAAACCCTAATGGGACTTGGCAAATACTGTTGCCTTTGTTCCAACCTGGACATTACTTGGGGAGCTATCAGTCTGCTCAGTTCAGGGCAGAATGCAATCAAATCCCACCAGCGTCCCTAGTACAAAAATATAAATTAAGATCCAGACTGCTTGCATCTTTTATACTGGGCTTCTCTTTGCAGTAAAGCAAAAGCACACTAACATGTGTTTCTACATCCAAAGATCCAAAGGGCTTTTATGAGGTTTGAATATTATGTTCTCTCTCTCTCTCTCCCTCTCCCTCTCCCTCTCTCTCTCTCTTAAATCCATTAAAAAAAGTTTTTTGGGCAAAAGTTTTAAGGAGGGAGAAAAAACATCTAATGATCTACAGTCCAGCTTCTCCCTGCAGTGGTACGTCAACATCAAATATTTAATAAAAGTCTTGCCTTGAGCATTGAGCATCAAATATTTAAAGGCGGGGGGGAATCCACTCACTGAACAGGAAATCTAGATACTGAAGCAGGGAAATGCATTAAAACTCTTGTCTCCGTGGCCAACAGCTTTTATTGCTGGTTCCTTGTTTTTTTGACGAGAGGATATGGGAACATAGAAACCTAGGAAGTTGCTACCTACCAGATCAGACCATTGATCTACCTAGCCCAGTATTTTCTGTGTGGAATTATCAGTGGCCTTTGAAGGTGTCAGGCAGGGGACATTCCTTTTTTTATAATTTTTTAAATTAGTTTTACATATAATCACATTATGTAACATCATATCTTCTTATTTAACCTTTTTGGCTCAACTGAGCCTAACAACTTCCCTCCCGCCCGCCTAATGGTTTACAAACTTAGGTTTTGTGTCTTTAAATTTCACTTCCTTTCCTATTTTTATTATGTCATTCCCTAAAAAGTTCTATTACTCAACCTGAACAGGTAGCAATTTCATCTTACAAATCTTCAGATAACCCTGCTAGTGATGTTAGTTGCTTACAGTTGTCTTTCAAATAGCGAATAAATTTATTCCAGTCTTTTTGGAATGCTTGGTCTCGCTAGTTCCGGATTCTTCCCGTCAGTTTCGCCAGTTCTTCAAAGTCCATCAATTTCATCTGCCACTGTTCTTTTGTTAGTATTTCATGTTGTTTCCATTTTTGGACTAGCAAAATTCTTGCCACAGTTGTTGCGTACAAGAACATTTTTTTATCTTGTCTTGGTATTTCTTTACTCACTATACCCAATAAGAAAGCTTCTGGTTTTTTTAGCAAAAGTGTTTTAAACATTTTCTTTAACTCATTATATATCATTTCCCAGAAAGCTTTTAACTCTTTACATGTCCACCACATATGGTAAAAACTACCCTCCTTTTCCTTACATTTCCAACATTCATTTTTTGTTCTATACATTTTAGCCAATTTCACTGGTGTTGAATACCACCTATACATAATTTTCATTACGTTTTCTTTAAGCGAACTGCAAGCAGTGAAATTAATACCTTCATTCCATAACCTCTTCCATTCTTCTAACTGTATATTATAGCCAATAACTTTAGCCCAATGTATTGTTACTGATTTTAAGGCAGGGGACATTCCTAGCCCTAGCTAGGAGATGCCAGGGATTGATTATTTCTTCACGCAGCACATAATTAAACTATAGAACTCTCTCTCTCCCACAGGAGGCAGTGATGGCTGCCAACTTGGATGGCTTTAAAAGGATTATATAATGCCCCACAGAGGACCTTAAGGTCCATAAATAGCAACACCCTAGAGGTCCTGGGCCCTAAGGAAGTCAGATTAGCCTCAACCAGAGCCAGGGCCTTTTCAACAGAGCCTGGTGGAACGCTCTGTCTCATGAGACCAGGGCCCTGCAGGATCTGATTTCTTTCCACAGGGCCTGTAAGACAGAGTTGTTCCACCTGGCCTTTGGCTTGGAATCAACTCGATCCCCTCCCCCTCTTTCCTTTTTCCTTTCTCCTTCTGTGATGGAACTCCTATTTGGGGACTTCCCTGGCTTCTTTCTGGCCCAACTAGGACCAGTCTGGATAGTTGGCCTTGGTGAAGATTTGACATTTTCATCCCCAAAAAGTTTTTGAGTTTCTACTGAAATCAGGCTGCATTTTCATGTTGTACTTTAATCTTGTTTTTAAGTTGTAGTTTAATCAATTGTTTTTATACTTGGTGTTAGCCGCCCTATGCCCGGTCTTGGCTGGGGAGGGCGGGGTATAAATATTATTATTATTATTATTATTATTATTATTATTATTATTATTTCATGGAGGAGAAAGCTATCAACGGCTACTAGTCACAATGGCCATGTTCTGCCTCCATCATCTGAGGCAGCAATGCCTCTGAGTACCAGTTTGTTGGGAATTGCAGATGGACAAAGTGTTGCTGTGCTCATGTCCGACTTGCAGGCTTCCCACATCTGATCAACCACAGTGAGAGCAGGATGGTGGACTAGATGGGCCATTGACCTGATCTAACAAGCCCATATTCTGTTCTTATGAACCTAGGATCTTCTGCCTGGAAATGTTGGCCCTACTCAGAGTAGACCCATTGCAATTAATGGGCACTGCTAATTTAGACTACACTGACTTAAACTTAGATTCTGTTTCTGTATGCAACCACGGCTGCGTAGATGTTATTGGCCCAGAGATGGAAAGAAGATAAAGTCCCTACCAGAGAAGAATGGCCAATCAAGTTGATGGATTATGCCGAAATGGCAAAAATGACCGGAAGAATCAGAAATCAGGAAGACCACCATTTTCATACGGCATGGGGAAAATTTGTAATTTATCTTAAAAACCATTGTAAACAGTTAAAATCGTTAGTAGGATTGGAATAGCACTTGTAGTTTAATGGTGAATTTTGGACACAATGGAGAGGTAAAAGATTTGGATTATCATAAAAGATGCAGGAGGGAATGATTAACAATAAGACCCACAAAGGGGAGGAGGGAAGTTTTGGAATCTTGTTTATATGTTGTATGTTGGATATGTGCTTGCAGAATTGTAATCTGAAGAACCAAATAATTTTTTAAAAAAAATATTCTACCCTTTTTTAATTTATAGAGGATGGTACTTCTATACTGTCCAAACAGACTTGAAGTAACATTGGGTTGCTTCCGGTTAAATCCTAGTCAGAGCAGAACCACTGAAATGAATGGGCCTAATCAGTCGTATCCATTGATTTAAATGGGTCAACTCTGAGAAGGATTAGCAGCGGATACAGACATCTCACTGTCAGTGTTCTTCTCTTGAGGGCTTTGTGATGACCTCACTTCCCAAATTTCTCTTGTTTTTCCAGATGCAGGCTTGTGCAGATGTGAATTACTCAATGCACTTTGCTGTGCCAAAAATCTGATATAGCACATTCCAGTTCTGCGTCTCTGATGTTTCTGACGTCTCATAGAGGAAGGGATCATTCTATTTCTGTTATGTGTCAGACCTCCACTTGCTCAATCATAGATCCATTCCTTCCCCACCTTTTTTTTTTTTGAGTTTGAATTTTCTTTGAATTTGAGGATTAAGAAACACATAGTCCCCAAAAAGCATGTAAATGGAATTTTCTGCACTCTGTTCACTTCCTAAAATACATATTGTTTTTCAATGTCTTTTCTTGTAGAATAGTACCTCTGGTGTGGGACATGTCATGCTCCTTCTGGGGCAGTTTGTCCACCTTTAGTCTCCACCCTGCACTCAGCTCTCACCTGTGGCTCTTAGAAGCTGTCACCATGTGACAGCAGCCACAATCCTGGGAATGGCTTAGATTGGCCAGCTAAGCCAGGTGAGGGTAGCTGAGGGGTCTCAAACCCTCAGTGAGTTAGGGACTTCCTCTGCATGCGAAGACAGACTCCAGAGCAATAGTGAGTCCAATGGTCAAGAAATCTATTTCTGCATGTGCTGTAGAGAGAAGTGAGGGGAGGATGGGGCTCATCAACCTGGGAAGGTAGCCCATCTAGGAGACGGAAGACTCTGGTCCTAAGCCTCTGCTGCCTTGCGGGAAATCTTTGGGAGAAGAAAAGGCTAAGGAGTATACCCTACACAAATCTGGAGTGGAGTCCCTAAGGCAGTTGGGTGGTGCCTTGTATGCCTCCTAGCAATTCCTGCAGCCAAGCTGGTGCCAAATGTATTGCTCTGTTTTCCTTTGGACTACATCAGTGAAACCGAGAGGGGGGTCTTGTCATCTGGGCAGCCCAGAGCCTCCATACACCCTGTCCAGGCTTGCCCAGGTCATTTCGGTGCTGCTGTTTGACTTCACCCACAGAGGTGTACTCCACTGTCTCTCGAAAAAGGCGGATGCTAACAATAGCCCCACAAAATGTGCACCTCTGTAGACTTTAAAACAACAACAACAACAACAACAACAACAACAAACTGGAACTACATCACAATATTTGGAGACGAGTAATCTGACTGATATCTGTGATCCAATCAACATATAACTGAAGAACATAAGACGAGCATACTGGATTAGGTCAATGGCCCATCTAGTCCAACATCCTGTTCTCACAGTGGCCAACAGTGAGAGTGCTCTTGTGGTTGAATCCTGCTTGCTGGTTTCTCGCAAGTGTCAGGTCAGCTACTTTGAGCACAAGATGTTGGACTCTGCCTGATCCAGCAGCCTCTTCTTATACTCTAGAGCAGCGGTTCTCAACCTGTGGGTCCCCAGATGTTGTTGGACTACAACTCCCATCATCCCTGAGCTCTGGCTTAAACAACATCTGGGAACCCACAGGTTGAGAAAGGCTGCTTTGGAGGCAATGTCTTACTAGGGATAAGACCAGAAAATGGGAGCTACCATCAGTAAATAGGGGCAGTTGGAGTGCATGTTGCTTCACTTTTCAGCAAACGTTTCTGCATCTTGGCTCCCTTCTGATATTTTGGTTCACATCTCATCAGCCCTAGCCGGCATGGCCAGCAGTAAAGAATGATGGTCCCAAATAGTTGGAGGGCACCGGGTTGCGGGAGGCTGCCTCAGACCCAAGTATGTGAGATTGTTCCGGGAAGATGAAATTGCAAGCCCCAAGGAATTCCAGTCTCTGGAATGCAACTCTGAATTTTGATCTTGGATGTTTACTTTCAGGTGGGTTGTAGGTTACACCCACAAATACCTCTGAAGAGAAGAATTCATCCATAGCAAGATACATTCCTTTTGATACAGGGTGCAGGAAAAGAAAACCTAGGAAGTGGATTTATACGAAGTCATAGACCTCAGCATTGCCTACACGGAATGGCAGCCACTTTCCAGGGTTTCAGGCAGTCATCCTTACAAGCCCAACATGGGGGTGCCAGGGATTGAACCTGGTACCTTCTGCATGCAAAGCAGATGCTCTGCCACTGAACTACTTTCAATGCTGACTGTGGGCGCATCTGGTTGGTCACTGTGAGAACAGGATGCTGGACTAGATGGGCCATTGGCCCGGTCTACCAGGCTTTCCTTACATTCTTAGAGCCACAAAGTATTTCTGCAGGTCCGTCATGAGACTCTTTGGCTAGACATCCCAGGACTCATCCTGGAAATAAACAACAATCCTCAGTATTGATCTGCATCCTCCCATGTTGGCTTCCTTGTCTCTGCCTCCTCCTCCTTTCCCTTTGCCAAGAAATGGAAACAGGAGGAATCTGTGAGGCAGCCAGCTGAGAACGCCTTGATTCTGGGCAACACTGATTCAGTCTGCCGATGGAGGCAGCCCAACTCAACGCCAACAGACCCAGCAACATGTTGCCTATCCTCTCTGTGGGTGTTGGGCCTCTTGACATCTGGGCCTGGCACCCTCTGGGGCTTGTGCTATGCCAACATGCAGCTGGCACAAAGCCTACAGGATGACAAGCGAAAAACAACCACCAGTCTATGGCTTGCTTTTGCACCCCACAGTTACTTTACGTTTGCAAGAATGAGTTTAGTCCACCAACCACTTGAAATATATAATATGCCTTCCTGTTATGGGTTTCTCATTTGCCTCCTCTGCTGTCTTTACATTGCCTGTGCGCTATGGCCAATGTGCTTTCCCATTCCAAGAGTCACTGGGCTGCATCCAACTAAGGCCTCCGCAGAGTAGGCCAATTAAAATAATGGATCTCTCCCCTTGTGATTTCCAGCAACTGGTATTCAGAAGCCTACTGCCTCCAACAGTGGAGGTAAGAACACAGCCATCAGCACGAGTAGCCATCAATAGCTTGATCCTCCATGAATGGACTTAAGTTAGGCATGTCCATTTATTTCAATGGGTCTGCTCTTGGGTACAGCCTACTGTCCAGAGCAGGGGTGGCTAACATGTGGCCCTCTGGGAGTTGCTGGACTCCAATGCCCATTGGGATGGTGGCCATTGAAGTCTACCAACAATTGGGGTGTCACAGGTTCCCCACTCTTGGCTTAGAGACCCTGCAAAGAGAGCTGATCCCTGAACATCAGAATATAAAATGAGTTTTGCTAGATCGGGCCAAAGGCCCATGTAGTCCACCATCTTGTTTTCACAGTTGCCACCCAGATGGCCCGATCGGAAGCCTATAAGCAGGACAGGAACGGAACAGCACTTTCAGCACACATAATTGCCAGTGCCTAGGATACGGAGGTATATTGCTTCCGATGAGGAAATACATAGCCATCATGACTTGTGGCTATTGATAGCTTTATCCTGATAAGCAACAATATTTTAAAAATGGAACCATAAAAAGGCAAAACTAGAAACTATGTCCTACCAGGGACAAGACCAAAAACCTGGAACTATTCTTAGCAAATTGGGACAATTGTAGCATGTGCTATTTCATGTTTTAGACCAGACCAAACAGAAAGGGGTGGGAGCCCATACAGAAGGAAGAATTGCTGATTATCTGTTATTAGCCACTAGACTTGTTATATAACCCGGTTTTGGAAAGACTTGCAAGGGACATCCTTATTGAATTGGCTTAACAGAGTTTGGCCATTGGCCCAAATTGACTAAAAGTATATATATGACTAGCTAAAGTACAGAGACACAAAGACTCATTTACAACTGACCGGTACTGAATTATTCTTTTAATGAAGAAGAAGAACCCTGAACTTTTGCAGACATCCAGACTTTTTTGATTACTCTGATTTAAATAATATTCTATGCTTTAGATTGCAGTGTGTTCCAACACTGACTTTCACTGTATGCTTTGGGGTTTTTGTTGTTGTTAAGGGTTTGTGTGTGTTTGTTTTAAAAAGAATAAATTAAAGGAGGAGGAGGAAGTATCAGCATGGCTTCTTTACCAGGTAGACCAATACTATCTGCTCTGGCTGAAGAAATCTCTCCTGGCTCTTGAGAAGAGAGGGGTCTTTCCTATGCTTGATATCTGACATCCTTTGGCAAGAGATGGGACCTTTGGCATCCAAGCATGTTGTCCACAACTGAGCTATGGGTGGTGGTGTTCCTCATATACATGAAATCTGTCTTCTACTGAGTCCAACTCCACTGCCAACTGCTCTTCTGGATCTCTGCTGCTTCTGATACCTGAAATCACTTGAACTAGCTATTCTGGGAATTGAGTCTGCAACCTAGGAAAACCAGGGGCCAATAACTGCCCCCCCATCATTTGCAGTCCGACTGGAAAGTTTCCCATATGAAATATTGCCCAATGGTAAAATGTTATTACTAAATAGAGGAGATTTTGGCTGCAGTCCTATGCTACCTTACCTTGGAGGAGATACATTCCTAATGAAATTGTGAGGTTTACTTCGGAGTAGGCATGTATTATCTTTATTTATGATGTGCACTTTAATAAAACATCAAGGAGGCTTACAACATAAAATACAACAAAATCAATCAGTATCTGCAAATAATAATAATAATAATAATAATAAATTTATTTGTATCCCGCTCTCCCCGGCCGAAACCGGGCTCAGGGCAGCTAACATCAAATATATAACATTGGTATAAAATCAAACAATAATTAAATTACTTCCTAAAAACAGTATAATCCAAAGCATCAACAAAACATCAATAGATACCGGTTGGTTAAAAAATAAAATTCATATGGTATAAAAAGCATAGTTTTTTTAAAGAAATGCCTGAAAGAAGGCAGGGATGGTTGCACTGCTGTATTTTTGTTTCCTGAAAGAATCCACGGTCCATAATGTATATATTTACTGCAAACTAATTCATTATTTTTCTTTTGCTCTCTGCTACACTGTACAGTGGTACCTCGGGTTACATACGCTTCAGGTTACAGACTCCGCTAACCCAGAAATAGTACCTCGCGTTAAGAACTTTGCTTCAGGATGAGAACAGAAATCGTGCGGGGGCGGCTCAGCGGCAGCGGGAGGCCCCATTAGCTAAAGTGGTGCTTCAAGTTAAGAACAGTTTCAGGTTAAGAACGGACCTCTGGAATGAATTAAGTACTTAACCCGAGGTACCACTGTATAGGTAGGTGGAATTTCTTTAGTGCACTTTCGAAAACCAGTCGAAAGCCAAAAACTTTTAATTTACCAGCCTCGGTCATACTGAATTCTGCAGCAATAGACTCTCAAGATAGGATGGGAACTAAGTGCAATCCTAAAAATGGTTACTAAGAAGTAAAACCTATGGAGTTCAATGAGGCTTACTCCCAGAGAAGTGGGGTTAAGATCGCAGCCTAAGCAAAACTTTGCACTGATAACACACAACACAGCCAGCCACCAAAAAGAAAAAAAGGAAAGTATGAATATATCCCTTTCTGGACATCTGCATATCTAAGAAAACTTTTCTTACCTTCCTCAGCAAGAACATGGAATGATAAGCTCCCTATCAGGAAAAGAAGGAGCTGCATCTTGATAAACATCTTCGATAAACTCTTTAAAACAAAAGTCTGGTCTTGAGCAATCCAGTTATATCAAGCGCCTTCTTGTTTTGCAAAAAAAGTTTGCTTGGGTTTTCAAGTTCTCCTCCGCCTGCCAAAGAAGTTGAAAGTTTTGCTTTCTCTGAAGCATTGACAAGAGCGACGGGAAAGTAACTGAGAAAAGAATCAGTTTTTTTACTTTAATGGAAGGCTGAGCAGGCATTCAAAGTGGTCCTGAAAGGAAGGCCCTCCCTCTGCAATCTGTTTGGTCACTCATAAAAAAAAAATCTCAGGTTTAAAGTTACAGAGACAGTTATATATAGTGATGTGCACAAGAAAGATTAAAGAGAGAGAGGTGAAGACAGAACACCCTCCTTTACGTTCGAGGAGCATACAAGGGCATGCTGTATTTTCCATTATTGCTAACACATTTTTAAAAAAGAATTATTTTGCTGTTGTTTAATTGGACAGGAGGGTAGAGGGGTGGAGTGGCGAGAGTGATGATGACAGGAGAATATTGGTTATATGTAAAAAAACCAAAAACCTGTTTTTTTTTCTTGGTAATGCATTGGCCTTGTACAAAACTACTGTACAATTCTCTAGGATTAATGGGTTGGTTGGGAATTGAAAAATCAAAAAGGGGGTGGGAGAATTCCCAAAGCATGATTTGCACCAGAGAGTCTGGGAAACTGAAATCATCAGAGAGAAAGTGGATGAGGAGAATCTTGGAAGAATCTTAGCTGCACTAAAAGTAACAACTGGTCTAACATAATCCTTTCTATGCACTGGGATGGGGGTGGAGACAAGCTGTCTCTAAGCACATGTCCATATAGATACCAAATCCCAACTAATGTGATGATGGATGAAGCTGTTTCAGATATTTCATCTCCCCCCACCCCAATCTTCAATTCAGTTCACACTATTTATCCACATCAGATGGAGATTGGGTGTGCAAATTTGTGTGCATCTCAATGTAGCCTGCTCCCAAGGTATGCACTTTTGCCTTTGACTTTGGCTAACATATTCATTTGTGTGTGCAATTCTGTGATTCTATGAGTTTTCTGCAGCACAATGCATTTTTGTACCATCCTGCTCCTTTTTAAAGTACTTTTGTGCAAATTGTCCCCCCAATATATGTATTTATTGTATGCATCATTTTAATTGGAAAGCTTACATTGCAAAATTCTGAAAAGTGCAAATTTCAAATGATACCTGCGTTTTGGTGTATGTATTGGTTTGGGAAGTGCAACTCTGCCAACCAGATGAATTTCTTCCCCTTCCCTAGAAACTATGGCTTTTTATGTATTTGTATTTTTGTTCTTCTCTGTTTTTCTGCTTTTATGTAGTTTGTATATTTGTATTTTTCTGTCGTGGGATCTTTGGATCTATGAATTGTTGTTGTTGTTGTTATTTCAGTTCTTGTTTGGCTTGTACTTGTGAAGTTCTTCTTGGATTTAAATTCCAAGGCTTTCTTCATGCAGGATCCTCTCGAGAGATGTACTTGTGGGATCTTTAAACAAGCAAACAAATTATTAGAACTGTTTGCGTGATAGTTAAAGAACTTGGGTATCTTTTATTACATTCACGGAGGTCTGAATGTTGATGCTCAGTCATACTATAAACCAGTGCCTTCCAATAATAACATTCAAACTCACCACACCCTAAAATGTCTGGTCTCTGAGATGTGTTTGGCTACATGTTTTGTAAGTATCAGAGCTCTCTCTCTCTCTCTCTCTCTCTCACTCACTCACACACACACACACACACACACACAAACAAACAACTTGCTCTCACAATACACAGTTTGCCCAGCCTCTTAGGAGGCTGAAAGACTTGGCAATTCATTTCAGAGGAGAAAACAGATTATGAAAGCAAAACAAACGAGTGGCTTGTACTCAATGACCTTTTCCACCTCCTCCCTTAAAATAATTACACACAGACCTCGTGAAGAAGAGCCATGCCAGGGAAACAGACTTTTGCCTTCGCACTTGGCAATTGCTAGTGTTGTCAAGGGATGGGAGGACCCCCTCCTTTCCGCTTCTTTATTGCTCTGTTGCTTCACCCTGCTGCATCCTTCTGGATTTGCCCTTCTCTCCCTTGACTTAAGATTCAAGGGCAGACTGGGTTGCAGCAATCACACTTACCGGAAGGGCAGGGTCCCATCGAGATGTGCAGAGTCATCTCTATCCAGGCCACATCCCCTCTGTTCAGGGGATGAGGTCAGCATCTTTGAATCAGAAAGGAGACTGCATGCAGGACCCGCCCCAGAAGCAAGCCCACAAGGTTGTTGTGCCAGAGTCCCTTCAGCCAGAACATGTCACTCTGCCACCCTCCAACTCAGGAGTCTCCATTGCAGGAGACCCAGTCCAACCACAGTTTCCTTCACCTCATGGGAGTGGAGGTGTTCTGGAGTAACTTAAGAAACACATTACAGGGAAGGTGAAGCTTACAACTAAGACACGACTGCCGCTCCTGCACATATTTATATCTTCATTGCATATCTTTAGGTGCAAGGCCAAAACATTTCTCTATAACCACTCTCAACCAACCACGATTGGCTGGTTAACTTTCTATGGTCTTTTAAATGTGTTTGTGAGAGAGGGTGGTTATTGGTTTGTTTTTGTTTTATTGTGTATTTTGTGGTCTCATTTTGTATTTTTGTGTTGTGAACTGCCCCCTGTGGATGAATGGCAGTATACAGATTTAAAATAATCAACCAATCAATCAATCAATCAATCATCAATCAATCAATCAGTGTCACTCCTGCACACCGCATTCCCCCTCTGATTGAGTGGCCCTGGGCTGTGTGACATCAGCACATGGAAATTGCTGTTTTTTTGGGGAGGGGGCAGCCCCTCCCCTCCCCCACCTGGTGCCCCTGATGTCCCTGAAATGACATCAACGCTCCACTCTTCTTTCAGTGGTCAGCCTGAGCCTCACTGGAGGTCCGTTCCCAAGAAAGGCAAAGTAAAACCCAGTAGGACAGGATGACAATCAGGCAAGGCAAAGCATCGTCAGCACCCTGGACAGATCTCTGTGACAGGTGCTGGCTGGTTGTCTCAGAAGGAGGGTCAGGCCTTCTGAAGGTTGGTTGACCTGGACCCTCTCTGTCAACCTTGCCCTCTCTGAGGAGCCATTTTTCTTAAAAGGCCATTGCCTGATCCGGCAGACTAAGTCTCCTACATTTCAGGAGTGGTGGTGACTGCATTGGCATAGTGAGGATTTACGTGAACCCATGTAAGAATTTAGGTGAACCCTGGAAGATCCTGAAAAGGGAGGGTGATGTTTTCCCAGGTATTGTCTCCTCCCAATCTTCCTATCAGCCCCATGGGGTTGGGGATTGAGGCTATAGACCAAAAACAGAACTCTGGTTTTCACTAGCAGAATTTATAAAATTAATTTATAAAATTCCTGCGTTGCAGGCGGTTGGACTAGATGACGCTTGGGGTCCCTTCCAGTTTTACATTTCTATGATTATGGACTCTCTCTGTGTGTGTGCAGTTTGCAGGATTTTCTTTTCTTTTCTTCATTTCCTTTGCAGCTCCTCCTGCCCCTTAATACATTAATGATGCTCTTGCATGTATTCAGCAAACATTGCCTAAAAACAACAACCTGCACTTCAATCAATTCCATGTGCAAATTCATCAAGATTTCTTATAAAGCGAGGAATAGTGGTTTTTCTGATGCGCTACAGGATGCAAACCCCACCCTAATATAACTGATCATATTCTCACGCCGTGATGACTTTTCTTGCTGTGTTTTTTGCCTATGTGCAGAATGACATATGTGCACCACTAAAAACAGAGCAAAGAGTATTTATTTAATTTATAGCCCACATTTCCTCTGCTCCAAGGGGCATACGTGGTTCTCCCCTTCCCCATTTTATGCTCACAACAAGCCTGTGAGGTAGGTAAAACTGGCAGATGAGGACTGTCCCAAGATCACCCAGTGAGCTTCATGGCTGAATGGAGACTTGAACCCTCATCTCCCAGGTCCTAGCATGACACTCTATCCACTAGGCTGCACTGCACAATCCCCGCAAAAGTGCCTCTTGGAAGCTGCAGTTTCACGGCAAGGAAAGACTCAACTGGCACTTATAGGAAGTCAGCTGAAATGCCAACTCCCTAAGCAGTTTTTTAAAAATTATCTTACTGTGTTTTGTGCAAAGAGAAAGAAGAATGTATATGCAACATTTAAATGAAAAAATCAAAGGAATAAACCTGTAAAATCAGAGAAGCCATTCCATTAAATAGAAATGAATAATAAAACTCAACAGTACGATGAACTTTTGAACCTGGGAATGACTGAAGAGATGGGTCTTTAGGAGGTATTTAAAGGCACTTTTTTGACATATGCTTATTTTGATGCTTACCTTTGCCTTGTGATGTGTGCATTTGTATGTGTATGCGTTAGGCCTGGTTGGCGAAAGGGCGATAAACCATTCATTTCTTCATTCAGTTTTCCTTATTTTTTAGTTGCTGGCCTTCCACAGAGCCCTTCATGAGGCCAATTTGAAAGAGAGCACGCTACCAACTCAGGGTCAGCTGTAGACACAAACGTTTCCTTTCAGCCTCTGACAGCTGTGGATTTGGGTTTGGCTGAATTGCCATGGGCTCAATGGGTGATGTGCATGTCTGCCGCCACGTACAGCGGACAGCGGCAATTGCCTTTTGAGCCTCCGTTTCCAGCTGCAGCTGATCCACGGAGAGCATCCTCTGCTAAACTACTGACCGGACAACTGTGATGACAATATTAATCAGAGCTGAAGATTTCAATGGGTGGAGGTGCAGTTGAGCAATTGGTAAGAGACCCTTATAGCCAATGGGACAAATTTTATGTAATGGAACTAGGGATAGAGGGAGTAACTGGATTTGGTTCCCATTTAAAGATGGACCTTCCTAATTTGCACTTTCGGGGGGGGGGGGAGGAGGACACAAACTGAAAATCGGCCTCCTTCAAAATCCAAGCTTCTCCGAATTTTTCAGTGTGGTTCTTCAGCCAAGAAGTGTGTGCAGAATTACACAAACTAGGGTAATGTAGACATAAAACTGCACAACTGAATAGCATGTGAAAATGAATCATATTAGGGGGAATATCAAATGAGTCATATTAGGGGAATCAAATTAGGGGAAATATATGTGGGGAAACAGTACTCTGTGTTCTAGTAACTTCCAGAATGGATTCTTGCAATGAACTCTACATGGGGCTACGCTTGAAGACAACTCAGAAACTGCTCCAAAATGCACCCACCAGATTGCTGGCAGGGGTTGCCTTTAGAACTCAAATGAACTCAAATGAACAGCTGCTTTAAAACAGCTGCATTGGTTGCCAGTTTGCTTCCAGGCCAAATTCAAGGTTAGCGTTCAAAGCCCTAAATGTCGTAGGCCCCAAATATCTGAAAGACTGCCTACTTCCCTATAGACCCTCTCTGGTGCTGCTGTTCACAAAGGTAGTTCTACCACCCTCAGACATCTGGGATGGTGGTAGCTTGGGAGAGGACATTTTCATGGGAGCTCTTAGGATGTGGAATCCCTTCTCCACAGAGGTTCATCTCACGGCTTTGCTATGTGAATCTCTTTGCCCTAGTCTTTGACATGTGAGATGCCTGTTTTTGACTACCCTGTGGCTATGATTTGTTCTAACTGTTTTCAATGCTGAATTTTAGATTGTTGTAAGCTGTCTGGGAACCGGCTGATGCAGGGTAGGAATTTCAAAGGGCAGTGCAGGATTTATGTATAGGCTATGTAGGCTGAAGCCTAGGGCCTCTAAATGTAGGGGGCCTCGCCAGCCCTCCCGCTCCCCAGTGGGCAGTCTTCCCTCTCCCCAAATTGCAAACCCAAGACTTCATGTGAGGACAGGATAACTTGGGTCTCTAAATCTAGGGGGCCTTGCCAGGCTGCCTGCTCCCCAGTGCCACAGTCTCCCCTCTCCCAAAATTGTAAACCCAAGACTTCATGCAAGGGCAGGGCAACTCAGGTCCAGCAACTATTTGACTCAGGGCTAGCCAGTGCAGCCCAGTTTGAAGCAGTGGGGCACAACTTGAATTGGGTATATAATTGTGCAGATGGTAAGAAACGAACAGTTCTCTATATTTTGTAATTCAGTTGTACCCTTCAAAGAGACTTTAGAAACAGATCTTTTCCTTAAGAATTTTAGTAATTTCCTTGGAGACTTTCTTCTAGGAAAAACAGATGCAGTATCTCTTGTGCACTCCTCATATATTAAATCCTTGGCATCAGTGCAATGCAGATTCAAAGCAAAGGTCCTTTGAAAAGCAACTATTTTACATTGCCAAATGCAGCAATTATAAACACATCTAGTTTTCTAGGCACCTGAAAAGGTTGATGTGAGCTTGAAAGTAAGCTTCCAAAATTGACACTAGAGGGAGCCACGATTTTGCAAATCACACAGCTTAATTCAAAATCCACACAGTTAACAAACAAAAAACAACAATAATAAAGACAGACCCTCCAGGTGTCCCTGTTTTCCAGGGACAGTCCCAGATTTACAGAAGCCATCCCAGTTTCTGATTTGATCCTGGGATGTCCCACTTTTCCTTAGGAGGTCCCTATTTTCATTTAATCAATGTTGGATGGTATGGAATTATCCGATCACTGCACCATCTGAAGACAGCTCTGTATAGGGAAGGTTTTTTAAAATGTTTAATGTCTGTTTATTTTTTCATATATCTTGGAAACTGACCAGAGTGGCTGGGGCAACCCAGTCAGATGGGCGGGGTATAAATAGTAAAATAACAATAACGAAACAATAACAATTGAAGTTAGATGTCCCTATTTTCATCAGAGAAATGTTGGAGAGTATGTAATGACTTACATATACTGCTACTTGATTTCCCCCAAATTGATTCCAGATTCACATAAGGTTACCAGATTTTTTCAATGAATCCGGGGACACTTTTCAACTTCAATGGATTTTGTATGGAGACTGATTTGTAAATCTGGGGACCGTCCCTGGGAAACAGGGATGTCTGGTAACAGAAATAGATTAAGTCCTTTTTTCTTCGGCACGGCTGAGGCTCTATTCATTTAATAAAGTTCCTGATCAGTTGAACAGAAATCTGTCAAGATCTTCTTTGATGGGGAATAAATGTGGGGAAGAATCTGCTAGGCTACCTGATTGCTCATGAGCAGGGGCAGAGGAAGGGGGGGTGCGGTGGGGTGGTCCGCCCCGGGTGTCACCACTGAGGGGGGTGACAAAATGCCGGGCGGCACTCACCGCGGGACTGCAGGCTCCGCGTTGCACCAAATGGTCTGCCCGCTGCCTCCCCCTCAGCTGTAGGGCGGCTGAGTGGGAGGTGGAGGGCAGACTCCTTGGAGGCCCTGTGGAGCATCCTGCCCCGGCTTGCCCCACCCCACGGGTGGCTGGCCCCACTCCCATGGGCAGCTGGCTCCGCCCCTGGGCGCAGGGCATGCACACCACCCCAGGCACCCAATTGACTTGCTCTGCCGCTGCTCATGAGTCACCTGAGTAGTGATTAGCTCAGGTGGGTATGAGTGGGATTGAAGGTTGGTTTCAGGCCTCTAGACTAAAGTTACCAGATTTTTTCAATGAATCCGGGAACACTTTTCAACTTCCTACTAAATACCATGGTACTTCGAGTTAAGAACTTAATTCGTTCTGGAGGTCCGTTCTTAACCTGAAACTGTTCTTAACCTGAAGCACTACTTTAGCTAATGGGACCTCCCGCTGCCGCTGCACCGCTGCCACACGGTTTCTGTTCTCATCCTGAAGCAAAGTTCTTAACCCGAGGTACTATTTCTGGGTTAGCGGAGTCTGTAACCTGAAGCGTCTGTAACCTGAGGTACCACTGTAGATGGATTTTGTCAGGGGACTGATTTGTAAATCCGGGGACTGTCCCCGGGAAACGGGGACGTCTGGTAACCTTACTCTAGACACCTCCTCAAGGCTTATAATAAGCCTTGAAGGGAATCCCAGGGAAGAGAGAGGAGGAGAAACCTAAGGATGCCTCTTGAAGGAAGTCCAAAACAAGGATAAGGAACCTGGTGCCCACCCCCCTTCTGTTGGATTTCTATTCCCATCAGACCCAGCCAACATGGCCAGAGGTCAAAGATATTGGCAGATGTGGTCTAGCAAAACTTGGAGCACCACAAGATGGGTTAAAGGACATGGTGGGGTGGGGTTTATCTTCTTCCCACTGTGCTGAGGTCTGGTCTGTCAAAAAGACAAACTGCAGTCTGAGGCTAAGGAAACAAGGAGCAGCTGCCACAGACTCTGAGGGGTTTGGTACAGCAAAAATGGTGGTGATGAGTCATAGAATCATAGAATCATAGAATCATAGAATCATAGAATCATAGAATCATAGAATCATAGAGTTGGAAGAGACCACAAGGGCCATCGGGTCCAACCCTCTGCCAAGCAGGAAACACCATCAGAGCACTCCTGACATATGGTTGTCAAGACCTCCAAAGAAGGAGACTCCACCACACTCCTTGGCAGCAAATTCCACTGTCGAACAGCTCTTACTGTCAGGAAGTTCTTCCTAATGTTTAGGTGGAATCTTCTTTCTTGTAGTTTGGATCCATTGCTCCGTGTCCGCTTCTCTGGAGCAGCAGAAAACAACCTTTCTCCCTCCTCTATGTGACATCCTTTTATATATTTGAACATGGCTATCATATCACCCCTTAACCTCCTCTTCTCCAGGCTAAACATGCCCAGCTCCCTTAGCCGTTCCTCATAAGGCATCGTTTCCAGGCCTTTGACCATTTTGGTTGCTCTCCTCTGGACACGTTCCAGTTTGTCAGTGTCCTTCTTGAACTGTGGTGCCCAGAACTGGACACAGTACTCCAGGTGAGGTCTGACCAGAGCAGAATACAGTGGCACTATTACTTCCCTTGATCTAGATGTTATACTCCTATTGATGCAGCCCAGAATTGCATTGGCTTTTTTAGCTGCCGCGTCACACTGTTGGCTCATGTCAAGTTTGTGGTCAACCAAGACTCCTAGATCCTTTTCACATGTACTGCTCTCAAGCCAGGTGTCACCCATCTTGTATTTGTGCCTCTCATTTTTTTTTGCCCAAGTGCAATACTTTACATTTCTCCCTGTTAAAATTCATCTTGTTTGTTTTTGCCCAGTTCTCTAATCTGTCAAGGTCGTTTTGAAGTGTGATCCTGTCCTCTGGGGTGTTAGCCACCCCTCCCAGTTTGGTGTCATCTGCAAATTTGATCAGGATGCCCTTGAGTCCATCATCCAAGTCGTTGATAAAGATGTTGAATAAGACCGGGCCCAAGACAGAACCCTGTGGCACCCCACTAGTCACTCTTCTCCAGGATGAAGAGGAACCATTGATGAGCACCCTTTGGGTTCGGTCAGTCAGCCAGTTACAAATCCACTGAGTGGTAGCATAGTCAAGACTGCATTTTACCAGCTTCTTTACAAGAATATCATGGGGCACCTTGTCAAATGCCTTGCTGAAATCAAGGTAGGCTACATCCACTGCATTCCCTTCATCTACCAGGCTTGTAATTCTGTCAAAAAATGAGATCAGGTTAGTCAGACATGACTTATTTTTCAGAAATCCATGCTGACTATTGGTGATCACAGCATTCCTTTCTAGGTGCTCACAGACTGTTTGCTTAATGATCTGCTCCAGAATCTTCCCTGGTATTGATGTCAGACTGACTGGGCGGTAATTATTTGGGTCCTCTCTTTCCCCCCTTTTGAAAATAGGGACAACATTTGCCCTCCTCCAGTCTGCCGGGACTTCGCCTGTTCTCCAGGAATTCTCAAAGATGACTGCCAGTGGTTCTGAGATCACAATTGCCAGTTCTTTTAATACTCTTGGATGCAGTTCATCTGGCCCTGGAGACTTGAATACATCTAAACTAGCCAAGTATTCTTGTACTATCTCCTTAGTTATTCTGGGCTGTGTTTCCTCTGCTGAATCATTTGCTCCAAATTCTTCAGGTCGGGCATTGTTTTCTTTATCGGAGAAGACTGAGGCAAAGAAGGCATTGAGGAGTTCAGCCCTTTCTGTGTCCCCTGTTTGCATTTCACCATCTTCTCATCTGAGTCAATGCCTTTTTATCCCTCCTCTGCTCCTGGGATTTTGACCAAGTCGGTGCTGGAAAATGTGGAACAGTGACTGGAAGCTTTGTCCATTTATGGTGGCTCCATAACAAAGCAAAATGGTTTTGGTTGCAAAGAAGGAATGTTTTTAGGCTTTTAGCCTTGTTTCACAGGTGTTTGTTGTTTTTGTGGTTTTAACTGTTTTAATGATCTTATGTGTAAATTGCCTTGAGATGGTGGTTTAGAAGGTGATTATTAAATGTAATAATAAGAAGTACACTTAGATCTAGCTTGTGACCTATTTCCATTATTAACCAATTCCTAAACATAAAGGACCTGCAAAAGTTAACAAACTGCTGTAGAGTTAACAAACTGCTGTTACAGCAAGTTTATGTAACACAAGGCCACACTTCCACAGCCGGGTGGCATCAAAATGTTGTTGGATTACAATTTCCATCAGCAAAATGAGACTAGATACTGGGAAAAGGCAAAATAATAATAATAATAATAATAATAATAATAATAATAATAATAATAATAATAATATCTCACTCATTACAGAATGTTGTTGTTGTTGTTTAGTCACTTAGTTGTATCTGACTCTTCGTGACCCCATAGACCAGAGCACGCCAGGCACTCCTGTCTTCCACTGCTTCCCGCAGTTTGGTCAAACTCATGTTGGTAGCTTTGAGAATACTGTCCAACCATCTCATCCTCTGTCGTCCCCTTCTCCTTGTGCCCTCAATCTTTCCCAACATCAGGGTCTTTTCCAGGGAGTCTTCTCTTCTCATGAGGTGGCCAAAGTATTGGAGCCTCAGCCTCAGAATCTGTCCTTTCAGTGAGCACTCACTGAGAGCCAGTGTGGTGTAGTGGTTAAGAGCGGTAGTCTCATAATCTGGGGAACCGGGTTCGTGTCTCCGCTCCTCCACATGCAGCTGCTGGGTGACCTTGGGCCAGTCACACTTCTCTGAAGTCTCTCAGCCCCACTCACCTCACAGAGTGTTTGTTGTGGGGGAGGAAGGGAAAGGAGAATATTAGCCGCTTTGAGACTCCTTCGGGTAGTGATAAAGCGGGATATCAAATCCAAACTCTTCTTCTTCTTCTTCACAGAATAGGAAGTGAAAATGCAAGAAAATGCAGTCTTGGCAACAGTGTAAAAGTTACTTAAGACTGGAAGAAGGAGCTCATATACATGTAGGCAGAGTTGGACAATGATGACAGAATATTGGCCTAATGTTGAAGGACACATTGCAGCCAACACACCTCAAGGTGGTGCGAAGCAAAGTCAGTGTGTATGTGGCCCAAGGGCCAGGCATAGAAACATGAGGGCCACATTCAGACCCAGGCCTGAGATTCCCCACCTGTCATCTGCACAGGTTGGCAGTAGCTCTCAGGGGTTTCCACATAGGAGACTTTCCCCTCCCTATCTGGAGATGGTGGGGATCGAACCTGTGGACCTTTGGCATAAAGAGCAGGTCCTCTGCCACTGAGCTACAGCCTTTGGATCACGTTAGGAGCTCGAGGAGGCTGAGGACTAGCCACTCCCTCTCTTTCCTCTGGCACCTGAATGACTTTTCTTTCTCTGAAGCAAAGATCCAACTGCATTTCTACCGAGACACGGGGTTTTTGTTTTGTACAAAAGCAGAGCCTCTTTCCAAATGGCATGATTTCTCCAAGCCTTTCAAAACGCTGTGATTGCAAGCTGTTAGATTTGGGTAGCGAATTCTGTTTTATTTTAAAACACACACACACACACACACACAGAGAGAGAGAGAGAGAGAGAGAGAGAGATAAACCACATTCAATTCTCCCAGTATTGGCCTTTGGGGATTTGCTGTGCACACTGATTTAATCCGTCCTGACATCTCACCCATCTTATTAGCAAGGCAAGTGAAATGTCAAAAAACATCAAGTCATAAATAGGCTGCATTCTTGTCCTGGGGGGTATTTGGGGTGGGGATAGGATGCTACACATTGACACGCCAGAGAAACCCATTCTGAGCAGTAACAGTTGCCTCATGTTGAACTTGCTTGATCGATTAGCACAGCATGCTAAGTCCGGGGCAGTGTATCAATTTCAGGCTAACCCAGAGAGCTGTAACTGAATTAATGAATCGATTTGTATGGGCCTCTCTGTCAAAAACAAGCAAACTAACCCACAAATAATTCCTTCAGGGACAGCAGAAGGGAGAGGGGAGGGCGGAAGCAAGTGGTCCATTTCCACAAAGAAACATCAACTTGACATCTAGTGTTGATTGGATAAGGACTTGTGCAGTGCTGAAATCTGTCCTCCCATTTCCCATAGGTTTTCTTTTCCTGCAAAAGAAATGTCCATTTTTTTTTTAAAAAAATCCTTTTCAGGGTGCTTTAGAATTTCTCTAGAATGATGCTAGGCTTGGCACTCTGTCCTTTTCTCTTTTTTTGTTAAATACTCCTCCGACTCTGTGCAGCCTCTTCAGGTGCCTGCACTTCCTGAACTTTGAAGGGCAGGAAGAAGCCGTAATTTAATTTACTTAAATTGGGGTTGCTCGAATGCATTGCGGTGTGTTCGATTCTGGAATGTTCCCCAGGAACTCTCGTGTGATAGGTTAACTCTGGTCACATGGGAGGCATCTTATTGCATCCTCCATTTTGTTTTGTGTGTGAGGGACTTGTAATGGCTGCATCTCCATGAACACTGAAGAGACAATGATAGATAACTCTCTCACTCTCAATACAATAGAGGAGAGGAGTTCTAATGTTTCTGTGTGAGTGTATGTAACAGAAAGAGGTACAGAAGTTGATGTTCTCCCAAAGAAGCAATAAGCAGTAGTCTGCTGGAAGGAGCAGGTGGAAACCTTCAAGAAGGAACTTCATGGCCTGGCTGCATGTGGAGAAGGCTGGATGCAAGTACTGGAAAGAGAGAAAGATGCAGCTTGTTTGAATGTTTAAGGAAGAAGCTGTAATCTTCAACTAAGAAAAACCAAGGCCATGCTTGGAGAAGCATGCAAATGCAAATACTCTGCATATATTTTTCTTTAGCTATATGTTCTGCAAGCTTTGGAATATTTTAACAAATGTTTGGACATTGCTTTAATTTCAAGGAAAGGGGCAGTATTGCACATGATGTGGCTTCCTAGCTGCAATTCTGCTACTCTGCCGACAGAAGCTCCTTCGGAGGAGTTACCTCATCACATCTTCCCCTGGGTTTTAGCTGAAGTGTAATCACCTGGGCAGAATGTGTGTGCTCGCCCACACCCATCAGCAACTCGCAACCCCAACAATTAGTGCACCATTCACCTAATTAGGCAACACGACTCTCAGCTTCAAGCATTCTCTCCCTTTGCATCTATCTCTGTTTACGACAGAGCTCTGTTTTACAATAGAGCTGGGAGAGTAAATGGGTCATCACACCAGTTCAGACAGACTATTCAAAGATTCCAGTGCTGATAATTTAATCCAATCCAGAGTGCCCAGCTACCCTTTTTGGGTGGTTTGATGCAGTGTTATGTCACAAATTTGCTTATTTTTACATAAGGATTTATAAACCGCTCTAATACTGATCCTCAGAACAGTATTAAAACATTAAAAATCCATCAAGAATTGAAATCTGCAAAAATAAAACAGACTAATGCTGTAATACAACCCATACTCTCAGAAGTAAGTCTCATTAAATTCAATAGGCCTTAATCTCAGATAGGGATGGGCATATCTGTCAATTTTTGTTTTTCTCAGTTCCTCCGTTTGCCAGCCTAAAATTCCGTTCTCTACATTTCTGCAGCTATTTTCCGTTTATTTGTTTTTTAATCCTCATGAAAGCTCATCAACATTTAGTGCAAATTTCTCCCAATAAAACCATTTGTGCATGAATTATTGACTAATACATACATTTTTGCAAATATTTCCCCTTAATATAGTGCATCTGCTAATGTTTTTCATTGATTAATTCATCATTATGCACACTTTCTCTTAATATATGTACTTTTTGTTCACATTATTTTGGTCGGAGAACTGCAATGCAAAGTTTGGAGGAGTGTGAATGTTGTAGGATGGCTATGTATTGCTTTGAGAAGTGCAAACTAGGTAGCTTCTCCTTAAAATGTGAACAATTTCTTCCCCCACCCTTACTCCCAGGTAAGTGAGGTTTGGATTGCAGCCCAGTTTAGGAAGGCTTGGAAGAAAAGGAAAGGCTTCGATGAATGTGGAAAACAGAAAGAAGCTGGGGCTCGCTTCACCTCTTAACAAAAGAGAATTCAAGAGAGCTGATGGAGTACTGCTAAAGGAATGTGCTCAAGTCGCAACATGCTTTTAATGCAGGGGCCTGTGGCACCATCAGTGCCGGATTTACGTATAAGCTAAACAAGCTATAGCTTAGGGCCCCCAAAAAATTTAAAGGAAAAACAAAACCCTGGATGTACATTTCCAAAATACAAGTTCAACAATTACTTTGATAAAATACATATTTTGTCATGTACAAATGGCCTTAGATACCTATTAAAAGGTAAAGGACCCCTGACAGTTAAGTCAAGTCATGAACGACTCTGGGGTTGCAGCGCTCATCTCGCTTTACTGGCCGAGGGAGCCGACATTTGTCCGCAGACTGTTTTTCCGGGTCATGTGGCCAACATGACTAAGCCGCTTCTGGCGAAACCAGAGCAGCACACGGAAACGCCATTTACCTTCCCATCGGAGTAGTACCTATTTATCCACTTGCACTTTGAGGTGCTTTTGAACTGCTAAGTTGGCAGGAGCTGGGACCGAGCAACGGAAGCTCACCCCGTCGCGGGGATTTGAACCACCGACCTTCTGATCGGCAAGTCCTAGGCTCTGTGGTTTAACCCACAGCGCCACCCGCATCCTGTAGATACCTATCAGGTCCATAAATTACCATACAGCATATATTCAACACAAAAAAGTGACAATTTCTTGTTGACAAAGGACAGCTGGACATATAAAGGGCCCCATTACCTTCAGTAGCTTAGGGCCTCATCAAACCTAAATCTGGCCCTGGGCACCATCCACAAATTTCCACCCACAGAGCCAAGCAGAAGCGACTCACTGGGTGGAAGGGAGTCTCTCCGCAAGCTTCCCAGCAAGATGAGTCACTGTCACTTATTGGGAAGGGCACATTAGCAGCAAGGGCGGTGTGGTGCAAGTGTGGTGGCAGAACCCGCCCAATGTTCCTCCTGGTGCATTTGCCTCTCTGTCACCTTCCCTTCCTTCCTGGGAAGTATCAGCGACCCACCAGCCAGGTAAGAGAGTAACATGGCAATCTGGATCTAAGTCATGGTGGTGGGTTGGAATGTAGGGGGATCCTGGCTGTTATAAGGACACCAGAAGAGCCCTCTTCTGGATGAGGCCAGTGGCCCATCTAGCCTAGCATCCTGTTCTCACAGTAGCAAACCAGAGGTATGTGGGAAACCGACAAGCAGGACCCGAGTGCAAGAGCTGTAGTTTCCAGCAGCTAGCATTCAGCAGCATCACTGCCTCTGACTGTGGAGGCAGAGCCCAGCCATCATGTCTAGCAGCCATTGGCAGCCCTCTCCTGCTTGAATTTGTCAAGTCCTCTTTTAAAGGCATCTAAGTTGGTGGCCATCACTGCTTCCTGTGGGAGTGAGTTCCATAGTTTAACTACGTGCTACATGAAGAGGTCCATTCTTTTTCTCCCTTCTGAAACTTCCAATATTCAGCTTCCTTGGATGCCCACAAATTGAGTGAGGGAGGAAAACCTTTCTCTATCCACTCTCTCCCTGCCAAGCATAATTTTATAAGCTTCTCTCATGTCACCTCTTACCTGTCATTTCCCTAAGCTGAAAAGCCCAGAATGCTCATAGGAGCATCATAGAACTATGGGCTGGCAATCTGGAAAAGGCAATATATCTGTCAGAGCAGTATCTGCCGGAGAAGCGGATACTGTGCCCGCCCTGATCTACCTGTTAGACCCACTTCCTGGACTTGAAGCCTCTGGTGCCCTTTTGAGATGCTGTGTGCAGATTCATATGAACTGACAGTCGTCTTTCTTGCAAAGTTAGCAGCTTGTCGGAGAGCATCAAAAATGCCCTTTGAGCTTCCGCAATATCAGTCCTTGCAGCAGTTTCCTCTTTAGCCAGCATCCTATGGACAAATGAATGTCATGGTTTACATTTAAGAAAAGCACTTCTGATAGGAATTGGCTTCACGAGGGCTAGGACCAGGGGCTCTGGAGCTTTGTTGAAGAAGACAGGCCAAGGCTGCAGAAATAAGGTTGAAGCAGGTCTATTATTATCCCGGGTTCCAGCAAATAGCTCCTGCCCCCACCAGGCAGGCAGGCATTCTTCTGCTTCTGGCCTAGCTAGGACTTACATATTTTCAAGACAGCTGGCATCTTTATTTCTGCATTGCAGGAGGTTAGACTAGATGATCCATTTTGTCCCTTCCAACCCTAAAATCCTATGATTCAATGGTTCACTTGGTGAGCAGCTGGGGTTTTATCCCATGCCAGTCTTATTTGCAGTAGATCCATTGATGTTTATGGGCCTAACTAACTTAGGTCCCTTAATTTAAATGAGTCTACTTTGAGTAGGTCTAAGTCGGCTACAATTTCTAGATTCTAGTTATGTTAATGCACGCTCCACCTTTATTGCATGTTCTGGCTGATTCCCTTCCTAGCCCTATACAGAATCCCCACTAGATGTGCCCAGCATATCCCCCAGCCAAGCTCTGATCACTCCTGGACCTTGCATTCCAAGATTTCCATGTTCCTGGATTCATGGATTCAAGGGGGCATTCCTGAGATGATTTGACCTTCTCTTTCCATCGGGGCTTTTTCCTCCTAGGGGCTGCATGTGGACTCCTATGATTTATATATGGTTGTGTCGCATGCTAGTCCTACTCAGAATAGACCCATTGAACGTGCTTAACATAGGTCCATTAAATTCAGTGGGTCTACTCTGAGTTGGACTTAGTTGGCTACAAGCCTAAGAAGGTAAGGTGAGCCTGCTGGATCAGGCCAATGGCCCATCAGGTCCACAATCCTGTTCTCACTGTGGCTAACCAGATGCCTCTAGGAAGCCAACAAGTTGGACTGAATCACAACAGCACATTGCCCATCTTCAGTTTCCAGCAACTGGTATTCAGAGGCATAATGACTCTGGCAGTGGAGGTAGAACAAAGCTGCAGTGGCTAGTAGCTATTGATAGCCTGGTTCTCTGTGAATCTTCCTATGTCTTCATTTGACTGGCCACTGTGAAAACAGGATGCTGGACCAGATGGGCCTTTGGCAAGGCTGGCCCACCCATGAGGCAAGGTGAGGTGACAGCCTCAGCTGGCAAGTGATCCCCCTTGCTCCTTGTTTTATTTCCCCCTTTCTCCTGATATAGATCTTCACTCACACCTTCTTTCCTGGTGGGGAGAAAGAGACACAATTTTGTGGTTTGCCTCAGGTGACAAAATGTATTGGGCTGGCCCTGGCCTTTGGCTCTTCTTATTTTGTTAGGACTGCATGCTCTCAGAGCAAAAACATGCTACTCATTTCTGACGTGGCTAACATAACATGAATTTTTTAAAGTTATATGGGAATGGAGGTGGGGGGGGGCGAGAGAATCCAGAATATTACAGGCCAGTGAGCTTCACATCCACTCTGGGTAATTGGTGGAAAGCTTCATTAAAGATAATCAAGCATATAGAATAACAAGTCTTGCCATCCATTAACAAGGAATTCTGAAGGAGAGCCGAGAGAACTTGTAAATTCAAGTGTCTGTTCGTCTCCTTCCTGTTAAAACTAAAACCCGGTGCTCTAAGTTATTGACATCTGGGGAGCTTGAATTGTCCAGATACCATTCTTTAAAATGTGAGGTTTGAAAGTGAGCTTTGGTACCCAGCAGCTTCCTTTGAGCACAGTGGGATCCTTTTATATACTCTACCTTTTCTTCCTCCTGACCTTGATTCTCAAACTAACAGGACCTCAAGTGAAGTGTGCAGCAGAATATCAAAAAACCAAACTAGTTCAGTTCTCCACATTTCCACAACCCTTTGTCTTAAAAAAAAAAAAAGTCCTCTCGAATATTCACCATCATTTTATGGCCCATTTCCTGCAATGTGCACATTTTTGCAAGAAACTTCCCCAATAAAATGTTTTTTTTTTTTTTGTACATCATTTTCATTAGTTTATGTATTTCTATGCACGTTTACCCCGATATACATTATTTCTTTACACTTTTCTGGGCTGGAGAGCTGAGAATTTCAAAGGATAGCAATGTTTCTGTTGGTACATCATTTCAGGAAGTAATGAATTATGTAATTTTGCACCGAAATGTGAACCAAATCAAAGTTGTCCCCCATCTTTACATTCAGAGCAGTGGGTGGGGAAAATAATGATGACTGCTGCCCTGAATCTTAGCATTCCAAAAACGTGTGAGTAAAATGCATCTTTCAAGGAATCTGTTCTCATGAGCAGCTGTCCACATTTTGAAGTTCATCTCGGCTGTTTTTCGTAACCAAGGCAAGTGTAGCCCTCAAAAGCATACTTGAAGCAATTTATTAATGGTCAGAACATTTTGAGTCTGAAACTCAACGACAATTGAAATAATGGACCAAAGTAATATTGCAGACTACCTGAAAAAAGGTAATTGCTCTGGGGGGAAACGGCACTCTGAAACGATTATTTCTGAAAGAGTAGCTGGAACTACAGGTGGAGTAGTCAGTCAGTTCATTGTCACATTTGTAATTCTTCACTATGGGTGGAGGCGAAATTGATTGTGCCTGCTTTTTACAGCAGGGCGTCCTAATTTGCTGGTCTAGGACTTGAATCTCAGTGCTAACTTCATGGCAGAGCATCTGTAAAGGTGAAATTTACATTCAGTCCTTGCTCCACCCATCTTTCCCTCTGGTCTCTCTCACCAGTGGCACATGGTCCCTAGAAAATTGTTCAGGAGAGAATGATGAAGAGCTACCTACTGTCCTGGCAAAAGTGTTGCAATCAGTGGATCTTGGGTTTCCTTTTCCGTGGAGCAACCAGGCTGCACCCCCTCCATGACTATCCATTACCTTAATTCCCTTTGAAACTTTAGCTCCGCACTTAGCCAGCATCTGAAGTTACCTGCTACCATATGTCAACAGCCAACAGGAAACTAATTACATCTCATCTTTTTGTATCCAACACCTTTGCGAGGTGGGAAAGTAGAATGGGCACCTTTGGTCCACATACGACGGAAAACAAGCTTCCTTTTCTCTTTTACACTCTGCAAGGTTGTTGCATCAGGAATGGGGAACCTGGAGTGTTCATCTATTTGCTTTCAAGCCATCTCCAAGCTTCTTTCATCCCCCTTAGCTCTGGTGCACACCAAGGAGTCAGCCAGTCCCTATCAATTGGGAGAGGGCGTTCAGGGGCCATTGTATCAACAGCCCAGTCCATCCAAGTATTCTACTATTAGAACAGAGCTTCAACAGGAGCATGAGTCATATTAGCTGGAAAATCCCCCCAAACCACCTGGACGCATTAGCCTCCATAGGTGGACCATCCTAATAGGTTTCCCAAACTCTGCAGAAGGGAAAAGCCATTGGAAGTCTAAATCTCATCAAGAGGTGATCTGACCATGAAAAAAAGCAGCTGATGTTAATATTCCCCCACTCTCAGATCACCCTCTTCTGGCCTGGTGGAGATAACCAGACCCAGAGAATGGCATGCCACATGGGTTAGGTCGATGATATGTTGGGGGAGCTCCATGGTCATCAACAGGGCAGCCATGAAGTCCTGAGCTAGCCCAGAGTGAGTGACCTTTGTCTCCCATGGGGAACAATGGGAGAGCAACTGTTAACACAGAAATGTAGGAAGCTGTCTTATGCTGAGTTAGACCATGGATCCATCCAGTTCAGCATTGTCCACACTTCTATTCAGTGGCTTGCCAGGGTTCCAGGTAGGGTTCTCTCCCAACCCTACCTGGGGACGCCAGGGATTGAAACTGGGAACCTTTTGCATGCAAAGCAGATTCTCTACCACTGGCCTATGACCCTTCCCCAGGTGATTCAGAACTCCAAAATCCACTGCAAAATTCAGATGAGGAGCAATTTGGAAACGTAGATAACAATACTGTATGTAAATAGCGAGAGAGGAGTTGAGAGTCAACTCATGCCTTGCAAATGTCCTCTGGGTTTGTCCACAGTATTTATATCCTGCCCTTCACCCAAAGTTTGCAGGGTGAGTTTCAGCACAATATACTCTACAACAGAGAATACCAAGTACACAACCTAGTGGATAAAAAACCCAGTACAAAATGACTTCTCGCATCTGAGAATAAAATAGGAAGGATATTCTCCCATCACCCATGTAAGCCTAGTAAAACATGCATGTTTCAATTTGCCGCTGGAACTGAATGTGTCTTCAAGGTAAGAGTAGAGAATCTCAGACCCAGGGCTAAATGTGGCCTTCTAGGCCTCTCTATCTGGCCAAGGGCTGGCTCACCCATGAGGCAGGGTGAAGCAGTTTCCTCAAACAGAAAGAGGTCCTGAGGCCATGCCCCTATGAGCGCCCCACCCAGCCCACCGCCTCTGCCACCGGCATTAGCACTGATTTCTGGCAAGATCTTGTGAAATGAGGCATGGAGGTGGGGTGGTGGCAGGAGGCCCGGTGGCAGGGAGGTCTGTGGGGCAGAGCGAGACAGCACTTCCTGCTTTGCTTCAAGCAGTGAAGCAGGAGGACACACCACCCCGGATCAGGCCCCTGGGACTCACCCCAGGCAATGCCCCTCACTACTCTTCCTCCATATCCTCCTTGGGTATTTTAGGCTGGGTGGAATGTGTCCTTGAACTCTGATAATGCCTCTTTCTTCACTAGATGGTGGGCGAAGAGGGGTGTGTCAGTGTGGGTAGAAACCAGCTGACTGCACATTATTTTATCAACTGCTCCATTCACTTTGATAGCCTTCCAGTGAAACAAACATCCCCCCCCCCCATCTGCTGTTGAAACTGAATGGAAGTGGGAGCTTGGCTGACCTCAAGAGGGAAAGAATGAATGAGCACAGGAAGAGTGCTGGGGCTGGATCAGGCCGAAGCGGGCCATCTAGTCTAGCACCCTCTTCCTCCATTAGGTCAGTTTGATGTCTCAAGGCAGAGCCCACAAAGAGGACCTGGGAGTGATAGCCGCTCTCCCCACTTGTGATTGCCAGCAACTCATAGGCAGACACTGTGGTTCCCAGTGACCTTCTCTCACTGGGTGCATCGCCACAACTTCCTGCACTGGTTTCTGAAGGGTCTCCAAGGACAGCCCCATAAAAGCGGCCTTGCTGTGAACTAGCATGGCGTTTATGGAGGCACAAGTTGAGCCCTACATCATCTCCTTCTTGATGGGGGGGGGGAGAGATCAGCTTTTGTGGGGAGGGGCACTTTCCCTTTCCCAAGGCGAGCCCTTAACAAAACTCCCCTGCAAGAGCCCACATTCAATGTGGAACACACAGAGATGGAGAAAGAGGCACTGAGGAGCAATAACGCCACGTCCGGCCCTGCCCTCTGCCTCCTTCTGCCTTTGCAGCGTCAGCCAATGTGTTCAAAAATACATTCAATGACAGACACAGCCAGCCTCGTTTTTATTATCCGCTCCCTTATTGGAAACCCTGTTGCTGCTGACAAGGCCTTTTTTTGGCAGCAAAACCCTCATTTCCTTTAGCGCTGAACCCTTAAGAGGCTCATCCGTTTGCTCGGCCGCCTTTCATTCCCCCCTCCGTTCGATGGTACTCTCATTCCCCTGCCTGCACAAATCCTCTCGTTCATCTCCTCCCCCCCTCTCCACTAGTCTCCCTCTCTCTCTCTCTCTCTCTCTCTTCCCTGCCTCCTCTTTAGCCTGCTGCTATCTGATCTACGATATGTGATCTCTCGGATAAAACAACACACTTCCAAGCCACGCACGCACGCTCCATCTCTTCAACACACGGGTACTGCTACTGAACAGCGGCGGCGACGAAAAATGCCGTTCTCCTAGCAGCAGGAGCTTCCCCCCACTTGGCTTGTGCCTGACGATGTGGCCATGTCCCCCGCTCTGCTGCCTACCTCCTTTGCTCTTTCTCTGCCTGCTCTTCTTACCCTCGGGGCACCTCTGCCCCTCCGTCTGTAGCTGCATGGACTACCACACCATCGACTGCCGGGACCAAGGGCTTCCCCGAGTCCCCAGCCCATTCCCGCTGGACGTGCGGAAACTTCTCATCGCTGACAACAACATCCAGGAGATCCCGGGAGACTTCTTCATCTTCTACAGTGACCTCGTCTACCTGGACTTCAGGAATAACTCCATCGCCACCCTGCAGGACGGCACCTTCAGCAGCTCCAGCAAGCTGGTCTACTTGGATTTGAGCTACAACAACTTGACGCAGCTGGATGCCGGCATCTTCAAGTCGGCGGAGAAGTTGATCAAGCTGAGCCTGGGGAACAATAACCTGGCCGAGGTGGACGAGGCCGCATTCGAGAGCCTGAAGCAGCTCCAGGTCCTGGAGCTGAACGACAACAACTTGCAGACGTTGAATGTGGCCACCTTTGATGCGTTGCCCAACCTCCGGACCATCCGCTTGGAGGGCAACCCTTGGCTTTGCGATTGTGACTTTGCCAGCCTCTTCAGCTGGCTGGAGGCTAATGCGCCCAAGCTCCAGAAAGGTAAATCTTTTCCAAAGCTTCCCAGGGCATGCTGCCTGCCACCCAGCTTTGTCTTGTTTTGTCTGTCTTCCTGTCTGTGTACAGGCTGTTCTTCGCGGACAGATGGTCTCTTTCTTGGGTCTGTTGATTCCGTGAGAGCAAAATCTATGCTGTCTAAGGCAGGTTGATGGTGAGTTTCTCCACTGGCAGGAGGGAGGGGGGGGGACTCCTCCTGCATGCAATTAAGAACTCCTAATAATGAGAGCTTCTTACATTCTTTAACTACATAGGGAGACAGGGGGCCTTGTCAAATAGGGTAACACAGAATAGAGACTCTTGGAGGCTGTATACATAAATAAGGAGCGCCGCTGCCGCCACATGCAATAAGCCCTCTGAATACTGAATGGTTTGTGACAATGTGCTGGGAATATCCACTTTATTTGTGCTACTTCAGTTCACGCACGGAACAGCAGGGGAGATTCTTTTAGGTTATTTAATTAAAAAGCGACATATTCATTGTGACCCCCCCCTTCCCCATACTCCAGCTTTTGTAGATAACATGGATTTTGCAAATCGTGTGAAGTTGTCTAGAGGCACTTCAATAGTTTCTGCGTATTTATCCATTTTGAATCATCACCATCATATGCAATTTTGCATCCCATTTGTCAGGGAAGGGCACATTAATTCTCCAAATCAAGTGTAAGTGGGGCGATGGGTTCCATGAGTTGGTAGAAACAGGGGGTGCACCACTGAATTGCTAGGCTGGGTCAAGTACCACAATTTCCTGACAACTAGAAGTTCCAAGTGGATTGGAGTGGTGTGGATAGTTTGAAAAACAATAACTTGATTTGTCACTGCATTTTTGCCTGAAGTGATATCAGAGGCAGGTTTGCTGCTCCAGTGAAAGAACTGTAAGAATTGGTGTGCGTGTGTGTGTAGTTCAGCAGTTTCCACATCTCTAGAACTACACCAGATCTTCCTGCCACTTTGGATCAGCTGATGGAGGACAAAGCCTTATGACACAGCAAGCCGGCCTCTCCCCGAGGCCATCAGAGAGCTTTTAACAAAGCACTGCCAGAGCATCTAGCATTGCATCTCTCTCTCTCCCCCCCTTTTCTGAAGCACCTGCTCCTATATAGACACTCGCCTGGCTTCAGTATGTTAAGAGCTACAATTAGGCCATGGACTCCAGTCCCCCCTGTAATGCTCCATGGGTGCTGGGTTCCCTTAGAGATGTAAGGACGCAACATTTTCTATTCTTCCCTGAATTCATCCATGCAGCACTGTTTCCATTCTGCTGCAGTTCGTTTACTGCAAAAATCACCATTCATTTCAACATCGTCTGTGATGTAATTTACATAATTCATTATGTTAATTATACCGGCATGCTATTCCATCCCATACATTTCAGTGCAAAGGAAATGCAATGCAAATACAATAGTGTTGGGGAAACATAATAGTATATCACCTGCACACTTGAAGCAACAAAAGTGACTAAGTGTTGGGTTCATTATTGGTTATCAAGGGACAATTAAATGAAAACTGGCAATTTCTGCTTCTGTTTCCATTTTAGGTAGAATTCCTAAGTGATAAGCTCCAATTGTTTCTATAGTATACTATAGTATTTCTATAGTATTATACGGGATATTCTTTTTTCTAGCAGGGATAGTTTCTGATTCCTGCTACTTCTCCCTAGGAGAATCCCATGTCCCCATTTTTCCTTTTGGGAAGATTTCGTGGATGTTTTTTAAAATTCAACCTTGAAAAAACAATGACCTTCTTCGCATGCATTTCTGTATACATTGAAAATGTTAAGTCTGTCATCACAGCCCCATTGGAGGATTTGTAGTGCCTTGTCACAATGCTGGATTTATAAACTCAAGAGGCAAAGGAAAACTTAGTAATTGCATGGGGTGTGAAAGGGAAGCTCCTGAGAGTAAAGGGTGGAGGGATGGCAAGGGGTTGGTGAGTGGAGCAAGCAGGGGTGCAGCCCCTATTGTATGTGCGTGCGTGCGTGTGTACACACACACACACACACACACACACACACACACAAACAAACATACTGTCTCTCTCTCACACACAATGGCTAATAGTAGACCAACCTTCCTGAACCTTGTGCCTTTCAGATATGTTAGGGTATGACTCCAATCAACATCATTCAGAAGAGTTATCCGGAGGTCACCAGGTTGGGGAAGATGATGCAGGCTGTGACTTCCATGTTCATTTTCCATTATTATTATTATTATTATTATTATTCCACCCTATACCCGAAGGTCTCAGGGCGGTTCACATAAAATATAAAATACATAAAATCAAAACAAAACTGGCAACCCAATTTAAAAAAAAACCCCAAAGAGCCAGCATCTTTAAACAGGGTATAGGACATAGATCAAGTCAGGCAAAGGTCTGGTTGTAAATGTTTTTGCCTGGCGCCTAAAGGTGTAGAGTGAAGGCACCAGGCGAACTTCCCTGGGGAGAGCATTCCACAGATTTTCTAACAGTATAATAATCACTCAGGGACCTGTCTCCTGTTAAATTCATGCTAATCACCAAAGCTTGCAGATCACACTTCTCCTGTTTAGCAGTACAATCCTATGCGGGTCTACTGAGAAGTAAATCCCATTAATAATAATAATAATAATAATAATTATAATTATAATTATAATAATAATATATTTCTAAACCACCCATCTGCCTGGGTTTCCCCAGTCACTCTGGGCAGCTCCCAACAGAAGTTTAAAAATACCTTAAAGCACCAGTCATTAAAAACTTCCCTAAACAGGGCACATTAATTATGTGAATGCAAGAAATGGGCTTCATTTTTAAAATTTAAATTGCATCATTGTTGGGTGATCATCAGGATCAGGACCACAAGGCACAAGGAAGGGGTTCACTTCAAAGTCAGTGAGTATAAGATTGCAGCCTAAATGTCACCAGATCGGGGTCACTGACATGGTGCCCACTGTGGCCATCTGCACCTCCTATGGTGCCTGCAAAAGGTCTCCTCAAAAGATCTCAAAAATCTACAATGCACAAGTGATTGTTTGTTCTTCTTGCCCCATTCCTCTTCCGATTGACTTGGCCTCTCCTACACTGGACATGCATGGGTTCCATGTCCACTTTTCTTGGATACCAGGATATGACGCCAACCCTATGAAAGCTCCAAAGAGCTTCTCTCTAGGAGTGTGCCTGGGTGCAGCTGATGTAGATGCCTTTTCCTCACTGACCAATGACCATGCCCACACTATTTTGTGGCTCTGTCTCCTTTTCTGCCTGTTTAGAAGTGGCAATAAATTTGTTCTATGTCACATACCACCCCCAAATGGTAGCGATTTTGGGTAATGCTACCACTACTGCCACCTGCAGCACTTTCTCAAAAATCTAATTTTGGCCACTGGTCCAAAATATTTGGTACTCCCTGCAGTAAAGGTAAAGGGACCCCTGACCATTAGGTCCAGTCATGGCTGACTCTGGGGTTGCGGCGCTCATCTCGCTTTATTGGCCGAGGGAGCCGGCGTACAGCTTCAGGGTCATGTGGCCAGCATGACTAAGCCGTTCTGGCGAACCAGAGCAGCGCACGGAAACGCCGTTTACCTTCCCGCCGGAGCGGTACCTATTTATCTACTTGCACTTTGACGCGCTTTCGAACTGCTAGGTTGGGAGGAGCAGGGACTGAGCAGTGGGAGCTCACCCCGTCGCGGGGATTCGAACCGCCAACCTTCTGATCGGCAAGTCCTAGGCTCTGTGGTTTAACCCACAGCGCCACCCACGTCCCTTCTCCCTGCAGTAGATCCACCCAAACTGATGTGATGGAAGGCACACTGTCACCTGCCTGCCCCAGATGTTGAATGACAGTGGCTTGTAAGAGGTTTCTGGTTAGGGATCAAGGAAAAATTCAATTCAGTTCACATTTAAAGGTGAACTTACCAGACTTCTTAAAGCAAGATTCAAGCCAAAGCACAGCTGCCTTTTGGAATTTGCACTTCTCCGAATTTTGAAATGCAGTTTTCCAAGATAAATACCTTAAAAAATGTGTATGTATAAAATGCATATATTAGTGGAAATAACATACAAAAATGAATTATACGGAGGAAAATGGTTTTGCAAAAATGTGTACAAAATTTCGTACAAAAAAGATTTATATTGGGAGAAATTTGCACAGAAATGCTGGTGAATTTTCACGAGAACTTTTTTTTAAAAAAATAATAATAATTACAAACTGATGTGGAAATGTGGAGAAATGACACTGAAATTGGAAAAGTGAGAAACTGATGCAGCAGATGCAATCTTTCATCATTGTATTTTTGGTGACACACTTCCTCCTCCTCATCTCCAGACTTCAGTGAAACTGGGAAAATGATGGAAATTCCTTTCTGCATTCACTAGTGTCTCATTGGTTCTTGCAAATTAGAAAATTACTGGATCTCCTGGGGCTGACATCTGTATGGGGCCTTTTAAAGGAAGGAAAATATGCTGATGAAATTTATATTCCAGGTCACTTCTCTCATCCACACTCTTCCCAAGTGCTTCTGCCTGCCTGAAATCTCTCCCAGTACTGGAATAATGTCTCTTTATCAATGGAGGATGAAGAGAGGTATAT